GCGCCACCGCTGGCCCGACCGGAGTGTGCCCGCTTGGTCTCGGGAGCCACTCTGCGTGCTGCCTGGCTTGTGCGGTGTCGCGGACATCACCGGGCAGTGGACGCTGAGCCTTTTCCGCAAGTTGCCTTGGCGTGTGAAGCAGACTCGCCTTGTGGTTCATGGGCGGGTCTTCTGCACGGGACTGCGATGTCACCGCTCAGCCTCACAACCTTCCTGACTCCCGGGACCTCTTCCCTGGAAAGAGGCTCCTCTTGCAACTTCGGGGAGGGACTGAGTGTGCTGTGGGGTCTGCAGCCTCATGTGCTTCCTCCTTTCCTCCTGGTGTGTCCTTCTCCTGGGGTGCATGCTTGTCCTCGTTCAGCCGGAAGGACCCTGCAGCGGCAGTGACGTAAGAATCGGCAGATCCCTTGGGCACCCTGGGGCCTGGCTGACTGGCTTCCGTGTTTGCTGCGGGGGGTGCCAGCAGGGAGACTTGTGGCGGGCCCTGCCCCAGTGCCCGTTGGTTTTGACTGAAGGCAGTTACAGAAACGTGGTCTTCTTTGGAGGTATAGGGAGCACAGAAACTTCCGGTCCGTCCTCTAATGTTGAGGAGAATGACGGTCAGAGTGGTGGGCTGGAGTCCCTTGAGGCCCTGTGGCTCGTCCGTGTCTTTCCTGCCGCTTCTGTCCCCGCTGCTGCGTCATCCGCTCCCGGTTTTTGCTGACACAGCAGAGTGTCACCCAGAGCCGCCTGCTGCCGGGCAGCCGTCCTTGTCCCCTTTCCCAGCTCACGGGAGGCCCGTGGCCGCTCGGAGTGCCCGTGTGTCGGGGTGGCCAGGTGCACTGAGTGACGCGCCCGTGTGGCTCCCCGTCACTGTCAGCCTTGCAGTCCCCGGTCCTCCTGAGACCGCAGACTTGCGCCCACAGTGGGAGCTGCCGCCCAGGGCTGCCCGTGGGCCCAGAGAGTTCTTTGCGCTTTGGGGGCTGACCTGCAACCTGGCCCCAAGGCATCAGACCTTCACTCTGGTGTCACGCCCTCGAGGCCGATCCGCTGGTCTCCGGTGAGCAGCGGCTGCTCACTCAGTGAAAGTGCAGCGGCGATGGCATTCTCAGCTCCGGCCTCTTGCGCACGGTCAGGTGGGGCTGCTCGCTTTTGGAATTCTTTGATTACACAGTGGCGTTGGCCAATATTTGTGCCTCTGTTTTGATGTCTTTCCCGATCTGAGCTCTCTGGGAGGGCTTTTTCTCCCCTCTTCCCCTGCTGGGCGTGGTCCAGCGGCAGGTCCTGTGTGCCGAGACCTTGTGTGGAAGGGACCCAGCCTCCCCGTCGCGGTGCTGCGAGTGGGCCCAGACTTGCGTACTTCCACTGTTTGGATCAGACGTCCCGCTTGCCTTCCTGGTGGGAGGTGTCCCCTTTGAGAGGGTGCCTGCCGGAGCCGTACGCCTCAGCTGTTGCCCAGTCCACGTGGGGTTGGCTGCAAGCCAGCCAACTGGGGTGTGGTCTCCCTGAGCTGGGGCAGGACATGTCATTCCACATTGAGATGCACCCACCCTGCTCTGATGGAATGTGGGAACGTCTGTCTGTCCCAGCCAGACCTGTTGGTCAGGGCTGCTGAAGCCCCCAGTGGGGGCCCCTGTGGGGCGCACAAAGGGGGCAGGAGCCGGGAGTGTGTGCACTGCTCACCCACCCGAGGGTGTGACTATTCGCTGAGAGTCCCGGTCCTGCCCAGGGCCCTCGGTGGCTTCCCCGAAAGGAAGGTGGGGCACCTCTTCCTTGTGTAGTCTCCGCTTTTGTACAGCAGCCAAACTCCTGAGGGCAGGGCTGCCGCTCTGTGTCAGCTGGGGTGCGGCCATTGGGTGGCCAGCCTGCTAACGCTGCTCAGCCCCCAGCCCCACCCCACCCCGCCCCGCCCCGTGGTGGAGACCTCCCTGCAGAGAGGCGGGTCCCAGCCCCAGTGCACAGCCAGCAGCTTTCCCTGCTGGAGGTGGCTGCCGTGGGGCCGCCTGTCGCCCTGCGCTGCCTTCGAGGCTCCACGGACTGGGCCGTGCTACCTGCCTCCTTCCGCTGCTCCTTTGGCCTTGGCCTTGGGGTTGCCCTTCCCGTCTCAGCAGTAGCTCCTCCTGTGCAGTTCAGAGGCCCATGCATCTTCTGCAGTCGCCCTGGAGTGAATGAAGCAATGGCTGAAAAAAATCAGCGGAGAACATGAATTTTCTTTCACTGTAGTTTCTGAGCTGGTAAAAACTTTCCAGTGCCTCAGACCTGTCCGTCCGTCCGTCCATCCATCCATGCATCCAACACGATTTTGGACTAAGTATGAAGTTAAATTCTTCTGGTGCTTCTTACATGTGACAAATACTCAGGATTCTGACGGGTTCAGGATGTTGATGCAAGACTCGCACGTCCCCCCCCCCCGCCCAAAGGTCCAGGGGCGTGGTTCTCTTGGACTCCACAGTTATACAGCACTGGGGGCATCGGGTCGCTGTGGGCGGGGAAGGGGTGGCCAGCTGGCAGCACGCGACTGAGCTTCGGCCCGATCCTCTCATCTCTGTCTTCTCGCTGTCTCTTCGGGGTATGTCGTGGTGGGGGAGGGGTGTCCTCATCGGTGCTGCTGACGCTCCAAGTGGCCGGTGCACCACAGGTCCAGGATGCAGTGGACGACGTCAGTTAGGCAGCGACAGGCCGGGCCCCAGGACGCAGGTGTTCTGGGGGCAGGCACAGTACCGTCTTATCCAGATGCTCTGATTCCTGGGGCTTGGAAGGTCTTCGGGTGGCAGGTCCCCTGTTAAGTGGTTTTGTAGCGAGAAGGACAGTTCCGGCCCGGTGGACCTGAGGAAGAGCGTGGGTTTGTTGACGTGGACACGGCTTTCCCGGTGGCTCCATGTGGGCCATGGGGTTGGAGCCTGGACAGGTGGGCCTGTTTTCTGAGGGCCTGGGAGCCCCACCCACAGGGCACTCACTCACGCTTCCCTGGGACTCCGGGGATGGGACACCTGCTAGAAGCTGCTGACATGTGCGGGGGGCACGTCAGGCGACAGAGAAACATGGTTCGTGCAGCATCCATGCACTGTGTTGTCTCAAGGACGTGCAGGCAGGGCGAGTGGGCTGTGGGGTGCGGGTGCCCGGAGCTGGGCCGAGCCGAGCAGGCCCCCTCTTCCAGGGCTCCTGCAGACCCAACCCCCACTGTCTCCACCCACATGCAGGGTGACTGGTTTTACCCGGCTTGGAGCACAGACCCCTTTCAGCGAGCTGGCGTCACGGTGCAGGAAGCCCCCACAACCGCGGCCCCCAGAGCTGGTTCCCCGAGGTTTACAAACACAAAACTGTGTGGGCACAGTGGCTGGCATTTGTGGAGGACGGACTCTGGTGTCGCCCTGAGCTCACCCTGTGATGGCGCCCGTGTAACAGCCCATGGCGCCTTCTGAGGCGGGTAACCGACCCCCAACCTCTGCCTTCGACCCCCCCCACGCGCAGGGTGATGCTGAGGTTTGGCCTGGTATGCCGCTGGGCGCCAGGCGCGGGCTGGGCACTGAGCGGGCGTGGGGCTGCCTCCCGCTGGAATTGAATCCTTGGCGGCCCTTGCAGAGAACTGGGGTTCTGGTCCTTCCCCACTGCCACAACATGCGGCCACCAGGCACAGAGCGAGCTGCTTGTCTGCACGTCGCAGCCTCCGAGGGCCAGCCAGCGGCCAGATGAGCGTGGGGCATCGTGGGTCGTTGCCACGGCCGGGACACAGGTGGATGTGCTCTCACCCAAACCAGGAAGAAAGTACAGGAGCCAGACTCAGCTGTGCTCTCCGCCGTGCACAACAGACGCAAGGTGGCGAGTGCCTCCTCACCGAGGGCTCTCTGCCCGGGTGGCGAGGACACGCACGGAGGAAATGGTTCTGGGAGGCAGGTATGTGTGGTTTGGCTCCAGGAGACGGTCATCAGCTCGCACTGGTCAGGCAGAGCCAGGGCGCCACCTCGGGCTGTGTGCAGGCTGGAATCAGTTCGTGCAGGTGGTGGGCGGCCCTGCCGTCGGGGCCACGTAGGTGTGATTGGGCTGTTTCCGCCTCTGTTCTGCCTGGCGCTGGACAACTCCGGAGCCGCACTAGAAGTGTGGAAATGCGCCCAGAGCAGCACACAGAGGGTGCGCAGGGAAGGGGCACGGACAGGACAGCCGCAGGGGCCGGGGGCAGGCAGATGTTTGGGGGTGAGCGTGGGGCGCTGCTGAGAAGTCATGCTCCTGCCTGTGGGCGTGACTCCCCATCTGCACGGCTCACGCACGCGTTCCCGAGACCAGGATGGACAGGAGCTCTGCTCATTGGCCGGCCCCTGTGTGTGTGTGTTCACTGCCCTCGTGGGCGCCGTCCCGAAGGAGACCCCTCTCTCGTGTCCCTGGGTCCAGTGTAGGTTGCTGCTGGGGCATCCAGCCCCAGGCCCTCGTCTCCTCTGTGGCCCCTCAGTGCTGGCAGACGCCCCTCACAGGGCAGGCCTGAGAAATAAACCGCTCATTTGTGGACCAGTCCCGGCCACTTCATTTTTTGGGTCAAGTCACGGCTGGGACATTTCACCTGACTCTTTTCCCCGTGCCCTCCCTCTGCCGCTCTTGCTCTGGACGTGACGCATGGCTGTGCGCGAACACGCGCCCAGTGCCAGCTGCCAGCTGCCAGCTGCGCTCGGGCTTCTGCCCCAGCGCCTCCCGGTGCTGGTCCGCGTCCGTCGGAGGTGCAGCTCTGCTCCAGGGCAGCCGGGTCTGCCTCTCTGGGTCCCTTTGGCTCTGTTAGTTGGGACCTTTGACGACGAAGAGGAGCCACGGGAGTCATTCTGTGACGACCCGTTTTGGTCGGGGGTGCGCTCGCTCACACAGCCCGCAGGGTCAGCTGCCGCCGTGGGCGGGGATGCGTCCGCACTTACGGTTCACCTGGCGCCGCTTGGTGTTTGTGCCTGTGGCTGGCGGTGGGCCGCCCAAGGTGGACGCTGGGGCAGGGTGGCAGGTGGCTCTGTCGTGCTGCTGACCGTTGCCTTTCCTGTGCTCTCCAGGTTCTCGCGCCTTCCTGTGCACACAGGTGAGACCGCTCAGGTGAGACCGATGCCCGCCCCGAGGAGCAGGTGCTGACGCCCCCAGCCTGGTGCTGCGCCTCCTGACACCACCGCCCACCCAGGATCTAAATGCCACAGCGCCCCCGGGGCACAGTGGGCTGCGACCCGCTGTTGCCTGCAAAGGTACGTTGCATGGGCACAGCTGTGTGTGGTGTGAGTTCACGGGAAGGAGGCAGAGGGGGCGGGTTGGACCCGCTGTAACATGAAGGAGTTGTAGCTCGTGGGAAAGAGAATTCGGAACCTCGGCTTTGGATTAAGGTCACACCCACCTAACAATTCAGAAGCATTAGCATTGGAACTTAAAACAACAAAGAGAAAATGCAGGTACACGTGAAGTCTTTTTTCCCCTGTGAATTGCCCTCAGGATCTTTTAGATTGATCCCCAGGCTTTACTGACTTTACATGGGATTACGTTTGAAAAGGCGAACCTGGCCTTCAAATCCCAGTTCGCAACAGTGACGTGCTTTGTTTCGGTTTGGGTAGCGTCGTAGCCTCTCTACTCTCAATCTGAGCTCGTCTCTCTCTGTTGCGCCGCTCCTGGCCGCCGGCCTCCTGTGTTGGCGGGTGCGCATGCCTTGGCCAAGCCCTGCCCTGGGTTTGTAAAGATGTAGCAGAAACTTTCAGAACTTCGTCCCGGTTTAATCTTAGCCCTCGTTTCCCTGTCTCCAGGCTCAGCCTCCAGGAGGGAAAAACCAGGCTGGAAACCAGGACCTCCCACTGGAGTCTAATTTTAAATGTGCAATCTGTTGTCTTGTGACTTTCGTTTCAAATTTAACTCTGAAACAAATACGTTTCCTTCTTTTGCCTGAAGTTTTGGAGGTCTGTTTTCAAGCCAGTGAGGGTAATCATTGTATTTATTTTAATAAGTTTTTAAATACTTCTGGGGAGTGAAATATTTTATTAATAGCCATAATGTATAGACATCACCAGGTGCCTTCTGCTCAGGCTGGGCGCCCTCAGCAGAGACGAGAAACCTGCCCTCGCGGTGAGCGCTGTGAGTGGGGCCGCCTGGCCCCCGGTGGGCACGGATGCTGGACGTTGCTGAGGCGGCCCCGCCACTGGGTGGCTGCAGCCCCAAGCGTCCCCGCGGAGGACAGCCGAGCTGCGGTGTAGGCTGTAGAGGTGGGTGAGGCGCAGTTCCTGCCGCCAGGGGACCGGACTGGGGCGGGAAAGGGGTGTGTACTGGGCAAGACAGGTGTGCCTGTGTGCAAGTGACTGCGCCCCAGACGCAGTGGGGCGGCCAGGCCCAGGGCCATCAGCTCGCAGGCCAGCATGTGGTCAGTGTGGTCAGTGGGTGTGCACAGTGTTGTTCATGTGGCTTGGCAGGCCAGCCACTCTCCAGGAGCAGCCCCTGTGCAGCGACCAGGCACTGAGGGCTGAGCCAGCTCGGCGACTGTGCTTACGGGCGAGGTGCCTGCAGACTCCGGAGCTCGCCCGCCGTGTCTGGGATGCGGTGGGAGTAAAGGGGGCTGCAGTGGTCACGTCAGAAACGAACTCGCCGCTCTCGGAGGAAGGTCGCGGTGCTGGGCACCCCCGGCCCCCATGCCCTTCTCTCTGGGGCTGAGCTCCTTCTGATCTTCGGACCCTGTGTGGCCTTCAGACTACCCCCCGTCAGGACGCTGGGCCGCTTCTCTGACCATCAGGCCGAGTGGGTCTGCCCTCTGCCCTGGTGGTGGGGGCGGGGCCTTGGGCCTCAGACCCCCCCCCCCCCCCGGGGGGGGGCAGCCTCCTAGGAGGAGGATGGTGGGATGGAGGGTGACAGCTAGGACAAGGACGGAAGCGAGGTCTGGCCCTTTGCCCAGGAGAAGGGGTGTCAGTCGGGGTGCACAGCGGGCAGGACAGCCAGCCTCTCAGTGCAGCCATGGACCCAGGGGGCGGGGCCGCGTGGGGCAGGGAGGGGCGGGCAGGGCAGCAGGGGAGGACTGACCGCATTTCCTCTGGTTCCTGTGTTGGGGGCGTTCGGGTCTGTACTGATTGCAGTTGCGTGAACTTTGACGTCCTGCCTGGACGTCTGCTGTGTCCTGCCTGCGCTCCAAGTGTGGTTTAGGGTGCGCCCGCTGCCCTCCAGCCACATGGGTCCTAGTGGGGGGGGCTGGAGAAGAGGCAAGAGGGCCCGTGACCACGTCCCTGGTGAGAGCCGTGACGCGTGCGGAGGAAGGACAGGGTGGATGAAGGAGGGGACAGCAGTGTGGAGCCCCTTCTATTCAGAGGTGTGGGAGAGGCCCCCTGGGAGCTGAGGTCCACAGGTCCTGGAGGTGGTGAGCCCAGCGGAGGGAGGCTGGGGGCTGCCAGGGAGCCTGGGCGTGGGCCATGGAGGGGGAAGCGCCCGAGGCCCAGGCACTGAGAGCCGCGTTCCCAGGAAGCGCCTGCCCACGGCCCCCCGCTCACCGCCTGGTAGGTGCCCATGACCTGGCGCCTCCAGAGTCCTGCCCGCATCGCTGGCGGTCTCACACTGAGCCTGGGTGGGGTTCCCCCTGGGCCCGGACTTTGGTTGAAGACTGCTGCCCCTCCGCCAGTGCTCTTCTGTGCGGGCTTCTGTCCCCGTGTTCAAATCTCTGCGCGTGCTTCCCCCCCTTAAACTGTCCCCTCTCGCCTGGTGGCTCTGCAGACGGGCTCGTCGAGGAGTTTCTGCCTCTGTGACGACAGCACACAGCCACCGGCCGGGCCCTGGTCACGAGCAGAGCACACTGGTCTCTGCCCAGTGACAGAAAGGTCAGAGCCACTGTCCGCCCCTGCGGGGCTTGGGGTCAGACAGGGAACAAACGGGCTGGTGCAAATGTGAAGTGTTCACCAGGTGTTGTAAAATGTGTTTCCATGAAATAAAAATAAACGATGAGGGTCAGGTGGGTGAGAACAGAGACGCGAGGCAGCCGGACAGAGCTGGTGTTCCTCGTCTGCACAGGGGAGGGGCGGGGCGTGTGGAGCAGGGGCCGGGTCGTCCGAGGTCTGCAGGGGTGGTTCTCACTCCTCCCACTCAGCGGTCTCAGAGCCCCCGCCACCCCGCTGGAGTCGTCAGGGGCCTCATGGGCCTCAGGTCCTCACCCGAGGACGTGCTCATGGATCTTAGAGGAAGGGAGAGAGACGTCAGTGTGAGAAGCATTAGATTGGCTGGCGCCTGAACATGCCCTGAACCGGGATCAAACCCTTGACCTTGTGCAGCGGACGAGGCTCCAACCCCGAGTCGCTGGCCGGGGTGCAGGGAAAACTTTCAGTGTAAGGGCCATTTCTGCAGCCCCTTGACACTCCCGCCTCTCAACTGTAGTGCCCCTAGTTCCTGCCCACCCTGCTGCGGTCACCCCCAGCATCCCTGGGTGGGGCTCGGCAGGTCGGCCCTCCCCACTCCATCCCTGGCCTTGAGGTTGACACTGCTGCCTGCCTGCCTGTGCTGGCCGGAGAGCGCCTGGCTGAAATGGGCACCGTTAGCACCACAGGCCCTGGGGCCTGGACAGTGAGTGGGGTGGGACCCCTCTGCGGTTGGCAGAGACACGCCCTGGGGTGGAGGAGGGTGGAGAATCAGCTGCCAGTCCACGCATGCCCACTTCGGTGTGTAGCAGCCGAGGTGCCTGCTAGTGCGTTTGAGGCAATGGCTTGGTCTTGACCCGAACCCTTTAACGGCATGGCTGGCTCACCGTGGCTCTGAACTTTTTATTCTGAATTCACAAGACAGGTGGTGGAGACACACCCGGGCACGTCCTGTCTGCTTACAGACCTCAGGGACCCCAGGAGACCGCCCTGCCGTCAGCGTTGCTGATGTGTCCCTCCCCTGAGTACAGACACGCGGCCCCACGTTCCTCCAGGCGGAGGGAACTGAGACTGGTTGCGCACGGCCAGCACCGCTTGTCCCGTTCCCTCCACTCAAGGTTTTGCCTCTTTTCTTACCTGGGGGCTCTGACATCTTGGGGGATGATCTCTGGGCTGGACGTTCCCCCTTGGGGTCACGTGACCTGTGTCCTGGTGGGAATACTCTGGGGTCTGGGTGAGCTGCCCTGCACTGAGGGCGGGGCCGAGCCTCCTCTGGCCACTCACTGCCCGTGGCCTGGCTTCCAGGACACACTGGGTGCCTGGTGTCTGTCCCCTGAGTGAGTCACTGAGAGGGTGGGTGCTGGAGTCAGCCCGGGATGCACCCAGCTGCTGTGTTTTCCTCGGGCGCAGAGACAGCTCGCTACCGCGCAGGGCAGACAGGCACTTGGAGACAGGAGCTAGGTTGCGAGGGGTTTCCTGGTCTCCACTGTGGGCAGTGGCCTCTGGGTCTGTGGGCGACACTGGATGGGTGCTCCGGAGGCACCTGAGGGTGCTCTGGAGGCACCTGAGAGTGCCCCGTAGCCCCGAGGGCCAGCCGGCACTTGGTGGCCTTGCCATGCGAGTCCCCCCCGTGTGGGGCACCCAGCCAGCTGCACGTGCTCAGGGTCTGCTCCCCAAACGGAGCGCATTGGCCTCTGCTGAGCAGCGGGGAGCGGGGCTTCTGTTCCGCTCTGCCCACTCCCATGCCCACCTCCCAACTCCCAACCACAGTCAGCGTTTTCAGCTGTGGAATTAAAGGGAAAGCTGCTGCTTTATTAGGAAGAGTTCGTTGGACTTAAACCCTCAGCGTTTCCACTTCTGATTGATTTTAAAGTGTGAGGTGGAATCCGAAGAAAGCAGAAAACCACTGGGAGGGGTGGGGGTGTTCCGAGATGCCTCTCAAGTCTTGTTTTCTGACATCAACAAGTCCCTGGTTGGGTAGACTTGGGTTTGGGGGGGGGAGCAGGACTTCAGGTCTGTCACTGAACGCACAGCTGCAGGAGGAAGACGGGTGCCCCCCCACCCGCCCCTAAGAGTGGCACTGTGTACGCTGAGGGGGCGCGGTGGGCAGCTACCCCCGGCGAAGACGGGTGGTTCTCCAGTGGTCTTGCTGGTGCTGCGTCCCACGACCGCGGGGGCCCTCTCGGGAGCTGCCGGCTCTGCCCCGCGACCCTGTGCAGCCCGAGAACCAGCCCGACCTGTGCGGGGTGCCGCCCTGACCTGCCAGGCACCGGCTGCCCTCCCCGCACTCTGGGCTCCTCTGTCCGCTGCCTGTGCCCCTCAGCGACTCAGCTGTCCCTCCTGTCTCCTTCTCTCTCTGCTGCAGACCGCACGGCCATGGGGAACGCCGAGAGCCAGAGCGTGGAGCACGCGTTCTACGGGGAGAAGCGTGCCAGCCTGGGGCGCAAGCACACGTCGCGCTCGCTGCGCCTGTCGCACCGGGCGCGGCGGGCCCGGCACGCGTCCTCGGGGAAGGCGGTGCCCAGGAGCTCCGAGGTGAGCGCGCGCTCCAGCAGCACCCCCAGCATCCCGCAGTCGCTGGCGGAGAGCGGCCTGGAGCCCTTCGCGCAGGAGGGCGCCCTCGAGGCCTTCGGGAGCCCCACCTGGGTGGACCGTGTGGATGCGGGCCTGAGGCCCGTGTCCTACACCGACTCCTCTGTGGCCCCCAGTGTGGGCAGCAGCATCGTCCTCGCTGCGGCCTCCGTGCCCAGCGTGCCTGACTCGGAGGACAGCCGGCTCTACGGTGAGGATGCGGCCTACCCGGCTGAGGGTGGCAGGCGGCCGCATCCCTATGAGCGCGCCGGGCCCACGTTCCCGGAGAGTGCCGGCTTCAGGAAGAAGCGCTCCAAGTCCGCAGACATCTGGCGGGAGGACAGCCTGGAGTTCTCGCTCTCCGACCTGAGCCAAGAGCATCTGACGAGCAACGAGGAGATCCTGGGTGCTGCCGTGGAGAGGGACCGCCAGGAGGCCCGGCGGGCGGAGAGCCGGCTGGGCCCGCGGCCACCCGCCACCTGTCAGCGCGCCAATTCCCTGAGCGATCTCTGCACTCCGGACAGCGCCAGGGTGATGGCCAACGGGGGGCCCAGGAGCAAGTGCGCTGGCTACTGTCGCAATTTGGCGTCTGACCACCCCCACCGGGCCAACCACAAGGCGCCACCCGCCGCTGCCGAAGAGGCTGCCCCCTACAACAACTACAACACCCTTCCCTGCAGGAAGTCCCACTGCCTCTCAGAAGGCGCCACCAACCCACAGCTGAGCCACAGCAGCAGCATGCAGGGCAGGAGGGCCAGGACAACCCAGGTAACGTGGCCGCGGCTGGAGGTCGGAAAGGGTTCGCGGCCTCTGCTGCATGCGCATGCTCTGCCGAGGTCCTCTGCTGTCCGTGGGGCTTCCCCGGGGGCCTGGCGGCTCCGCCCGCCTTACCAGTTCGTGCCTGAGGGGTGGGGCCCAGGGACAGAACGGGCACGGGGGCTGTGGGGACAGCAGTGGAGTGAAGCTGGGGAGTTTGCTCTGAGAAGCTGCCCCTCCCACCCAGTTTCCCACGGCGCCCTGCGGGTCTTCCCCGCCTGTCATAACAGGGCCTCACAGGCGGGCAGGTGGGTGCAGAGGCCTGTGGACTTGGAGCACCCGCCCCGGGCACTGTGGTGGCAGGAGGCCCGTCGGGGTGGCCTGTCGGAAGCGGCTTCTGGGACCAGGGCCGCCTGGGCGTCCGTCAGCCTCTCGGACGCTGGCAGGCTGCCTCCTTGCCCCCCCCCCCGCCCCCCTCGGGGCCAGGTCAGTTTCCTGGGCCTGGCGACGTGCCAGCTCTGCCGCCTCCAGAGGGCGGGTCACGGAAGGACAGCGCCCACGTGGCAGCCAGCTCCATGCGTGGCCTTGGGCAGACCTTGCCTGCCAGTGTCTCCTTGGAAAAGGGGGTGAAGCTGTGTGGGTTTGCTTGGATCTGGGGTCCGGGAGGGGCAGGTGTGAGAGCACGGGCCACAGGTTGGGGGCGGGTTTTGCCCAGGAGAGGAGGCACCGCCCCTTGACTGGTGGTGATGGGCAGTGACAGGAGACAGAGAACAGGCCCTTGAGCCTGCAGGGCCCCGCCCCTTCCTGTCCCAGGAGCTGGGGGAGGGGTGGCTGGCGCAGCTGGAGGATGCCAGATATTCCACAGGGTGGGCTTCAGATTGGAAACCCGGGCTGGGTGCATGTGCTTTGCAGGGCCGGTCGGGCACCTGGGTGAGCAGTGTCTGCGCGGAGGTCGGCGCGAGAGCAGCGGGTGTGCTCCGACCTTGGTCCGCGGCAAGCAGACGGGCATCCGAGTCGGGCCGTCTCGGGCAGGATGGGAAGGAGGGCTCAGCGCTGCGAGGGAGCCTGGCCGGTGCAGAGCCCTGGTCGGGGGTCGTCAGCATCAGACCACGGGGGCCTGCATGGCAGCAGGGTCTGTGCTTAGTTCACAAACCCCAGGGTTCTGGCTCTACTTTGCAATTTTAAATTCTTCTATATGAGTCATTTGGGTGTGCAGTTTTCTAACATCGTAGATGTGTTTATTACAGCAATCAAAATTTACTCTCTGTTCCTCCAGCCTCATATAGGTTAAAGGGGTCTGAGCTACCCCTTTCGTTTTAAAATGCTGTTTTAAGCTGGGGTCAAAGTGCGCAGGACACCCAGCACCCGGACCCCTTGTTCGGGGGTTAAGTGCGCTGCCGCTGTCGGGCGCCTTCGCCACCTTGGTCTTCAGAGTCTTCCAACCGAAACCCCGCCTCCCTCCCCGCAGCACCGTTTTCCACCCCCCACCCCGGCCCTGGGGCCCACCTCTCTGCTCTCGGGCTCTGGGGATCTGACCCGCCACGTCCTGTGGTGTGTGTCCTTCTACTTCGCCGAGTCCGGCGTGTGTCACCGTGGCAGCCGCCAGCGCCTCCTTCCTCTTCAAGGCTGAACGACGTTCGGCCGTGTGGACGGACCCCTTGTTTTTGACACTCCCCTTGCTGGGGGGTGGGGGTCTTTGACAGCTTCCCAGATGGGCATCCTGGCTGCGCCTCTTCTTTCCTGGGTGATGGTGGGCAGTGCTTTCAAGGCTGTGGAACCTGAGTTTCTCCTCTGTTGAACGGGGAAATGACGAGGGTCTCCGAGTGAACCAGGTGAAGTGGCACGAGAAGCCAGGGGCCTGGGCCTGCAGGCGCGGCCGCTCAGGGATGCCACCAGCTGCTGTGATGCCCACGTGCGCTAGGGGCCCCGCCCTGGGAGGCGGAGCCTGAGCCCGGCACCCAGGGGCACTTGGAGTGTGGGCCCCCCTCTCCCGAGCACGGCTGTGGTGACAGAAGTGACTGGCAGACCCTTGCAGTTCCTCGGCCTTGCTGGGTGGGCTCTGGCCTATTTGATGGGTCACAGGCAGGTGGGACACGGGACCTCTGAAGGGCCACCTGAGAGGCCTGGTGGGCTCCGTTTCAGGGACGTGGCTGGTTGGCTTTGCAGCGCTGGCTCAAAGAGGCGGAGCTCAGAGGTGGGCGCACTGATGGAGACAGGACAAGGGGCCTGCCCTGTGGGTGTTGCCCGGGCCGGTCAGCGCTCGGTGAGCACCCAGTTGCTGGGAGGCCCGGTTCTGGCTCCTCTGTCCGTGCCTCCCGCCCTGGGCACAGCCGGACCTCTGCGTCCCCGCCACGCCCCGTGGTGGGGGGGGCCTCTGGTCGGGGCTACCCCGAAGGCCAGAGCGAGTCTCCCCTCAGAGGCATGTCCGATGGCCTCCACGCTCCATGAGTACGTGGCACAGAGACTGTCTGAGGGCAGCCCTCTCCCCGTTGCAGCCGGTGCAGGGCAGAGTGCGACCTGGCTCACCGGCCGCCGCCCTGCGTCCCCGCAGGCCCTTCTCTGTCCGGGCGAGTGGCGGAACCTCTGCTGGAGCCGACAGGAGGGCCGCGCGGGACACCGCGCGGAGGCTTTGGTGGAGTCTGGCCGGAGAGCAGAAGTGTTTCCTCCGTGTCTCCTCTGTGTGTGGAGTGAGGGTCTTTAATGACTGGAAACGAACCCCAGAAGTCGGCGGACATGGCGCGCCCACCCGCGCTTCCCCGTCTGTGCCTGGCTCGCTCCTCCCACGCGCTTCCTCCAGGGCCCACTGTGTCCCAAGCCATGCACTCGCAGAGGTAGTGGGTGTGTGGGAGCCTCGTGAGAAGCACGGTGTTTGGTCTTTTTGGGGGTGGGAGTGTCTGACTCTGGGGACTTCCTCAGTGCCAGGTCACGGAGCCAGGTCCCCACCCTGGCCCTGGGGGTGTCGCCAGTCCTGTCTGCAGTGTGCTCCCCAGAACAGTATTCCTGGCAGACTTGTGGCCGCTACCTGGGAGAAAATCATTCTTATTGGAAACAGTGGAACAACTTGTCTTTAATTGAAAATGCCCACGAGCGCCGCTGAGCACGCCTTGCAGCTGTGTCTGGGCAGTGGCTGCCGTCTGCTGAGACGGGAGACACCCGGGCTGTCAGAAGGGGCGGGGCCGTGTCTGCCCCCCAGCTGTGCCGAGGGCTGCGTGTGTGCACCAAGCAGGCCGGTCGTCTCGTGGGGCAGTTGGGGAGGGGTTAACCCTGGGTGCCGAGAGCAGAGCTGGCTTGGGCGTCGCTGACCTCTGGCCGGACGTGGCCGTTCCCAGGTCAGCGGACAGAGCTGAGGCAGCCGGCGTCCTGCCGAGAGGAGGTCCAGTGGGTGTGAGCTTGCGTGTGGGGCCTGTCACCTGCTGGCGTGCCACCGGCAGGGTGCTCGGGGCCAGGCCCATGGTGGCAGCTCAGGGAAAGATGGCCACTGGTTGTGACGGTGACTCTGACTCCGCATCCTGGAGTTCGGCCCTTGTGTGGCTCTGGGATGCCCGTGGGGCCGGCGCAGGGGACACCCGTCTGCAGAGCACGTGTCTGCGGGGGTCTGGGTCTCCTGGGGAGGCCGGGCCACTGCGTGCCGCCAGCGGGGAGCAGAGGGTGTGCTCGCTGTGCTGGCAGGGCCTCGGGGCCCCTGTCCCAGGCCTATGGGGACGTGGGATGCTGTCCGTCAGGGCAGCGTGTCTGTGTGGCTCTGCTCAGGCTGGCCCACAGGCTGCCCCTGTCTGACCCCACCGCTTTCCTGGGGAGGTGACACAGCCGCACAAGGGCTTCACACCCAGGTTTCCTGACTCACACACTCGGGTTGGGGTCTAATTTTCAGAAGCCCGTCCCCCTCCCACAGGGTTCAACCCAGGTGCTCCCAGATTTTATGATCAAATCCCTCAATTCTGGTCGAGATGCGAAAGAGGGCTGTTGGCGGAACAGGAGGTAGTGCCTGCTCACTTGCACGGCCGGAGTGCGGCAGCGTCAGGGTCCGAGCTTGGGGTGTTCTCCCGGGACGAGCGAGGACCAGGGCTAGGGCGCCAGCAGGTGCGGGGTGTGGTGTGACGGGGAACTGAGTCTGGAGCTCCTGCCGCAAGCGTGTGGACGGTAAACTCGGGCTTCGTTTCACGGCTGAGCCTCAGTGGCTCAGGCCGCGGCGTTTCCTGGGTCGGGCGCCGACTTTGGCCTTCAGGAGGCTCGGGAGCTTTGGCGCCGGAGAAACACGCCCCCTTTCTGAGGCAGGCGCAGGGCCACCCTTCCTCCTGCAGTGTCCGTGGCCTCAGGTCCCACCAAGTCCCTCTGGAAGCTCACGGTCAAGACCCTCAGGTCCTCTCCTTGGGCCCCCACGTGACTCAGTCTGAAGATGGAGATGACAGCAGTCACAGTCAACGTTTGCAGCACGTCGCGTGCTCGGCATGGTTCTCGGGACTTTTGTTGGGTTCACTCCAGGTCACAGCGTTTTACGAAGGGTTTTAGAAAGGACTGTAGCTGCCGCTTTGTTCTTGTTGTAGAGGAAACGGGGGCACAGGCCCCCCACAGCAGCTATTGCCTCGAACTGGTGTGTGCTGTGCTGGGGTCCCCACGGGCGAGTGGACCGAGGTGGCCTGGGGACCGTGTGTGGGGGGCTGGGACGGTGGGGTGACCCAGCGAGGCCCCGAGGAAGGCTGCTTTAGAACCCACCAGGCAGAAGCCGTCCGACCTGAGCCCCCGTGGCCAGGACTCGCCCCTCGCTGTGTTTCCGGCATCTTTCTCTCCCCAGGCGTGGGGCAGCGAAGCCCGGTGCACCAGGGAAGTCGAGCCAGGTCACGCACAGCACAACTTTGTGTCACGTTCGAATTCTGCTACAAGGGGCCGGTCGGTTCTTCCGATTCCTGAATCATCCCAGGGTCCTCAGACTGTGTGACTTGATAGGTTTTTGAGATCGTGTTTGCCTGTCATCGACACAGAAAACCTGTCCCTCGGTGTGTTGACCTTCGAACACAGTGGGGGACTGAAGGGGGCCAACTCCGGCTCAGTCGGAAACCCTGGTATGACGGGCTCCCCAGAACCTAACTGCGGATCGCCTGCTGCTGTCGCGTGGCTGTCCCCCAGCAGCGTGGTTGGTCGACACCCGTTTTGTGTGGGCACCCCAGGCTGTGTGTGTTTCCGCGGGCAACAAGAGGAGAAAGGTGTTACTGAGGAAGTCAGAAGGAAGAGAAAGCACCCTTCCTGTGTTTCCTGGGAGAAAAGCCGGTGTGGAAGTGGCCCTGCCCAGCTGGAACCTGTGGTGTCCCGGGTCCCCTGCAAGGACACTTGGACTGGGACCCAGGGTGTTGCTAGCCTGTCCTTGTGCCAGAAGGCCCTCTGGATTCCAGCACCGGGGCCACGGCAGGCCTGGTGGAATGCCCGCGGAAAGCCCTGGCGGGCAGCTGCTGAGTGTTTGGGGCCCCCGATGGCCATGGCGTGTCCCCTGGACGGGCGTGTCTGTGCAGGGAAGTGCCCACGGGGTGGGGGCGCGGCCCTGGCGGGTGCGCGGCCCCCGGCCATCAGCGCATTTCCCGAGGAGCGTTCCCAGTGCGTAGGGTGTGCTCCGCGCTGTCCCCCGGGGACTCGGGCTGATCAGGCGCTGTGTTGGGTATCCTCTCTCTGCTTAGCTGGTGACCCAGCATCTTCCTTCCCTCCCCTGGCTTTGTGATCAAACTCTGTGTGGTTCTGTGCTCTGGGACCCATCAGGTGCAGGCTGTCCAGCCTGAGGTGCAGGACACACCCTGCACCTGTGACGGTGGCCCTGAGGCCTGAGGGGCTGCTCCCTGCGACCATCTGAGCCCCTGTTGCTGGGAGGTGTGGCCCGGGCGTGGGGAGAGTCCGGTCCTCAGGAATAGTGTCCTGGAGACGGGTGGGTGGGGGGACGTCCCTGTGGAGACACAGCTCCTGGTGGCGCTTGCGTCGTGGGGCCGCTGCCTCTCTGCTGAGCCACAGGAACTTGCCACAGAGTGTGGCACTCATCCAGTGCCTGCGAATGACAGGCACGCGGACGCAGCCTCCGAGGGGTGGCTGGTGTCTCTTAGGGTGTGACCCTGGGGCCTCTGCATCACAGTGGCCGCTTTTGGTTTGTACTACAGAGTCTGAGACCGGTGGACAGGTGTGGCACCTGGACATCTGGATAGAGCAGCCCCCCCCCACTGTTTCCCACCCTAGAGGTGGTGAGGGCTGGAGCAGGGCTCTCGGAGCCCCCGTGGAGCAGCTGGGGGCCAAGAAGTGCCGGCAGCTGGCGGCTCATCGTTTCCCACACCCGACAGCATGGGCTTGTGGGAATGTGGGACATCCCAGACTGATGACCAAACGGGCTGGGGCGGGGCCGCCAGCAGTTCCTTCCCAACAGGCCGGGTGACCCAGCAGTGGGGAGATGCCACCGAGCCTGCCTGGCTGTTTGTGGCGATGAGGTGGTGTTGGCGTGGGCGTCACAGGGAGGGCGTTGGTCGCACTGGGCTGTGTGCTCTGGAGGTGCCAAGCTGAGCTGGTGCCGGCGGGCCTCTTACCGGCGGAACCGCTTCTCTTGCTCAGTGTAGTGACTGCCTGCGAGTGGAGGACACGGAGCGGGGTCACTGTGAGGCTCTGGCATTGGGGGGTGTGAGCAGATGTTCAGGTGGGACCAGGAGGTAAGTGTCTGTCAAGGCCTTGCTTCTTGGGTGTGTGGAGGCCTTGGGGCGTCCTGTGGGGGTGCCCGGCCCGTGGGGACACAGCTGGCTGTTAGAGGTGCGTGCTTGATGGTTGGCGCGTTTGGCCTCTTCCCCTTCCCTTTCCTCCCCTTTCCGCCACAGTCAGCTTCGAGAGAGCAGGCACCCAGCTGGAAGGGGGGCTTTGGCGAATGGGGAGGGGCGGGGGGCGCATGAGGCTGACTGTACAGACCGAGTCTGGCCAGATGCCGTCTGTAGCTGAGCAGTGATGGGCCTGCCTTGTCCCAGGGGACAAGGTGGCAGGGTGCATGGGTGCTACCCTCCAGCCTGCCACCAGCCCGCGCCTCTCAGCACCAGGACAGCTTCCCGAGGTCTGTCCCTGTCCTTGAGCTCAGGGAGGCCCACAAGGCCTGGGTGCAGGCGGTCCCCTCCTCTGTTCAGGAGTATGGCCCTGTGGGGCCGGCCTCTCCCTACCTCACACAGAGCGCTCACACCCACGGGTTGGAGTCTGCGGCTGATGCCTTTGCTTTTTCAGAGGACTGAGCCGCGTGAAAAGGTGTCCAGAAGTTTGGGAAGTTCACGACACCGTTTCCCACTATTCAGGGTTACCTAGTGTGCCCCCCGTCACTGACGGTCACTTTACTGGCCGTCCCGTGTCAGAAGGGAGGCAGGAGGGAGAGCTGGGGTTGGACCGCTCCTGTCCCGGCAGGGGACCCACACCCGCACCCTCTGGGGTTCTGCCTCGGAGCCCCGCCCATGCGTCCCCGTCCTCCCCGAGCGTGTGCGAGCCCAGTGGAAACGCAGTTGGTCCCCAGCTACTTCCTGTTGCCGTCTCTGCCCGCTCTAGTTCCTTTTTTAAAAGCAGTGTCAGGTAGGAGGGAGGGTCCCCATGTGCCGCACGCCAGGCGGCCGTGCGTGCCTGTGGGGGTGTGCAAGGTGCCCCCGCTGCCGCATCGCCCTTCCTGCCGTGTGCACCGGCTTTGGTTTTGTTTTCCGGAAGGTGTGCTTTGATGACTTCCTACACTGTCAGCGGTGAAGTGATTACTGCAGCTGAGTTACCATATCTACCCCCCCACATCAGCACCCCCTTTCTGGTGGTGAGAACGCTCAGGGTCTACTCTTGGCAGATCTGAAGCGTGACCACCGTGCCGTCAGCTGCAGTCACTGCTGTGCCTTAGATCCCAGAACTTCCTCATTTCCCCGCTGGCAGTTGCCTCTGCACCCAGCAGCCCCCCGCCCCTGCACCCGGAGTCCGTGTGTCTGGCCCCACGTGCGGTTGAGTCACGCTGCTGGAGTCTCTCTGCGTCTTCTGCCGCTCCCACGTGGGCCTCTGCCCCTCTCCCAGCTGCTCTCACTTGGCCTTGAGTCTCGCTGGAGGTGAAGCTGACTTCCCCTCGGAGGCACGGACAAAAGCATGCAAAGGTGCAGGCCCCTGTCTGGGCCTCACCGGCAACAGTTTATCTACTGCCCCGCTGCCTCTCAGCAGAGTCGAGCCCAGAGCTTTGGTTTCTATGGCGATTAGAACACCCTGTAGCTTTTGTGTTTCCAAACCACAGTGACCTAACTCTGTGTGAGGCTGAAGCACAAACGCAGGTGAAGCCTTAGGCCGCGTCTTCCTTTGCCATCTGGTCTCTGCCTCTGAGGACAGTGTGCAAGACCGCAGGTTGCCCTGTCTGCCGCTGCCGGTGTCCTCCTCCCTCGACTGCTGCCCCTGTTTAATGACTGTGTAAAGATGTCGGCAGCACCTCAGAGCGGTGGGGGTTCTGAGTTCAGAGCAGGCCCGGAAATGCTCAGCTCCAGAGCCGGGCAGTGCTTTGCAAGTTCCAAATGGGTTGACACTGGGAATCGATACCCCCTGCGTCTTGGCAGGTGCCCGAGCTGTCCCTGGCCCGGGGCCGGCAGTAGCTTGCTTTGGGCTCCCGGTGTTCCGGCTTTGAAAGGGCGAGGTAACTGGAGCACGGGGCCTCAGCTGTGGCCCAAGGCCTTCTCCAGCTCAGTGCAGTGGGCGGCTGCCCATTTTCTGGAAGCACAGCCCATCGGGGCAAGAAGACCATTGCCTGCTCCGGGGACATGGGTCCTTGCTGGGTGAGTGGCTAAGGTGGCCCCCTGGCCATCTCTTCAGTTGCCACGCTATAAAACAGGCTCCTAACCAAGCCCTTTGCTTCTCTCTAAAAAAAAAAAAAAGGTCTCACCTGCACCCGTTTTATCCATGCTGTCTCCTTGTTCCCCTGGGAAGCCCTGCCTCAGCACAGCCCACTGACCGCCTGCAGGGTCTCCTGGAGTTCTGGGTGCTGGTGACAGGCGAGGGGAGGCGAGGGGAGGCAAGCAGCTCTGGGCTGGGGCCAAGCCACTCCGCGGCTGATTTGCCAATCAGTTCATTAAGTAAGATAAGTGACAGGCTCTTTGCAGTGCCCCTTGTGTCTTTTCTACTTGAACATTTTCAGCGGTTCGCCTTGGTAGTGGGGTGGCTGGATGGTGTTCTGGGCACCCCGCTGCACCTCGGGTTTGTGCGCGTCCGGTGTGGGGGGGGCGTCCCTGCCAGAGCGGTTGGGAGGTGGGTGCCCTGTGGGTGGCAGGAGCCGCTGGGACCTCTGTGTGACGCATGTCCGCTTTCCCTCCTTTTCGGCTCCCAAGGATGTGAATGCGGGAGAAGGCAGCGAGTTTGCCGACAGTGGGATTGAAGGGGCCACCACGGACACGGACCTGCTGTCCAGGCGCTCCAATGCCACCCACTCGAGCTACTCGCCGCCCCCTGGCCGTGCGTTTGCGGGCAGTGACAGCGGCAGCAGCAGCACAGGGGACGCAGCGCGCCAGGGCGTGTACGAGAACTTCCGCCGCGAGCTGGAGCTGAGCGCCGCCAACCGCGAGAGCCTGGAGGACGCGGGCTCGGGGCACAGTGACGAGCGCTCCAGCGGTGCCCCAAGCTCGCCGGGCCGCTCCGACGTGCTGCGGGAGGCGGCGCGGGGCACGGTGCGCAAGGCGGGCGCCCTTGCCGTCAAGAACTTCCTGGTGCACAAGAAGAACCGGAAGGTGGAGCCGGCAGCGCGCAGGCGCTGGAAGCACTACTGGGCATCCCTGAAAGGTGAGCCGGGGGCAGGGCACTCCCTCCCCTCCCCACCCCGCTTCCTGCGGGCTCTGTGCGCTGGGGGGGGGGGGGGGGGCGGGGCTGGGGCAACTACAGTGTCAGTCGTGAGCTTAGACCTCGCACGTGGCCCTCCGAGTTCGGAGGGCGAAGTCTGCCTTGTGCTCCAGGCTGCAGTGGTGCCGCAGGCATAGGTCACGCAGCCGACCTCCAGCGCCGGATCGTCTACCTCGCGGGTGCCGTGTTCCGGAGCGGCAATTCCCCCGACACCTCCCTCACATGCCGCTCTGTCGTCTTTGTCCCCGCAGCGGGGCCGTGGGAGCGGCTCAGGTCTAGTGCCCTCATGTGCACACCTGGGTTCCACGACAGTTCTGGGGATGCACTTAAAAAGTTGTTTTTTAATAATTTTTGCTAGTGAGTGCCTCCCAAGGTGACGGACCGTCTGAGAGGGACACCATTAGACTGAACCCCTGGAGTTTCCACTTTCAGGTCAAAGACGCGACAGAAGACTGTTAGTTCCGTGGGGTTCAGCCTGATGGTTCGTGGGTGTGAGGAAGGCCCTGAGCCACCGCATGTGACAAAAACCATCGATTTACAGCCAGGCCGAATGGCCGGGTGGTGTACATCACCGTTTTCACTAAATTACCGTACACAGTATGTGTCATCTGTTGTCATTTTACACACCTTTTTGTGTTGTGTGGGCATGTTCCCTTGTGCCTCGGCCTGTGCTCAGTGCTCCAGAGATCGTAACATGTTGTGACTGGGCTTCCTGTCACAGGCGCGGTTTGAGGCAGGGCTGGCCGAGGGACAGGGCAAGCGCAGGGTGAAAGGACCTGGGCCCCTCGTGCTGCCGGGCTTCCCCAGCCGTGGCCCGTGTGGGAAAGTCCAGTGCTGGAGGCACCCAGTGAGCAGGTCCCTGGGCACGCCCAGGGGACGAGCCGGGTTGGGTGCACCCTGTCGTCCCTTCGTCCGCTGTGGCTTCCGTGCCTGGGAAGGGAGGAAGGGAGCCTTGTGACTGGATGACAGGTCTTGCTGCACGTAACAGACCCCACGGTGACATCTTACGCGAGATAGAGCTACAGCACCCCCGCCCCGTCAGATCATCTGAGGCTGGCCACGTCCCCGGGGGCCTGGGCTCCTTCCATCCTGTTGCTCAGCTGCGCCCAGAGCCTTGCCTGAGAGCGGGCGAGTGAGGGCGCCACCTGCAAGCTGCCCACCTGGTCGTAACGTGGGGACGAGCGGGGGCTGCGTGGAAGCCTGCCTCAGCTCCCTGCTGCCGCGGACCACTGTAAGCTCAATCCGGGAGGTCATGAAGACGGCAGGCTGGGGAGACCCTGAAATGGGCGCTGTGCCCACATTCCAGGGTTTGCAGCGTCCACCTTCTCGTGACCCACTGGCTGTGCGCTCGGCCTCAGCCTCCGGGGCTGTGCTGACGGCCAGGCCTCTCATGGCACTCGTCACAGCTGTGTGGGAGCGTGTCCACAGCCACTGGTAGCCGCTGAGCCCCGAGACCCCTGTGTGCCTTTGAGGACACTTGTGTGAAGTTTTCTCAAACAGGCGCAGAGCCCAAGAGACCTTGTGGGCGTGCGTGAGGGAGCGCTGGGCGGGGCACGGAGCTGTGGTTCAGGCCTCCATCCCGGTCTGGCCCCTGTTCCGCCCCCGGATTTCATGGGCACGTCAGGGTCCGGCCCTCTCCTGGGGACAGGCAGCCAGGACTCACCCAGCCCCTGCTCTCTTCCCAGGGTGCACGCTCCTGTTCTACGAGAGCGACGGCAGGTCAGGCGTTGACCCCGCCAGCACCCCCAAGCACGCCGTGTGGGTGGAGGACAGCATCGTGCAGGCCGTGCCTGAGCACCCCAAGAAGGACTTCGTCTTCTGCCTCAGCAACTCCCTGGGCGACGCCTTCCTCTTCCAGGTTTGTCAGGCGCCCAGTTCGGAGTCTGAACCGGTCCTTCCTCTCCTGCCTGCACACGTGTCCCGGTTTCCTCCTGGGGGGTGCGCTTCCCGTGGCTCCTTACAGAGACACAGGTGATGAAAGGCGGATACTCGTGGGGTCCCAGGAACACACCCCAGGAGGCCCCCCCGGAGAGAACCCTGAGGGGTGTGCGTGCGGCGGCCAGCTTGCTCTGCGTGGCTGTGGGCTGGGGCCTTGACGCTGTGGCCTCTGCCCTTTGCACAGCGCTTTGGAGGAGGGGCGGGAGCCTCGGTTTAGACAGGGTTTGAGCTGCCGAGCTTTTCCTGTCGTGACGCGCTCTTTCCCGGTAGACTCATAATGTGAAATAATGGCCTTCCAGAGGTGACGGGCGGTCCCCAAACCATTTCTTCCATCTCATCAGACCTTTGTGCCTGGTGTTCTGGACTTGCGACTATTAATTGTATTAAAACGTGGCCACCTGCTAATCACTTTGGGTTATCAGCATTTGCTTGTGCTGAGCTGGGTCAGTTGTGGTCCACACCACTCGGACTTGCGGCGGTGTTTGTTGGGAAGGCTCCCCAGTCCATTTCCACGGTCAGACCGCTATTCCGTGTTTTCTGTGTGCCGTGCACGCTGCTGCCAAGGATGCCGAGGCTCTGACCCCGTCCCCACTCTGACAGGTGTTCGCATGTGAACCTGGAGACAGACCTGGGAACAGGTCTCTGTGGTGCGGTGGAGCCCGGCAGTGACCGTCAGTGCAGGGAGGGATCGAGTGGATGGGCGGGGGACCGGTACCCACAGCAGGGAGCCGGGACAGAGGCGTGGGAGAGGGTGGTAGGCTATTTCACCAAGTTTCTGGGTTCGGCCCCTAAAGTTACTTCCATTTGTGAAATTAAAGTAATAGCTAGAAAGAGTGATTTTGTCTGTAAATAGAAAAAAAGCTGCTTTTCTTTCTTTAAATTTATATAAAGCACACATAAAGAGGAGTACACAGACTGTAAGTGTGTTACTCAGATGAGTATCACAAAGTGAATCTGTTACCACCACCCCGGTCACGAAGTGGAGGTGTCTGGCGCCCTGTAAACCACGCACCGCCCAGCCGCACGCCGGCAGCGCGCCGGCTGCGTGGAGCATGTGTTATCGTGCGAGCCAGGACCCTTCTGTTTCACCGGGAGTGTCCTTCCTTCCCCTTCGTTTGTGGCGGTGCCTTTGCTAGATGTAAACTCCGTGGCTAACAGTCCGTCTTCAGTGCTTTGAAGACACCATTCCACTGCCCCCACCTTCCACCGATTCTGAGAAGTCAGCTGTTTCAGGTTACTCTGCCTAGAATTCACCGAGCTTCTTGGGTGTACAAGTGTGTGTGTTTAAATTGTCCCCTTTCGGAGCTCCATCGTGTGCATGGGCTCTGCTCGGCCTGCTGCGTCCTCGTTCTGTTCTGCTCCCTGGACTGGACAGTCTGCGTTCACGTGCCTCGAGTTCGCTGACTTCTGTTTCTCTTTATCTTACTACATTTTTACATTTTTGTTGCCAGCTGAATTGGCTTTTGTGTTCCTCTGGTGAATTTTTCACTTCAGTTTTTCTACATTTCAACTCTACAATTTATATTCGGTTCCTTAAAATAACTTTTGGTTGAATTTCTTTTCTTTTTTAAAAAATATGTTTTATTGATTGTGCCATTACCGTTGTCCCATTTTCCCCCTTCATTCTCCTCCACCCTGCACACCCCGTCCCCACCATTCCCCCTTTAGTTTATAACCATGTGTCTCAAGTCCTTTAGATTCTATATTTCCCATACTATTCTTGCCCTCCCCCCTGTCTATTTTCTACCTACTGTCTATGCTACTTATTCTCTGTACCTTCTCCCCCCTTCTCCTCCTCCCACTTCCCTGTTGCTAACCCTCCATATGATCTTCATTTCTATGGTTCCACTCCTGATCTAGCTGTCCTCTTAGTTGGCTTTTGTTTTAGGTGTGGTTGTTAATAACTGAGTTTGCTGTCCTTTCCCTGTTCATCTTTTTTAACTTCTTTTTCTTAGATAACTCCCTTTGACATTTCATATAACAAGGGCTTGGTGATGATGAACTCCTTGAACTTGACCTTATCTGAGAAGCACTTTATCTGCCCTTCCATTCTAAATGAAAGCTTTGCCGGATAGAGCAATCTTGGATGTAGGTCTTTGGATTTCATGACTTGGAATACTTCTTTCCAGCCCCTTCTTGCCTGTAAGGTCTCTTTTGAGAAATCAGCTAACAGTCTGATGGGAACTCCTTTGTAGGTGACTGTCCCCTTATCTCTTGCTGCTTCTAGGATTCTTTCCTTCATTTTAATCTTGGCTAATGCAATTATGACGTGCCTTGGTGTGTTCCTCCTTTGGTCCAACTTCTTTGGGACTCTCTGAGCTTCCTGGATTTCCTGGAAGTCTATTTTCTTTGCCAGAATGGGGAAGTTCTCCTTTATTATTTGTTCAGATAAGTTTTCCACTTGTTGCTGTTCCTTTCCCCCTTCTGGTACCCCTATAATTCTGATGTTGGAACGTTTAAAGATGTCCTGGAGGTTCCTAAGCCTCTCCTCATTTTTTTTGAATTTTTGTTTCTTCCTTCTTTTCTGTTTGGTCATTTTTTCCTTCCTTCTGGTCTGCTTCCTTGATTTGAGTCCCAGTTTCCTTTCCATCACTATTGGTTCCCTGTGCATTTTCCTTCCTTTCAATTAGTTCAGCCTTCATGTGTTCCTCTAATTTGTGACTAAAATCAACCAGTTCTGTGAGGATCCTGATCACCAGGGTTTTAAACTGTGCATCTGATAGGTTGGCTGTCTCTTAGTTGCTTAGAAGTATTGGCTCTGCGGCTTTGAGCTGTTCTTGAGCCATAATGTTTTTGGTCTGTTTGTGCTTGTTAGGTATGAGGGGCGGAGCCTTAGGTGTTCAGCAGGGTGGGGCCACCCAGGACGCTGGGTTGTGGTGCTGTATGTGGGTGCAGGGTCAGAGGGGGCAATGGTTGTTTTTTGCTCTCTCTCAGATTTCGGTCCCCTTTGCTACTTCCTGAAAGCAAACCGGGTCCCCCTGGTGCCAGCTCCGGGGTGTGTGGGCTTGTGTACCCTCCAGGACCCTGTGGGTCTCTCCAACAAACTCTCTGTGAGCCTGGGAGCTTCTCCTGGCACCTCGACCCTAAAAGTTTTTCCAACTGGTGCTTTTAGGCTTTAATTCCTGTCGCTGGGGCCCTAGCCTGCACGGTCTGTCTCACTGCTCACTCCTTCACCTGGTTTATCTGCGCGCAAATGTGTGACTGCAGTCAGCCTGCCTCCTTGCACCCTCACTGGATCTGCTTGTTGCCACCCACACCTGGAATCTACCAACCGCCGCCCGCGTGCCTGGGTCGGGTTTTCTGCCCCACCTGGCTCTGCTGCTGACTCCGCCCCTCTTACCTGTCTGGCTGAGTGGGTCGTTGGTGTCAGACTTTGGTACAGTTCAGTTTTCTGTGTTTTGATTGCATTTTTGTTACTAAAACTTTGTTGTCTTTAAACTTGGTTGTGCGAGAAGGCACAGTGTTTCCACCTACACCTCCATCTTGGTTGGAAGTCCAGTTGAATTTCTCTCTGTTGATAGTCTCTACCTGGTGAGATACAATCCTCCTACTTTAATTCTTTAGATGTGGTTTTCTTTAGTTCTGTGAAGGTGTTCGAAGTAGCTGATGCAGTGACTGTCTGGCAGTCCCCACCCGGACGTCCTCGGAAACGGTCCCCCCTCCACCTCTCCTCCCGTGTCTGTCCCACGACCTTCTTGGTTCTTCCCGAGTCTCGTGCTCTCCTGGTTGGAAACCGCACATTTAAACACAGCCAGCCCTTGAATGACGTCACTGTGTCCAGCATTGTGTTGTTGGGACTTGGACGATATACCGTGGGGACTTAGCTCTCATTGGTATCGGTGAGCCCAGGGTAAGATTGTTCCATTGCACACGGTTCCACAACCGCGGAGCGGTCCTCGTAGCAAACTCCTTCCGTCTCATTAACAGACCTGCAGCAGCTTCCCGAAACCTGGTTCCGACCCGCAGATGCCTCCACTGGAGTGGAGTCAGAGTGATTTGGGGTTGGTGTGGGAGTCTGTCCCTCGTCCACTTCTCTGCCGGCTCCGTCCTCGTTCTGAACGTGCCTCAGCTTCTCCTTCCAAGCTTTGCAATGGTTTTCTTATCGCCAGCGTGCTGATTCCGAACGCTTACTTCCTTTTTAGTTACTAGAGGCTTGCTTCCCTCCCTCCATTCCGTCTCCTTGTCCCTTTTTCACTGAGCCTCGTGTATTTGTTGGTCCCCAGCGTCGGGTTCTGCGTGGCTCTGAGGACGGTGTCTTGGCTTCAGACGTCACGTTTTCGGCCGGCCATGCATTCACCGCCCTCCCTGCTGGACGCTCTCTCCACTCGGGGTGCTGGGCATCTGGTCACACCGAAGTGCCAGGTGCCAAGCGAGGCTGCCGTGGCAGGAACAGACAGGATGACCTGTGTGTCCAGGGCCCAGCTGACAGCGTTGGGTGGCCTTTTCTGGGGGCCCCTCCACTGTGCCCCGGAGGGTCCTGCTGTTGCCGCTCCCCAGCCAGCTGCCATTCAAGTGTCCTGTTCACAGGAAATTCTCTCTCTGTGTCCCTCTGTCTGGGGTCCCGAGCCCGTCCTCTCCATCTTGGGTGACAGGCTGGGTGCGGGAGGCCCGGGGGTGGTGGCCAGGGCCCTGTGATTCTCTTCCCAGTCAGAACTGCGGCTGGAGTGGGTCTGTGGACGTGGGCCTCTGACACATGCCCCGTCCCTCCGAGGACCGTGGCAAGGAAGACTTTCGAGAATTCACCCAGGAGCACACACCTTTATTCCCTGTCCTTGTACTCTTATTTATTTATTTAAATTTTTATTTTTCACTTTAGAGAGAGGGGAAGAGAGGGAGAGAAACATTGAGGAGTTACTTTTCACTCAAGCCCCAACTGGGGACCGAACCCATGACCCAGGCATGTGCCCCAACTGGGAATTGAAGCGATGACCCTCAGTTTGTAGTCCGACACCCAACCCACTGAGGCACAGCGGCTGGGCCTCCTTCATGCCATTTAACATGGAAAAAGTTCAGCCCACTTTACAATTACTCCTGTGCTTCTGTGAAGTCAGGTTATCTGCAGTTTTGGTCCCCTGGATCTGGCTGGTGTTTCTCTGGTTTAAAATGAATTTCCCTTTTCTTACTGCACCTGAAACCCTAGCTCCTCTGACCAGGGGGAGCGGGGACCCTCCCTCCAGCCCCCTGGTTGGAGCCAGGCCCCCAAAGACCTGGTGGGCGGGGCCTGGTGGGTGGGGCCGGGGCTTCCTCTGGCTCAGCACTGAAAGGCGCTCTCGTGCACAGTGCGTTTACTGCTGGTCACTGTCCTCTGCCGCAGGACGTTGTCTCCTTCCCCTCACTGAGCACCTGTGGTGCACACAGTGCCCTGAGGCCCAGCAGGGGCCCAGGACCTGGGACCCACCCTGCTTACCTGCCTGGCACCATTTGCTCCGTGGCGGTGATGGGGTGGGGGGCAAGGGTCCGTGGGTGTCCCCTTCCTGCCTCTCACTTGGGACTCTGAAGCAGGGCCGGTGGCAGTCTGACATCCCTAATTAAAGCTGCTTGGCTCCGGGAGGGGACACAGTGGGGCGCCTTGGGAGGGTTCTGTTGTGTGGGCGTCAGAACCTGAGCTCTGGGGAGGCCGTCCTGGGAAACTTGGCTCCTGCTGGCAGTCGGCGGTTCCCCGCTCCAAATGCGTGAGGCCTGCTCCGGGAAATGTCGCTTCCCCAAGACGTTTCCAGAGTTTGTGTCACTTGCCGCTCGCTGACAGCCGTCCATGTGGCCTCTGCCCACCTGTCACCCACGCAGAGCACCATGGAGGCCACCGGGAGAGGGTGAGGTGTCGGGAAGCTCCTTCTGTGGGTGGTGCTGTGGGTGCGGACCGGCTGGCGGGGCAGGAATGCTCTTTCACCGGCAGGCCGCCGCCTGGCGTAGAGGGCTCTGCGGGCGCGCGGCACAGCCCATGGTTAAAGGGCAGGGCCCGGCTTTTTCACGAGGCTCCGAGCATACTTTTCTCTGTGCCTTTCACTAGATGTTTATGGGCCTTTGTGTTTTTTCCTTCCTTACGTTTTATTGTGAAACATTTTTAATTGTGGTGACACACACATGACAGCCCCTCACCGAGTGAGCGCCCTGCACGGTGGCAGCAGACATGCCCCTGTCCTCTCCAGGACACTGCACCCCACAAACCTGCAGTTGGTCCCCATTGAGTGCTGACCCCCGTTCTCCTGCCCTCTGGCTCCTGGCAGCCACTGTGGTCTTTTTACTTCTAACGCTCACCTGAGGGTGCATTGGTTGATTTGAGAGAGAGAGGAGGGAGGGAGAGGGAGAGGTTGCCTCCCGGATGGGCCCTGGCCGGGGAGCGAACCTTGGACTTTTTGGATGTGTCGGGACGATGCTCCAACCAGCGGAGCCACCCGGCCAGGGCCCTCATCTCTGTAAGTCAGTGAATTCCAGGGCAGCTGCTTCACAGGATTGACTACACACCTTTCCAAGGATGTTCCGCTCGCTCATCGACGGGTGTGGGCTCCTCCCATCCCGCTTTGTGACAGGGAGGCCCCCGAGAGCTCTGGGCCTGCCCCTGCAGCACGGGCCCTTGGCTGTGTCTGGCGGGTGGGGGGCGAGGGCTCCCTGCTCACCAGGTGAGGAGCCTGTGTGACGGGTTCTTCCGGAGGCTGAGGCTGTGCCAGGCGGGGTCTTTCGTTGAAAAGCTTCCCCGCTGTTGGGGCGGAACAAGCACTGGCTCCACTAGCGCATCAGCTGGCGCCGGTCAGGCTCCGCTGCTGCCAGGAGCTCTGCGCCCTCCTCGTGGCCTCGTCACCCCTGCCCTGGGCCTGGGGACCATGGCGCTGCGGTGTGCGCCGTGACCTGTGCCGCCCTGTGCTTTCTCTGTGGGTCCCTCAGCCCGGCCACTCCAAGTGGGAGAGTGTGGCTGGGTGGCCGCTGTGGCAGGGTTCCCCCGTCCGCAGGACGCCTGTGTTCGGTGTGGCGGGCCCCTCCCCAGTGGGGCGAGGTCCGTGGGGCGACGTCTGTGGGCCGGGCACAGTGGTGCACAGGGCCGGCGGTGCGTCCTCCCTGGGCCTCCCGGAGACTGACCTTTGCTCCACAGTGGCCCTCTGACTGAGCAGCGGCGCCGGCTGCGAGGCGGCGTCCAGACACAGACGTCTCTGCACAGGCCGGCATCCCCAACTGCCACAGGCGGGGCAGTTAGGGGCACACGCCCCAGAAGTGCGTCTCTCCTGCCATGGAGGCTGGAGCCCGAGGGCAGGGTGCCGGCGTGGCTGGGCCAGGGGTGGGCTGCCCCCTGACTCCCGGCCCCGTCTGCTCTCCCTGTCCTTCTGTGGCAGGGCCAATGGTCGACTCTCTGGCCTCTCGTTAAAAGAGCACAGACTCCTGCATCGTCATCACAGAGGGGTGGGATTTCAGCATTTGAAGCTGGGGCCGCATGAATGCTGTGTGCAGCTAGGGAGTCCAAGTGCGTGGGCGAGCAGACGCGGGGGCTTTGCCCGGACAGCCTGCGGGTGCTGTCAGTGGCGTGTCCCACCCGAGACCAACTTGTGTTGTCAGCGAGGAGCAGCAGGGGTCAGGGAGCTGACCGTCCCCATGGGTCGGGAGGGCACCTGGACGTGGTACGTGGCTTGTCCGACCCACTAAGCGGCGGCCGTCTCCCCCCGCAGACCACCAGCCAGACGGAGCTGGAGAACTGGGTCACCGCCATCCACTCCGCCTGCTCCGCCGCCGTCGCGCGGCACCACCACAAGGAGGACACACTGCGCCTGCTCAGGTCGGAGGTGAAGAAGCTGGAGCAGAAGATCGACATGGACGAGAAGATGAAGAAGATGGGCGAGATGCAGCTGTCCTCCGTCACCGACTCCAAGAAGAAGAAGACCATCCTGGACCAGGTGAGCTGCGGGTGTGGCGCGCAGGGGACTGTGATGGGCGGGCGGGAGGGCAGAGGTCTGGCACAGCCTCCCTGGGTGGGCCCATGGTTCCTGCAGACTCGAGGGCCGGGCTGGGAGGGTGCGGGGACGGGGCGGGTGGGGTGGGGTGGGGACACCCCCTCTGTTAACTGCCCTGGGTTCACAGCCGCGGGTCTTTGTGGAGCGTCACACCAGCTGTGTAACATTCAGCCCTCGTTACCTGAGAAACTCGAGGTGCCTCTTGCTCCCTGCTTCAGAGGAAGCCGTCAGCCAATGCCCCCCTGCCGCTCACTGGCCCCTCACTGTCACTGCTGCAGATCTTCGTCTGGGAGCAGAACCTAGAGCAGTTTCAGATGGACCTGTTCCGCTACCGCTGCTACCTGGCCAGCCTCCAGGGTGGGGAGCCGCCCAACCCCAAACGGCTGCTCGCCTGCGCCAGTCGGCCCACGAAGGCGGCCATGGGCCGGCTGGGCATCTTCTCCGTGTCGTCTTTCCACGCCCTGGTGAGTGGCCGGGGACGGGCTTCCGGGAGCTGAGCGTCCTGACTGCCAGGCACCTCCCACCTCGGCCTCTCTCTGCCTCGGGGGCAGGCCTTCCTGCAGCTCTGAAGTCCATTACTTCAGCCCCTGCTGGTGGGGACCAGATTGTTGTGCACAGAAAACGTGGACGGCGGTGGGTGTCTCAGGCTCTCTCGGCAGGGGGTGCGTTACTAGCCCGTCGTTCTTAGGCAGCTGGTGTTCTTCACCCAAGTACGTGTGTTTTGTATTAGCCTCACGGGGAAGCTCGGTGGAGGCGGTCTCGCACGTGGGTGTGTTAGTGCTCTCCCTCTCCTCCACTCGTACAGTGTGTGTGCGTGTGGCACTCAGCCGTCTTGGGGCGGCCCCCTGTGCCCTTTATGTCTGTCCCAGGCTTCATGGCCTTGGACTCCCCAGGTGTTAGAAGAAAACAGACCCCCCTCCGTCCCCCAGCACAACACAAGCGCTGGCCTGGGGGCGGTGCTCAGCTGACCTTGGCAGTGGATGAGACAGCTGTGTCGGGTGTTTGCAGTCTGCGAGTCCACGATTCACTAAATTGTGAACGCCTGCGTGTACTTCTCTCCCGACAAATCGCTCTAGGCGAGTAATGCGGCTTTAGCGGATCCGAGGCAACGACTACTGGGAAGGTGCTGCACTACGCACGCCTGCCGGGGACTTGGACTTGACCGGTCTCGGTTCCGGAAGCTGCTGTGCAATCACAGGGCCTGCCCACCAGCTGGGCCCTTCATTCCCAGCTGGGATTCAGCCAGAGGCCTCGATGTTCTTTATAAATAGATTAGCATCATCATTCAGATAATTAGGGTATATTAACATTTTTAAAGAAGTCCTAAGCCTATTTCTGGAGCTATTAAAGCCGGCTTCCTGATTTGTTCTGCTGACAGCTAGGCTCAGCCTCCCTGCGCACTCCCTGCTGGGGGCCCAGCCCTGTGTTCAGTGGGGGCGTCTCAGAGCCTGAACAAATCCAGAACTGGCCCGTGGCTCTGGGGCTGCTTCTGAGACCCCGACCCTAACTCATAACTCGGCCGAATCCCAGTTTACCTGTTCAGAGGTGAACTGGCTGGAAGTGCCCACCCCACCTCCCCAGGACACCGTGGGCTGAGGGGGCGTGTTCAGGGCGGCCTCTCCGGTGCCGTCAGGGTTGCTGCTGGGTCTCGAGCCTCCAGCCGCTCTCCCGTCTTCCTGGGCTCGTAGGTTTGGGGGAAAGTAATTCTGCTGTTCCCCCAAACCTCTGTGCTGTCATTAGTTTCTCCAGAGCCCCTGGGGCTGACCGTGTGGAGCAGGACGTCAGAGCGGCTCTGACCCTCCCGTTTCCCACTTCAGGACGTGGTGGGTACACTTCCCTTTGGGGTCGGGGCTGGGGCGTCAGGAACCGGAAAGAAGAGGGTTTCGTGCCTCCCTGCGACTCTGTTCCTGGTCCCTGTTCTGTGAGCCCACAGGCCCCTGCAGACTTTCTGGGGGGTCCGTGCCTGTCCCTCAGACCGTGGACAGGGGCGCCCGGGCAGGGGAGGCTCCGTCTGAGTCCCCGGGTGTTTAGTTTTACCTCCTGTCCTTGTCTTTTGACCCCAGGGAATGCTTTTCAACAGTCTTCAATGCAGCCTTTGTCCAGACCTGTTTTCCCCTTTGTCAGTGGAGGGCGGGAGGTGGGCTGTGCAGGCAGCAGAGCTGGGGGGGGGGGTCATCTGTGCACCACAGTCCCACGCCCCGGAGGGCCTGTGGACACAAGAGACCTGCAGTGATCAGCCAAAGGGGCAACGTGCCCTTGGGGAGTGGGCGGTCCCTTCGGTTGGCTGGACTGAGGAGGTGAGCAGCTGAGTCCTCGGGCCGTCTGGGCGCCGACCACTGAGGACCCCGCAACCTGGTCCCCTCAGGTTTGGCGGCTTTTTCAAAACCCCTTTGCTCACTGTGAACACTGGTGTCTCGGGGGCAGCAGTTCCCGAGCGAGGCCCCAGCACTTGGAGCCGGCACCGTGAGAGCCGCTGGGGGGAGGCCCAGTGCTGGGAGCCTGAACCCGCCGGCCGGCCGGCTGGGGACTGAGAGTATCGGCGAGGGCAGGGGTCTCTCTAACTGCTTGTCTTCTGCAGTTGTCCCCACAGGGCCAGGGCGGGGCTGCTGCCGCCGCCGCCACATTGGGGAGGGTCTGGCTTTCTGATGCTCATTCATTCACTTGTTCATTCGGCTGCCGGACTTTTGGGAGTGGCATGCAGGTCGGCCGCTGTTCTTGTGGTCAGGGCCATGGCAGCCCACAGCCCAGGGTCGTGCCCTGGGTCCTGGGTCCTGGCTTGTCACAGAGCAGTGTGTCACTCCGAGGGGGAGACGGACATGGCAGGAAGGCAGTGAGACAGCACCGCCCCGCAGACACCCACGGGCACAGTGAGGGAAGGGGGCGGCGATGGGTGCTGAGGGTGTGTGTGTACACGCGGTGGTCTGTGCGTGTTGCGTACGCGTGTTATTTCTCTGTGCAAATGTGTACAAGCTGTGGGGCCTTTTTTCCTCTCCAGCGTTTTCATCTCCAACATCGTTCACTTGGGGCCCTCAGCCCCCCCTTTTTCTGACGATGGCCTTTGCGGACCCCGACGTCGTCACGCAGCTCGGCCAGCACGCGAGTGTCAGCGTGCCGGGCTCGCTCCCAGGCGGCCCGCGCCTCCGCGGCAGGCGGGCGATGCAGGCGGGGCAGGCGCACGGTGTCCCCGTGGAACCCGCTCAGGGGCTTCGTCTGTGCTGCCCCCGATGGGGCCGTGGAGCAGGGCTCTCTCCAGAGCCCCCACTGCCTTGGGGCCACTAGGAGTGCCAGGCTGGGAGTGAGCAAGGCCCCTGCATCGCCCTTGTCCCCCCGTTCTCCTGCGGGACCCCCCCTGCAATGGCCTTGAGAGAAGCTGTTTGGATCCGAGTTTGGCACTCGTGGGGGGCTTTGCCAGTCTGCTCGGGGGGCTTCAGCGGCGTCACCCTGGCACTGCTGACACCCCTGTGGGGCGTGCCCTCCAGGCTGCACGCTGACTGGGGTCGAGGCTCCGCCGGCACACCCCAAACTGCTGCCCGCAGGCGGCCGCCCCAGGGCGGGTGGCCCTTCGGGGACCCGATGACAAGGGGCTTCCCGGATGCCCAGCTCAGCCCAGGGCCGGGCGGGGATATGCTGCTCCCAGGCCGCCTGGCTGTGCGCCCTGCTCTCCTGGTCTGGGGGGAGGGCCGTGGGTGGCCCGCCAGGACGTCCTGGCCGATTTCCTGCAGTCTCTGGGACATGGCGTGCCCCCGAGGGTGAAGTCCACGCCGCGTGTCAGCCTGGGAAGGACGCGTGACGTCCTCAGAGAGGCAGTGGCTACTCGAGCAGCTGCGCGGTGGCTCGTTAAACTCGGAGTGTCCCCTTCTGAGATCCGTGTCCCGGTGGCTGGCAGCGTCCCAGCGTCTCGGTGGGGTTTAGCTTCTCTTTCAAAAGCAAGCAGGACGCGGCTTCCATTTCCTTCACACCCAGACCCTGGGCCCGCGAGGATAGCGAGGGGGTCCCCTCTCCCAGGACCTTCCGTCTCGTCCCATCATCCTTGGAAAGGCTGCCGTCCTCACACTTCCCTCTTCGCCTCCTGTTGCCAGGGAGGGTGAAGGGACACCCCCATCTCTGAGGACGGTCCCCTTTCGTGACCTCCTGTTGCCCCGGTCCCCGCCCTCGGCCTGGTGCCCTTTTGGCCCCTCGGCCTGTGGCAGGAGTGAGTGTGCTGTTGGGGACGATGGTCACCGGTCTGCTCAGGAATGACCTTAGGGACTTCCGAGGAACCTACGTGGAAGAGTTGGTGATCTCAGGAGCCAGGCGTGACCTTGGCTGTGGGGTGTGTCTCCGCGAAGCGGCGCTTCTGCGCCACTTGGGGCGTCTCAGAGTGCGGCCGGTCGACCCTGGTTCACGTGGCCCAGCCCGTAGCCGGAGGACAGGAGTCCTGAGAGACACCGCGTGACGATGTGTGTCCCCGACCAGTGCAGCGGGGCCGGGTGTGCTAGCCTTGTGCTCCTCTGGGGGTCCAGGCGGGGCCGCGGCGGGGGGCTGGGGCTTGGGGGGCAGTCCTGACGGCTCCCCTGCGGTCTCCCCCACCTCGCACCCTCAGGTGGCGGCGCGCACCGGGGAGACGGGGGTGCGGCGGCGAACCCAGGCGACACCCCGGCCCGCGAGCAAGCGCAGGAGCAGGTTCTCCTCTCTGTGGGGCCTGGACACCACCTCCAAGAAGAAGCAGGGGCACCCCAGCATCAGCCAGGTAGGTTCTGGGGGGAAGGAAAAGCAGGTGCAGCCGCTCCCCCTCACTTTGGGGGTGGGGTGGTGAGTGGGTGCGCGGGGGCGTTTCTTTGTTGATGCCGAGAGTCCTTGAAAGCCAGCTGCTGGCACAGGGTCAGTCCCTGACAGACACACTATGGCAGACGGGGTGTGCCCCTGCGCCCACCCAGCCCCAGGCTCCCACTGCACCGGACGCCTGGCGGTCTGCCCCGACTTTCTGGGGCGGATGTCCGAGCTGCCCCGCTGCCTGCGGCAGTGCCATGTGTCAGAGTGGCGTGTGCTCACGCCCCGCAGGCCTCCCTTCCCCCCGGGTCCAGGGCCCGAGGACACTTGGCATCACCCCGTCACCTGGAGAAGGGAGTTTGCTGGGCAGTGGCTTGAGCTTTAGGGCCTGAGGGGACGTGGGCAGTGGTCTTCTGGGCGGAGACCATCTCCTCCGTGACGGCGGTGGCTGGGGACGAGGCCCCGCGCTGTGACAGTCACTCGCGGCCTCGTGCAGTGATGCACCGACGGCCGCCCGGTGAGGAGGCCCCTTAGTGGTGGTGGTTCGGCCGGTCTCGGCCCTTCGGTTACTTAGGGGTTGAAGAGGAGGGAGAGGCGAACCCTGGAGGCTGATGTGCCAGCTGCTTTGCCGACCCCACGCCCACCACCTGAACCTGGGGGTCAGGGTGATCGGCCGGGAAGCCAGACGGGAGAGGGAGACCCAGTGCCACACGGTGTGCCCTGTGGTCCTGGGGCAGGGCAGGCGTGGGGTTTGCGTGTGTCTGTGCCTGACGGGGTGTCGGGCTGCGTCAGCTGAGCCGAAGCCACAGGAGGTGGGTGCTCACCCTCAGCCCTCCCGCCCCCCACTTTGGGGGCGCAGTGTCACATGCGGTGACCCTGTGTCGGGCAGGGACAGGCCACACTGTGTCCTGCAGAGGCTGCGCCCGGTTCTGCTCTCAGAGGGTCCCAGGCTGCCATGACGCCTCCTGTGTGTTACTGGCCCGAGTGTCCCACAGCCCCACCCCTGGGCCTGCCCGGGGTCCTTCTCACTGTGCTGCTGTGTCCGCAGGTGTTTGGGGACGGACCCGACGCGGTCAAGCAGTCTTTGGAGGGCGTCTTCGACGACACCGCCGCAGATGGCAAGGTAAAACGCTCGCACGACTCTCTCTGGGAGTGCTGCAGGTGCGTCCACACGACCAGTGCCGGGGCTGCTCGGGGCCTAAAGCTGAGCAGCCTGGGTATGGAGCCCGTGGGACAGCCAGACCTTTGAGGTTGGGGAGCAGGCGCACAAGGAGGCCAGAGCCTGTCGTGGTTAAGCCCCGGTCGGCACGAGGCACGACGTCTTCAGCGCAGGTCCCCAGGATCGGGCGTCTCCTCCGACACTGGGGAGGACGTGTGGGCCCGCGCCACGGCCGGCACCGTCCCCGCGACTCCTGTCCCTGACGGGGGCTGTGGCCCACCCTGGGACTTTCTCTCTGCACCTGCCCGTCCCTGGTGGAGTTAAGTCGCTGACCTACTCCGGTCCAGGCGTCGTGGCCCCTTCTGAAGTCAGCTGTGCCTCCCGCTCCGCCCTCATTACCACACCTCCAGTGCGGGACGTCCTCTCCAGGCACGGGGTCTGGGAACCGCAGCATTTTTCCGTTGGGTTTCTGTGTTAGTTCCCCCCGAACACCCCTGACCGCCCCTGACCGCCCAAGGTCCTTCTTTATCCTGCTTCTTGGCTGGCATGCCTTGTTCTCCAAGAGCAGTTTAGATGTAAAATGTGGCCTGGCCGAGTGCCGACGGGGCAGCTGTTGACCAGGGGGCGTGGGGCGGGGGCAGGGGGCATCTCCACTGTGGACAGAGACCCCCGGGCGAGCGGACAGCCTTGGGTGCGTCCTCTCTGGGGTTCTGTTCCTCTGTGACGGCGGCCCCACCCAGAGCAGGGCCGGCGGCGCCTCCCACCGAGTGTGGTTCGGCAGACCGCACCCGACGCAGCCGCCCTGTTCTGGCATCTGCCCTGTCAGGTGTGGGCGTCCAACGGCCCCCCTTCAGCCCTTGTTTGGGAATTCACTTCCTTGGGTGACACTGGCCGGTCTCTGGGGGCCTGTGGGTCTGCACCTACCAGTTGCTGGCCTGGCACTGGACCAGTAATCGGGGCAGCTGCCCAGCACACTCTGAGAGAGCCAGTGTTCCTTCCACGTCGCCGGGACCTCACACGGCTCTGCGCTCACTTCAGAGCGGTCAGGCTCCCCGGTCCCTCGGCCCACGGAGCGTTTCCTGCCCAAGCTCTTGAATGAGCTTGGATGTGACCAGCTGCCGAGCGTGGCCGCAGCTCGAGTCTCTCCCGCCCTGAGGACTGGGTGCCCATCCACCCTCTGGCTGGGCGTGGTGGGGGCTGGGGCGCAACAGCAGCCTAAGGAGGTCCCTGACCTCGTCTGGGGCATGGGGCCACTCCCTCAGGGCTGTGCCGGGGTCCCCCCTGGGCGCGAGGACAGTGCTGCCTGGAGACGCACAGGCCTTTGGCTCCGTCTCCTCTGAGACCCCTTGAGGCCTGCTGTTGCCTCAGCAACAGGAGGAGTGTGAGCTCACGCAGGCGTTCTCGCTGCGGGGGCCTCTGCTCGTGGTGTGGGGGCTGGGGGAGAGCCGCCAGCAGTGGCACTGAGTCAGTGGGTGCGTCAGCTGTCTGTCTGTCTGTCTCTGCCCCACCCCCTGCCCTTCCCCTTCCCTCCCAACTGTCACGCCCACTCGTGCGGCCTGTGGGCGTGTCCTGAAGCAGGTGCGAGGCCTGAGGACGCCCCTGCTCCCCGCCTCACTGCCTCTGCTCCTCCCCCGGGGCCCCAGGGGCCCCCTTTGTCCGCCACGGCTGCTGCCACCTTCGAGTGGGGCCCTGTCCAGGCGTGGGTCGTCACGGTGCCTCCTGGGGGTAGAGACGCTGAGCCCCGGCCAAGGCTGCTCCGCCGACTCGGTTTCTCGTTGCAGACGGAGAAGGAGCCGGGCCTGCCTGGCGTCCACCAGCACAACCCTGACGGTGACATCTGGGTCCATGAATACTTCACGCCATCCTGGTTCTGTCTACCCAATAACCAGTCCGCCCTGACGGTCATCCGGCCGGGGGACACCGCCCGGGACACTCTGGAGCTGATCTGCAAGGTAGGGGCTGCTTGGGGCTCGTGTCCCGGAGGCGAGCGGTGGGACCTCGGGCCTCTTGGGCAGGCACTGTGGCTCCGGGGGCCGGGAGGGGACCCTGGTGTGTCACACAGCTCCAGGCTCATTGGGGTCAGCGCACAGTGAGGGCAGCGGGTTCTCACCGGGGGAGGCCAGGGCTCTTCTGTGCCCAGCACGTGTGTCGCGTGTCTGGTCTGTGGGAGGCTCGTCCCATACGTCACGTGTGCCCTGCGGAAGTCTTTGGGAGGGAGAGGTGAGGAGCCCCGCCGGCACGAGGCTTCTTTCCCGCGGGTCAGGGACTGCCTGCCGCAGACCCCCGGGCCTCGGCGCTGCGGTCGGTGTGTGCGCACACGGGAGTCCCGCGGGTGCGGGCTTGGTGGCCCACTCCTGGGCAGTGGCAGGCACGCTGTGGGCATCTTGAGGGGAAACCAAAATGACTCCGAGTGTGACGTCTGTTGTGGGAGGTCCCTCTGCCTTTGAACACAGGACTCGCTCTCTGTTTTATCTCATTTTTGGCGATAAGTGAGCCGCAGATTCTTCCTTGTTTGTCTCATGGGGAGTCTGGTCCATTCTCTACCCTGAAGGTGCGCAGGTGACCGTGCGAGGCTCAGGCAGGGGCAGGTGGGGACAGAGGGCAGCATTACTCGGACGGACCAGCTCACAGGTCATCCTCAGGTGTGCAGATGATGAGCACTGCTTCCCCCCGGACCAGACGGGGCAGCCTGGCCCTGCCCCGTGGGCCTGAGTCTCTTGCCAGAGCGAGAATCACAGGCAGTTGCAGGGACCCCCGTCTGGCTGCGAACCTGGGCGTGCACCCTCTCAGCCAGGAGGGCGGTCACCGACCCCTCAGTGAGACGGTCTTCCCCGGGCCTTTCGAGGGCAGGGGAGGTGCTTCCCGTGGATGAGGGGTGTTTTGAGGACCCCCTCCTTCAGCACAGCGTCTCGTGGATGTGAGTTTTGTGTCACTTTGACATCAGCAGGGCCTTTGTGGAGAGCAAAGCCGGCTCCTCCGGTGAGTGGGGCAGTGGAGAGGCCTGGCCGCTCAGCCTTCTGGGTGGGCTCCGCCGTGAGGGAGCCAGGGCCGGGCCAGCCCGCCGGGGCGAGGAGAAACGGCACAGGGTCCGAGCTCTGCGCCCTCCATGCCTCACATCCTGGCTTTTTGAAGACAGCACTGTTTTTGTTCACGTGTGTTCGTTTTTATTGCTGTGCAAAGTCGATCCCTTGGGGGTTTCAGCATGCGCTCCCTGGCAGGTGAGCTCCGCCGCCCTTCGGGGCCCACCCCGCAGAGCAGTGCGGGTCCTTCCTGCACTGCAGCAGCAGCGGGAGTGCGGGCTGGGCTGGGCTTCTCCCCGTGAGGCACCTGTGCAGCTCGGGTCTGTGCCCAGGCAGCAACTCGGGCCCTGACCTTGGCCGGGAACCGCAGTCAAGGCCGAGGTCTCCGTGTCGTGACTGGTAGAAACTCGTGGACCCCCCCCCCCCGCCCCCAGGAGGGCCCCTGCCTCTCCCATCTTAGATGCTCGTCCAGGAACGGCGAGTCCTGCGTTCCCCGCATTCACCCCCCCAAGGGGTCCATCTCCGTCACGCAGAGGGCTTGGCTGCGTCTCTAGAGTGCAGACCCCTCTCTCCCCCCTCGGAAAGTCCCTGCTTGCTCCTTGTTTTCCCCGAGTCCTCAGGTCTTCCTCCCAACACGTAGAAACGAAGACAAACGAGGTGTGTGGTGGAACGAGCTTGTGTCTCGTGGGTTCAGAGACGGGAAGCTGCGGTGGTCCCCGCCCGGTGGTCCCCAGGGAAGCTGGACTGAAACGGAGCCATGAGCAGAAGCGGGCGACCCTTTACTTACTTTGCTTGCCTCAGTTTGCTGAGAATCTGCTCTACGTTGTATTGTGCTGTTTCACCCACGGAAGTCACCACAGTAAGACACACATTTAAAACACAGGCCAGCCACACGAAATGCCGGTCTCCGGGCCCAGTCCATGCTGCATCGCCTGGATGGGACTCAGATGCCATCTGAGTGACTCTAGTGGCTGTGCCCTGAGGACAGCTGTGCACCATTCAGACCACGTTGCTCCTGGGTCGGCAGGCCCTACGGAGGGGCCTGGTGAGCAGCCGGCCAGACACGCTTGGCTGAGATCGTCTCTTCGGTTCCGGTTCTGCCGCCGGTCCGCTCGGATGCTGACTTGCAGATGCTCGAGGGGCACGAGGGCCTCCCTTGGGCTCTGCTGACCGGATCTCGTTGGTTCCGCAGGACTTTCCCTGGGGGCATGAGGGTTGCAGCAGTCGCGACCTGCGGGGGCCACGTGGCACAGACACATCTTCCGGAATCGGGAGACCGGGTGGTGCGGTGCCCTGAGTCATGTGTTCAGGGACTCCTAGGTCACGGGACTGTCCCAGAGTTTGTGTTTGCCAAGGTGCTCGGCTCATTTCTCTGAGCTGTGAAGACGCTGGGAGCCCTAAGGGCGTGGCGGTGGAGGGCGGCCGGGTGGGCATGCTCGCTGCTCCTGCTCGCCTCCTGTTTGCCCACCTGAGCGAGGCCCCACTTTGTGTGGGTGGGGGGGGGTCTTGAGCACACTCACCCATCGTGGGTGATGAGGCCCTCTGGTCTCATCCCCACCCCCCACCCTGAGGCCCCGGTGGTGGGCAGTGGCCGCTTGCAGAGATGTCGGGGCAGGGAAACCGGCGGCAGGAGCCGCTGCCGGGCGTGTGCCTGAGTGTCTGCCAACGGTGGGTTTCCAGGTGGGTGTGTTTGCCCCCCAAGAAGAGCCCAGCAGGTTTCATTTCCCTTTTCCTCCCACCTCCCTAGGAAGCTGAGGGTTTGCCGGGGTTTTCGCTTCCGCTTAGACGTGTTCTGGGAGGGAGGTGTCCCTACTTTGGGCTGCCCTGCCTGTCCCCTGCCCACCCCCACTGTCCCTGACACGGACAGTCTGGCCCATCAGACACCAGGCCTCCGTGACCTTCAGTGCCCAGAGGCGCAGGGACACGCTGGCCTCAGACCCACTCCACGCGCCAGGGTGTGTGTCGGGGTCCCCAGGAGGGTGGAGAGAGCACTTTACCCTCCTGCTGGGCGTGCAGGAGGGCCCCCTCCCACAGTGCAGGCCTGCGGGTGCCTCTGTGTACATGCATCTGTTCAAAGAGCCACGCCTCAGCTGCGTGGCCCTGCAGACGCCTTTGTGCCTCGGTTTCCATAGCTGCGGTGCCCACGCAGTGTCTGGTGCACTCGAGGGTCTTTTCCCTGCAGGTCAGTGGCCATTATGGAAACAGTTACTGGGATATTCTCAGTTTGGACTTAAAAACATGCTGGGGGCTGCGGGGTGAGTAGAAGGAGCATCAGAGGAGTGCGATAGTGTTTCACGTGGTTGCAGTAGCTGTCCGCAGCAGGGCGTGTGGAGGGAAGACACGTTTAGGTGGAGAACCTCCGACTCAGACGAAAGCACAAACGGGACGCGCTCTCGCGCACCCTCCCCAGGCTCCCCGTCACCAAACCGCATCCTTCACTCACTCCCACCCCGCTCTGCGTCCTTCTGGGAGGAACTTCCAGGTGCCACACGTATCTGTCTACCGAATCTTTGGGACAAGTTTCTGAAAGACAGGGAAAACTCTGTCTGTGACAAGTTGTTTGTACTGCCGTGAAATCTGTGAGGCTCCCCTCCCCCCGGGTGTGTGGAAGATTGGTCACAAAACCTGCTCCTTTTCTGCAGCCCTCACACACCGAAAGGTGACTTTTCCGATGGAAAGAGACTCAGCCTGTTCTGGCCCCGGGGACCGGCCTGGACAGTCCAGTCCGTGGCTGTCTTAGGGTGGTTTCCTCTGGGCCGGGCATGCAGGTGTTTCCCAGGTAGGACGCGGGCCTGTGGGCACTGCTCCCGGGCCACCCGTCCTGACCGGCCCACCCTGTCTGCTTGCTGTCCCGTGGGGGGAACAAGGCCCTGCCACAGCTGCCTCCCGGTCACCATCGGGACTCCCTGGTTGTTTTCTTCCCCTGGCTCTCTGGTCGCCTCCGTGCACTTGGAACTGTGTGGGTGGGGCTGTTGGGTCTGAGGGCCTTTGTTGCAAAACCCGAGTCAGAAGCTGAAATGACTCAGACCCGCGGAAGTGAGTCATGAGGCACCGGGGATGCCGGCAGGATGTTCGGTGAAAACTGTGTCAAGTGTGGGTTTAGGTGCGAGCCTCTTGGAGACCTCACCCCCCCCCCCCGTAACAAATCTGCATTATTTTTGGGGGTCTGAGACGTGGGCCAGTGGACGCACGTTTCCCCCGTTCACGACTGAACTCTCCCCGCCCTCTCTTGTCCCAGGCCCACCAGCTGGACCACTCGGCTCATTACTTGCGTCTGAACTTTCTGATCGAGAACGAGACTCGGCACTACGTGCCCCGGCCGGAGGAGGACATTTACGAGCTGGTAATGCGTGTGACTGCTGTGCATGTCCGCTGTGTGCGGGACGAGGTTCGAGTGACACCTGTGCTGACTGTGGGCTGGGGGAGGGGGGCAGACCCACCTCCAAGTCAGTGCTCCTGGAGGAGGGCGGCGGGTGGTGGGCCCGGCCTTGCTCAGCTCGGCGCTCCCGCTGGTGCAGTGGCTCCCTCGTCTGTGCCGGGCGCATACCTCGCCGTGGCGTGGAAGGGACGTCCAGAGCTGCCTGGGCGGCGCAGTTCCCCCAGGTCCTCGGGGCTGCACCCGGGTTTTGCTTTCATCTGGGGACTCAAACGGCAGCCGCCTGCTGCCGGAAAAGCAGCACCGACCCCAGCCCTGCTCCAGCCTCTCCCACCTGCGGGGACCCAAGTGCCCACGTGCCTGTCCTGCCCAGTGAAGGGGCCACGGTTGACTCCTGTGTCCCGCCCCCTGGGGCTCCGTTTGCATGGAGCTCAGGACGCTGGTGAGCGTGGGAGTTTCCCCTGCGGGACTCTGGTCTTCACCACGTCTGGGCTTTCTGTTGACTGGGCAGCTTCCTGAGGACCTGCCGTTGGCAAAAAATGAAGCGACAACACTAATGTCTAGGATTCTGTGAGGAGTGGGTGTCAGGGCTCACACAGCAGGGGCTCAGAAGCGGTTGCTGTGGCGATGACAAAGGGACACGCTCCTTGCTTGCTGGCCAAGGGGCGCATTTTCAGCCCCAGGGAAGGGACGTGAGGGAGACCGGTGTGGGCCGCATTGTGCCCCTGCGGGGCCCCTTGAGCAGCGGCCCTCTGTGGGCGTGGTGTGGGCGTGGCCACAGGGCTGCGGGGGGGGTCTGTCCCTCAGAAAGCAGGACCGGAAGCTTGGCCCGGGGAACCGCCTTTTGGGAAGGGGAAGTGTGGAAGTGTAGTGGGAATTTTGTTTTCAATCAACCTTTTTTTCAACAAATGATTTTTTTTAGTTTTAGACAGGGGGAAGGGTGGGAGACAGGGAGAGAAACATCACTGCATGGTTGCCTCTCATGCGCCCCCTACTGGGGACCTGGCCCTCAACCCAGGCATGTGCCCTGACTGGGAATTGAACTGGGCACTCAGTCCACTGAGTCACACCAGCCAGGCCTCAATCAAGTCTTTTGAATTGTTCTTACTGTACAATGACACTCACCAACCTTAAGCACACAGTTGAACGGGTTCTGACAAGTCAGTACAGTTGTGATTTAGAAAGTTCCTATTCTCCTAAAAAGTTTCCTCCTGTCCCTTAGCTTTCAATGAAACGCATGGAAGGGTGGGTTTCTGCGATGCTCCCACAAAGCCTGGACAGTCAAAACAATGGGCCCGCCTCCAGCCCTCGTGGGAGCCAGCACAGGCTCGTGGAGGGGACGTCCTGGGAACTAGGTGGGCGCTGCAGGTTCCTCTCCGGCTCCCAGGGAAGCCCCAGGCTCTGCTCTTGGGGCGGGGAAGCCCTTTGTCCTGTGACGAGGAGGGCTCTGCTGGTGAGGCTGGGAGAGCTCCTGGAGGCTGCTGGGTGCATCTGGGTTGAGGAACCCCCTGCCCTAAAGGACGGGGGCACAGCCACACCGCTCCAGGTCCTTCCTGTGCTGCTCCCAGTGGGCGCTCGGGTGGGACACGCTGCAGGAGCCGTTTCGCTTTCATGGTCCTTGGGTGTCGGCTGCCGTGTGCGCTGTGCCCCTGCAGGGGACTCTGCGTCCGCATCCCTGTGGACGTGTCAGAGTGCACTTTCTGAAAAGCACCGACGACACAGAGACCAGGCGTCCTTTCCAAACCACTGTGGACGGGCCCCAGCGCAGCGCGGTCCCTGAGGGAGTACAGGCCCCGCCCAGCTGGCACGTCGTGATGCCGCCCCTGGCGCCTCGGCCGCACCGCAGTCCGCAGCTCGGAGGTCCCCAGGGCGCTCCCGGCAGGCTGGTGGAGCGGTGTTCTCAGTTAACCCGGGAGGAAGTGCCCGGGGGACCTGCGTCGTCAGAAACATTTCTAAAATGACGGTAGCACAGGTGCTTACCGGTGGCCTGGTTGAATAGCTCGGCCCTGCGGCGGGTCCGCCAGCTGCCCTGTGTGGGCGTGGGCTGCAGCCCGTCGGTGGAGCCGCCGAGGTTCCGTCCCCAACCGGCTCCCAGGGGCTGCGGCCGCGGCCGAGTCTCCTGTTTCCTCGAGGCCGCGGAGGTGCTGAGCGTTGCCTGTGGGCCACGTGCCGTCTTTCACCCTGCGGCTGCCACGCCCCTTGGGTCCCGTCCGTCGTGGGTCCTTGTCTCCAGTCCCCGCGTGAGGGTGTCCGGGGGGCTGCTGGGGGTGCGCGCGCCTCAGCCCGCTGCCCCTTACTGAGTCTGCACAGGGCCCGTGGCGTCCATGACCAGCCACGTCAGTGCTGCACGGACGAGGGTGGCCGCGGGTGTTTGAAGCCATGACCTGTTTCTTGGTGACTGTCCTCGAGTATTCTGTGTTCTGTGGTGTTTGGCGTGTGGTTAGTGGGTCGGGTCCAGTCCACGGAGCGGCGGTGAGTGTGGGGACACTGGCCTTTCCCGGAGCCACGTCACCTGTGCTCTCCAGGTCGGGGCAGCGGGAAGAAGGCGTTTCCAGACAGCGCGGGGCGGTTTGTTCGTCCGCGCAGCAGGTGTGGGTTCCGCGTGTACTGTGTGCCTGGCGCCACCGGGGCACGCCCAGGACAGTCCGCTCCTCCGGAAAGCGGCGTGCAGGGGTGTGGGCGTGGACGGATGGACAGACGTGCGAACGGGTGCGTTGTTTTAGGGGGCGTGTGGGGAGGTGCGGCACCTGGAGCAGGAGGCGTCGCTCTCTGACGTGACGATGTCCCAGTGAGGTGAGTGGGCCGCAGAGGTGGTGTTGGGGGGAAGGCGTGTGGGGAGGGTCCCTGGGCAGGTGGGCGAGCGGCCTGGGGCTCTGGGGGTGCAGAAGATGGGGGGGGCTCAGGCCCACCACATAGGGTCTAGGCGAGAAGGGGAATCTCGTGTGGGGAGGGATGTCACTCACTTCGGCTTCAGTCGCTCGTGGTGGCTGGCATGTGACCCGCAGTCTGTAGGGCAGGAGGCCGGTGAGCTGTCGTTCAGCCCGTGGGTGACGGTGGCTCTGGCCAGGGCCCCCAAGGGAGCCCTGGCAGGAAGAGGTGGCGGTTGTGCGCAACTCAGGCACCTGAGTGATCGGTTACTCCTTCCGATCTGACGATCTTTTAATCTGGCTTTTGAGAGGAGGGAAGACACGCAGCATTAATTGCCCCGATAAAGTGAAGGCGGCGGGAGTGTGAGGGTGAGACTCCTCTGTCAGAGGTGCTTGTGCGTAGAATCCTGGGGCTCGGTCTCCAGCTCAAGTGCCGTGGGCCGTGGACAGGGCACCGTGACGCACAGGCCCGTCCAGGAATTGCCTGCGTTTCGCTGCTGCTTTGATTAAACTTCAGCCCGAGGACGTGTTGTGGCTTAGGGGCCTGTCCGTAGTGCTCCACACTGCTTGTCTGGGATCGGTGCAAGTGCCCGCAGACCTTCAGACCCGTTGCAGAGCAGGAGGTGCCCCTGAACGGGCAGGGAAGTTACTCGTGAGCTCTGCTCTGCCTCGGTCTTTGGCAAACCCGGGGACTTTGGGGCGGGGAGGGGGGGTCTTGGAACGAACGGGGAGGTGCTGCCGCCTAGTGGGGAGAGCGGCTCCCGGGGACGCGGCAGAGCGCAGATCCGAGGCCCAGGTCAGCGGCACACACGGGGTTCTGTCGGTTGCTTGTGGTCTTAGGAAATACATCGTAAACTTTAATCTGTTGGGTATTTATGACTTTGGTGGCCATGTTTTCTGAACTGAAGATTGGTGTTATACGTGATCTCTTTAATTTCAGAAATTTTTTGTATGAGAAATACTTCTGAGGTGTAACAGTGAAGCCCCTGTAAGTCACACCCTTACTTCCCACGTTGCCCGTGGAGGGACCACGTCAGGGTGTGGGTGGCGGTCTGGGGAGGGCTGGCCGGCTGGGGGCCGTTCTGGTCCCCGACTACCGGGCTCCCATCACGGCCGCTTTGCGCCTTCTGAACCCTCCTGGTTACCTTGGCTGCCTGTCAGGTGCCGCGGAAGAGTGGAAGCCAGAGCCCTTCCCTGCCCCCCAGAAGGCGGCCCCAGTGGAAGGGCTGTGCTGTCGGAGGAGCTGGGGGCGCCCAGACCAGCCCTGAGACCACGGGACCCTGGGACCCGCACTGCCGGGCTGAGCGGCAGTCAGAGTTCCTGGCAGCCTCCGACACCTTCGTTCTCTTTGGCACTTTGGTTGTCATTGTCTGAAGTGGCCTTCGCCCTGGTGTACTGTCTCAGCGGGAGGGGTGGGCAGGGACCCGGCTCAGACCCCTGGCCCGCCCTCCTGGCTGCACAAGCCCAGGGAGAACGTGCCTCCCCTGCAGCTGCCTTCTCTGTGGCTGGAATGGGGTCGCCGGTGACTTGGGGGAACGTGAGGGACAAGGGTACCTGGGGCACCTTCCCAAGTTACTGTCCATGGTGGCGATGGTTCCAGTGTGCAAAAGTGAGGCATCAGGGACATTCCCTGACACGAACTTCCTGCTCCGTGAGCCCAGCCTTCCTCTCCCCCCTCCCCGGACCTCCCGGGGTTTCTGACAGTCGGTCCAGGAGTGCACCTGAAGCCCTGGGTGTGGCTGGTGTGGCCCGGTGGCTGCGAGAGAATGTCTTCCGCCTCTTCTGACTGTTGCGTGTCTCGTGCTGTGTGTTGTCTGTGCCTCTTGGTCCTGCCGTGCACTTTGGGCGAACGGTGTGTGAGCGGAACAGAGCAGAGTCCCTGAGACGGTTCCCGTTTCCATGGGTCCCGGGTCAGGGGCCTATGACCTTCCCCCGACCTTGTTTGGCATCGGGTGAATTCGCTCCTTCTTTAACGAGGTGGCTTGTGTAATGACATTGCGTGTTAGGTGCCCAGCGTTGTGATTAATCGGCTTTGTCCACCAGAGCGTGCTCACCACCCAGGTCTGGTTTCCACCCCACCTCTTCTGGTTTCTTTCCTGCTAGGTCCTCACCCGAGGGTGTTTGCATTGGTTTGAGAGAGAAGGGTGGGGGGGGAGGGAGAGAGAAGCATCAGCCCATAACTTTTCGATGCACAGGATGGTGCTCCCGCCAGCTTGGCCACCTGGCGGGGCCTCCTCTGATTTTAATGACTTTCTCCAGCACCAGAAATCTTGGGTGGCTTTCGGGTGAGAAGAGACATCTGGGGTTATGCACAGTTGTGCTGAGGAATTATTCCAAGACTGGGGCTGTTGCTGAGTTTGGGGTGTGATGTAAGGGGTTCAATAAAAATCCCGGGATGTGACAAAAATCTGTCATCAAGCATCGATCATGAAAAACAGACTTACAAAATGGTGACTACTTCTAGAAAAGTATCATTTATAATAAATCCTGATTAGACTTTTTTTGTGATTTTCAGCTGTACAAAGAAATTGAAATTTGTCCAAAAGTCACTCAGAACATCCAGATGGAGAAGTCAGACGCAGCTGGCGACAATTACGGTGCGTGTGCTTTTCTCTGGTCCTCGGCATTTTTGAGTTAAAGCAGGTCTCGTGTAAATACGCGCTTACGCACAATCCACCGGAGGGCCTCCGGGGCCGTTCTGCCCAGAACTGGGGCGGCTCCCAGTTCCACTGCTGGACCGGACGGGGCGGCACCTGGCCGGCTCTGCTGCGCACCGAGTTCAGCCTGTGTGCACGCCGCCGCCGGCAGCGCCGACTCGCCAGAGTCTGACCGCTGACCAAGGGCCGCCTGCCCCTTCCGAACCCCAGGGGGGAACGAGACCCAGGGGGGATCGAGAGCCAGCGCCTCCGCTGAGCAGGCGAAGAGGCTGAAACACGCTTCCCGTGTCCTGCCCGCCATCCCCCTCGGCCCCAGGTGGCCAGCCCCACCGTGTGGTGGAAAGAGCTCACAAAGCCACGTGGGTGGCTGGCCACACCTCCCCCCCCCCCCCCCCCCGCCACTCCATTCAGCCACGGCACCCCTTTCTTTGGGGGGCCTCACACCGTTGCATTTTTGTCACGGGCCCCGTTTTGTCGCGGGCGCCTGTGCGTGTCTCACTCCGAGGGCCAGTGTTTCCTGGACCCGGGACCTGAGCTGCCTTCCGTTCTGTTGTCCTGCTTTTTATGGGGACCTGGACGGCAGGGCAAGCTGTCTCCCGGAGGCTTGGCAGATGGGCGTGTCCTCGGCCACTATGCTCAGTTCATTCGCCTCCTCCGGCGGCAGGGCTGTCCTTCCAGGCGGCTCTAAGGAGCCGGCTGGGGCCGTGACAAGCTTGGGGGGTGCGCATTGGCATCCCCCCTCTGCCCCCTGCCTGCTGTGTGGGCCAAGTCACGTTTGTTTGCTGGGATTGGAATGTTCTGTTCCACTCAAGAGGAAAGAAACCTGGGCTTGAATGTGCACTGCTAACCCACTGTGTCCTTCGGTCCCCTCAGAGTCATACAGCCATTGGGGTGCCGTGTCTCCTCTGTGTGCTCACGAGGGGAGGATTGTGACCCGCCCCCAGGGGCTGCCCCTGGGGACCCCAAGGCCTAGGGGCGGGGGCTGGTAATGGGAGTGACCTTCCAAAGGCGTTGTGGTCACCGCCCGCTCCTCCATCACCTGTGGCCCTCCCACGGAGACCCCCAGCACCTGAGACATGCCGCCTGCGCCCCAGACCCATGCTGGTCCCCGGTGCCCGGGGACGTCCTGCTCCCTGCAGGCCTTGGGACGGGGTCCCCTGCCCTCCTCACCGTTGGGCCTTTCTGTGTGGAAGAGGAAGACCTGGCAGGGGGGCCGTGGAGCCACGGCTGCCCCTCGGCCCCACGTGGCCCCACACTCAGCCTCGGTGCCTCGCCCGGCGCCTCCCGTTCCGGCTGCTTTTCACAGAAAAAAGTGTTGGTCTCAGCGCTTACAGAAGGGTTGCATTTTAGAAAGAAAATGCCTGAATTTGAATGAATTCTGTTCATTCTTCCCCTTGACATAGTTCTTGATTCTGCATCTGTTCTAACAGACAGAAGGAAAAAACATTCTCTACGGAAGTGCAGGTGAACACCCCCATGTTGAGCCCAGCTCACGTGTGAGCTTGTTTTTACAGGAGTGGGGGCTTCCTGACAAGTCCCCTGAAGTCAGGGCTGCCTTGGGGACAGAGACGCAGGCCAGCTCGCGTCCGTCTGTCTGGGAGCTCTGGCCGGTGTGGGCGGTGGCGGTTAGCAGTTGGGCCTGCGTGTGGGTGTTACCGAACAATAGGTCCGGGGCGGGGGGCAATATTTGGCCCACCCAGGGATGCCAAAAACTGCTACAGAACAGGGGCCCCTCCCAAGGACAGAATACTAATATCTACTGGGCTCTTCTGTTTGCCGCCAATTGGAAAGACATCTCTCAATGCCAGAGATTTGTGAAAAAGAAATGAAATGTTTATTTAATGCTATTCAGGCCTAACGCCTCCACTAAAATATCAAAGTCCTTTAGGGTATGCCCCTACATCCACACAGCGCTCCCTTCTCCCACTGTCCCAACTCCGGGTACCGTAAATCAGGAAAAGAGCACACGTCTATGTTGCAGGCCGCTGGAATCGTCAGCTGTGTCAGGCAGGATCTCTAGTTAATCCAAAGTCATGTGGCACCTTCTCATGGTCCACTGGCAAGAGTTCTTTGTACCCAGTTCCAGTGAAAGTCTCTCCTGCTTTCCAGGCTCCGCGGCCAAAGGGGGCAGCTCAAAGCCGCGTGGGCCTCTTCTACCAAAGCCGCTGGGATTCCCACTCCACCAAAACCATGTGGCTTTCTTCACCTGGCTGCGGGGATCTCCATTCTGGCAAAGCTGCGTGGTTTTCCCTTTCACCTGGGAAAGGGGGGGGGGGTCTGCACTCTGCCAAAACCACATGGCTCCCTCTTCCACCTGGCCAAGAGGGGACCCTCACTCTGCCCCAAACCACGTGGCTCTCCCCTACACGGCTGCCATGTCTGGCTTTTAAATCCTCGCTCCCATCTTCCTCTGTATCCCTATTTCTGACTCGTCCCACGATCAGTTACACCTGCCAGTATTTCTGTATTATTACAAGTTTACTGGGCTGCCATCGTTAGTATGGGCAGGTATGGCCCCATGTCCTGGAGCCAATCTTCTCCAAGCTCCCACGCAGGCGCTGTAACTCGGGGGACCTGCCCCCAGTTACATCTTGGGGGAAGTGACTTCATCCCCCTGGCTCCAAGCCTGGCCACAGCCATTTAACATATCCAAGTGACCCACCAAAGGCTATAGATATGTTAAAAGATAATGCCATGGATTAGCTGCAAGGCTGTGGCTGTACAAAACAGCCCTGCATGTTCCTGCTCCATGTGTCCCTTCCCCCAACTCACACCTGTGGGGGAAGGGGTGGGGACGTCTTATATGTCTCTCCAACATTCCTATACACCTTGAGTTCCGGACACCATTCCAAATCTTTTTGCCCCCCCCCCCCCACCCTGTATCATGGGGACCTGTTTCCTGGACCCGTGAACTGAACAGAAGACAGATGCTCGCCACGCCGCGGCCCGCGATGACCCGTCCAGTTTTCCCTCCCCGGGCTTGGCCGTCCCAGCCACCGAGTTCCCTCCGGCTCCGGCCTGGATGCCCGTCGGCCCCACGGGACCGTTTTCTCCCAGAGCTGAGCTGAGTCGCGTCTCACAGCTGTGCTCCTTTCCCTCGCCCTTCACAGGGCCTGCCTCGGTGTCCTGCCCCAGGGGACAGGCCGTGGTCATTCACTGGTCAGTCAGGGGAGACGTGACGTGAGTCCTGCTGTGCAGGGACAGAGGCGACCAGGCCTGCAGCCAGGGGACCGGGCGCCAAGACCCCGATCCACTTGCTGTTTGCGGCCTGTTCACCCTGTGTTTGGAGGACACAGCAGAGCCCGGGATTCCTCAGCTGGTGGGCTCTGCGTGCCGGGAAGGGGCGAGTGGGAGAGGAGCAGACGCTGGAGCGTGGAGTCGCTCGGCTCCACCGCGGGGTTGGACGCAAGGGAGCGGCTGCGCGGCCTGTGTGCAGCGGCACCCGCAGGGCAGCTCCCAGGGACCACACCCATGCCCCGGGACGGGGTTTGCCGCCCAGTCCGAGGGGCCCCGAGGGTCTGCTTAGTGCAGCAGAAGGGCCTGCGGGGGGGGGGGGGGGGCGCGTTGTGGCGTTTACTAGGAAGCCAGGTAAACGAGACAGTTGTGTTCCTCTGGCGTCTCTGGGCACTGTGAGGACGGTGCATCTGGAGGCAGTGACTTCTTTTCGAGGGACTGAAAAAGCCGTGTGAGCAGGGAGGGGGTCACCCTGAGCCTCCCCCCCAACAGCACTGCCGCCAGCTCAGATTCAGAGCGTGATGTCCCTTCTGTCTTGTGTCCCCAGGGTTTTTTCTGTCTTCCGAGGATGAAGACGGCGTTCGGAGGCTCTATGTGGACAGCGTGAAGGACACCGGGCTGGCGTCCAGGAAAGGTGTGTCACGGCGCGCTGTCTGTCTGTCTGCAGCTGCTTTTCGGGTTTCCCCACGGTGGGTGGGAAGGGCAGGCCCAGGCACTCTGTGACCAGTGTGTGGACATTGTCTCGTTGGGAACCCAGGTGTGTAAGAAATGCCACACTTTCGGGTTTCAAATTGGACTCCGGTGGGACGTGCACGCTCCTCTGAAGTGGCCGTCCTTCCCCACCACCCAGGCCAGACCCTGGGCCCTCCGTGGGGAGCCCCCGTGCTCCGGACCACGTCAGGCGAGGCCACACTGCCACCGCAGAGCCCACGAGCCCCTCAGAGAGGGGCGCCCTGCCGTCCCTGCAGTGGACTTGGCGGGCGGGGAGAGCGGGGCTGAGGCCTGGCCCCTTTCCAGGACGGGGCCGGCGCGGTGCAGCTGCTGCCCAGCCTAGCGCAGGCCGGACAGACCCTCCCCTCCACCCCCGGGGCTGGGTGGCGAGGTTCTGCTCCTGGAGGGCGCTGGCCGGCTGCCGAGGGGCTGGGAGCCCAGGTGCCCTGGCGTCAGTCACGTCCTGTTCTGCCCTTTGACTCCAGGACCCCGGAGGCAGACAGGCTCCTGGCCACCCGCTCCGAGTCCCAGCCCCGTGCAGTTCTGCCCCCTCCAGGGGCCAAGCGTCCATCTGCCTCTGGGCACAGATGCTGTCCTGACTGTGGCCCATGGACGGGCGGTGCCCAAGCAGCGATTTGGGGCCGTGTCACCTCAGGGCTCCGGGTGGGGACCTCCGTGTGGGTACCTCCGTGTGGGTGTAGCGGTCTTAGCCCCTCCTCCACCAGTTCCCCCAGTGGGACCCCTGTGGAAGCAGTGCGTTCCTGTCCCTGCCACCAGGTGTCAGTAGTGAGCAGGTGTTCCCTGAGTTCTTGCCCAAGAGTCTTACACGGCTTGTTGGGTTGATGCTCATTTAAACCCTGGTGCCTCCCACTTAGGAGGACTCTGGGTCTGGGACAGAGCCTGCGACACACGGTCACAGGGCTGCCACTTGGCGATGGTGTGACAGAGGCCCCGGCGAGGCCTGCCCTCACTCACCGCTGCCGGGCCGTCTCTCTCTGAGTCTGCATTAGCTTCCTTGACAGATTGACACAGACGGGGCCCAGACTCCACGGAAGCTGGCCTCTCATGGTCCTGGCGGCCAGGACTCTGAACTCCAGGCCTCTGAAAAGGCTCAGGGGCCCTTCCTGCCCTTCCTGCCCCTCCTGCCCCTCCCAGTGGCTGGGGGCTCCGGGTGCCTCGGGCCTGTGGCTGCACCTCCTGCTCTGTCTCCCGGTCCACACGGCCTCTCTCTGTGTCTCAGCCGCATCTGGTACGAGACTTGTCAGTATCCTAAGGTTCAGGACCCATCAGACCCTCCCAGCACCATCCTGCCTCGAGATCCCTGACTTCATTACGATGGCGAAGGTCCATCTCCAAATGAGACCACGCCTCACGGGCGCTTTCGGATTCGCAGGCTCCTCTTTCGCGTCTGCCTGCATTGCCTCCTCTGGTATTGAACCAAAAGGGTCGTCTCCAAGAGAAGCCTTAAGAAAGTTAAACTTTCCACATGTACAGATTTTGTATTTTCAGTTCAAATCTTGTGACGTTAAAACCTTTTGCCTAGAAATGGACGGTTCGCGTCCCAGAATTCCGCCCCCGGTACCAGAAAAGTGTTGCTTCTCCTCCATCGCACTGCCCCGCCCGGGTGTTTCTTGGAGTGGTTCATGGGAGAGTCGCAGACCCGGGCCCAGCTGGCCAGGGTGTGACTCGTGGCCGTAGGAGGGGAGCCCTCCCCGTGCAGTCACTGTTCTGCGGGACCGGAGGTGGGGACACCTGAGGGCCTGGCTGGCTGGTCCTCTCTGCAGTTTGTCACCTGTCTTTGCCTTCACTCCCTTATTGAAGTTTGTCTGTCAGCGAGTCTGGAAAATAACAACCAGACTCCTTTCTTCCCAGCTGCGCGGACACTGGCACCTTCTTCCCTAACCTCTCCCTTTCTCATACTTCTGGAATGTTCTGCTGTTGGATGGAACCGCTCCAGGGTCGGCTGCAGCTTCTTGCTCTGCTAGGCAGGGCTGCTCCTTGGGTCCCAGGTGTGGGCGGCTCTCAGCCTGCTTTGCAAAGGTCACAGACCTTTGGGGACTTTCCCCAAGATACTCCGGGTCCTGGTGCAGTTTTAGAAAGGAGGCGCGTGTGGCGACGCCCACAGCGGGTTCCGGAAGCCGCTGCCTCTACGTGCACTTGGAGCAGGACCCCTTCTGTCACGGGAAGCTCCCGGGTGCTTCACAGAAGGGGCCGGGAGGCGACGGCCGAGCCGCACGTCCACAGGGTGGTGGGAGAGCGTTTCCGCCTTTCCCTCTCGAAACGCTGGGCTCACCGCCCCGGTTGGCGCTGGTGAGGAGACGTCGGCAGGTGCTGGAGCCCACAGACCCGCCGGGGTGTTGGGAAGGGGGCGCAGCCATGTCCGGACCCTCGTGCCCCTGTTGACCACTTGTGGGCACGGGCCCGTGTGTGGGGGAGCCGGGCCTCGGGGCCTACAACGGGGGGCGGGGGGCGGGGACGCCCGAGCGGCAGTGGAGGAGGGGCTGGCCCTGTGCTGACTCTGTGAACCCGAGCATTTTCTGCTCTGTTGCAGGCCTGAAGGCAGGAGACGAGGTCCTCGAGATCAATAACCAGACAGTCGGCACCCTGAGCTCCTCGGTGCTCAGAGACTTCCTCCTGCAGCCCAGCCTGGGCCTCCTGGTGAGGACGCGCCCCGCACTGGAGGGGGGCGCCCCGCCGCTGGAGAGCCCGCCCCACCGCACCGACGGCCCTGTGGACTCCAGCCAGGGCCCCCTCGCCCCCCTCGCCGGCAGCCCAGGTAAGGCCGAGACGTGTGCTCAAGGCAGGGACCCTTGTGCTGGGGGCTGTGTCACGTGTGAAGAGCCCCACCACCTGCTGCTGGTGACTCTGGAGGAAGACGTTTGGGCAGAGCTGCCGTCTCGGAGTCGGGGGTAGAGACAGGGCACAGACGTGCCGGGAATTCTGGGAGGGGCTCTGAGTCCTGCCCCTGCTGAGCATGTGGCCATTCCCTCTGTGTGACAGAGAACAGGAGACACCCAGAGTGGACAGCACTCAGAGCCCTGGCCTCCCTGCCCCGTGCAGCCTCTCTGGGACCCACAGGGCGGCGCCCTCCTCTGGGTCCCTGGTGGGCGGGAGGGGCCTGAGCAGCCCAGGCCTGGAGCTGGGGATCCCTCAGTGGGTTGGTGTTTTGAATTCCCTTTCTTTGAAAAACTCGGGTTAAAGGAAAGGAGTCCTCCGTTTCAGAGTCAGAGTGCAGGCCGCTGTGGCAGGATGCGGGCACTCTGCATCCGCCTGGGACTCTGCAGCGGCTCCAGAACCACAGCCACACGTGTTCCTGCTGCGTCCTCGATTCCGCACGCCGGGGTTGCGCCCACGGCCCAGGCAGATTTGGAGAGCGGCACCCTGTGTCTTCAACAGCAGGGCAGGGCTGGGCGGCCCTTGGGCGGCCCTTGGGCAGTGTGACCACGAGGTGGCGGGCGGCGGCTCAGCTCTTGAAAGCCCGGCTCTGGCTGGCGTCTGTCTGCCTCTTCAGCGGGACCGGCAAGGACCATGGGGGTCAGACTTGGGGACTTAAGGTTTCATGATGCCCGGACGTGCATGCCGCCCACAGCGGGTCTTTGGGCCGTCCGAGCCCGTCCGAGCCCGTCCTGGGCCCGGGGGAGAGCGAGGTCGGCAGTGACCCGTCTTCTCGGACTTGCAGGCTCCCTGGGGCCCGTCCTGCTGGGGCCCCTGCTCTGGGGCAGAGCTGGCGCCGGGGCAGGGCCCCGGGCCCCACAGACACGGCTGCCGGCTGGCACCAGTGCCTCCCTGCCGGGATCTTGGTAGGTGGTCACTGCACGGTGGACCTTGATTCAAAAACGCTCTGCGGGCATGTGGCAAACTCCCAGGTTTCATCAAACTTTGTAGTTTAAAAGTTTTTTTTAGGGTTTTACTGATTTTTAGAGAGGGGGAAGGGGGTAGAAAGAGGGAGGAAAACATCAGTGTGTGGTTGGTTGCCTCTCACTTGCCCCCTACTGGGGACCTGGCCCGTGCCCTGGCTGGGAATCAAACTGGCGACCCTCTGGTTCGCAGGCCGGCCTGCCGTGCCCCGAGCCACACCAGCCAGGGCTAAACATTTTAAAATTAAAGATATGTTTCTGTATGGGTAGCTGGTCCAGAACACAAGTGCGCATACGTGTCCTATCTTTTTTATGTGCCAGAGTCTTAAAACTGCTCTGGCCTTCACACCCTGCAGACTCACGGCGGGAGGCGAGGGCCGGATTCCCGACCGCGCTGCCGAGTCAGCCCCGGCAGCTCCACTCACTGCTTGCTTTCCTTCCATTTGAGTGACCCTGCCTGGCCACTTAGCGCTCACTGTGTGCCAGGCAAAGTGTCAGACCGTGGCAGTCACAGCGATGGCCAGGAGGCGGGACGTCCCCATGTTTGCGTCGCAGTGCGGCTTCCTGTTCTGCGGCCACTTCAGTCCTCAGTGTCCGGCGGTGCCCACAGACCCGCCAGAACAGAGCCTGCCCCGGGAGACGGTCCCACTCTGCTTTGAGAGTGAAGCAGTGGAGCAGAGTCCTGGGGTGGCTTTCTTGTGCGGTTTCTCTGTTCAACATGAATCAGTTCCGGAAGAATCTCAAATGTGCAGCCCGGCGGCACGGGCTGGCGACAGCAGGCCTCGCCTGGGTCCCCTCTGCTTTCCGGCGGCAGCCACTTCCTGGTCCCCATTTAAGGAGCAAGATGAAAGGGCAGGCACACAAACAGGATGCAGCAGCTCTGGAGGCCGAGAGGCCGGGGGGGCAGCAGGGACGCTGCAGCCTCCAGAGGGGGAGCAGCGGGGAGGGAGCGGGGACCCGGCAGGAGTCCCTGAGACTGCAGCGCCTTTCCGGTGGCTGGTCTGAGGCTTGGTGCTGGGACCACTTGTTTTTTTTTAATCCTCATCTGAGTGTATGTTTTTACTGATTTGAGAGAGAGGAAGACAGAGCGAGAGGGGTGAAGGAGGAGAGAGAGAAACATCGGTCAGTTATGTGGCTGGAGATTATTAAACCCACCACCTTCTGGGGCACAGAGGGCACGCCAACCCACTGAGTGCCCAGCTGGGGCAGTGCAGGGAGCACCTTAAGGTGGCCACAGTGGGTGTTTGGCCCCATTGGTGGAGGGCCTGCGCGTGTCAGGGACACTGGGGAGCTGGGAGCCCCGGCTGGGTTCCCTCTGCAGGAGGCCGCCCTGCAGCCAACCCGCCTCCCGGAGGCGCGGCCCCGCCGGTCCTGCCGCGAGAGCCCCGCCTGGAGTGTGTTGGCCGGGCTCTCCCAGGCGGACAGCACAGCCTGGTGGCTTAGGGTAGGATCTGGGACTGGCTCCGCGACCTCCGTCACCCAGTCCCGGCTGCCACAGGGAGCATCGGCACACGGGCGCCAGTTACAGCCAGAGCAGGGGTTGGAAAGTGGGACTCCCAGCACAGATGCCCTCTTGGCACTTCCTTCCCCTTTGTGAGAGGAGAGCGGAGCTGAGAACGGCAGGTGCTCCTTCTGAATCTTGGTTTTGTGTCCCACTGAGCCACACTGTACGCGCGTGCATCGCCGAGGTGACCCCTGGAGACGGAGCACTTGGACCCGCAGCCCTGCAGCACCCCACACAAGTCCGATCCCAGCTCCAGGGCCCCCTGTGTCCTTAGGTTCTGAGCCCCGCCAGCGGCACTCCCGCCCGGCTGACCTCTGTGGGGCAGGGCGGCGTCATTGCCTCTGGACTCTGTCGACCAGTCCGCAGAGCAGGCTCCCCGCTTCCCAGAGTCACAGTCTGGCGCTGGGCGGGAGACCCGGTGCTCTGAGAGCCTGGCCACACCTGTCTTGATGCCCAGTGGGGGCTGCAGTCCGCAGTGGGACCGGCGTCCCCACCGCAGGAAGGAGCTTGAGCAGAGACTGCGGGACAGGAAAGGCGCCCGTGCGTCCTGAGTGGAGGCTCCTGGCAGAGTGAGGACACCACCAGCGTCGCCGTGGACAGCCAGCCCTTCGCTGCGCGGGCACCGCGTGCTCCCCCCCTGCCCGAGGGGTGCGAAGCTCTGTTTGGGCTCAGGTGCCCCTCCGTCCGCCTGTCTGTCCGCAGCATGAGTCCGAGAACAGGACAGGAAGCAGGGAGGGGCCGTGCAGGCAGGGCTGGGGCAGGTTCCTCTCCGACGATTCGCCAGCACCGCATGGGTGCCGCTGGGTGTGGAGGCTCCGGGGCCACCTGCGCTCTGCGGGCTGCCTGGCCCTCACGCACACCGGGGCGTCCCGACTTGCGCCTGGATCTGATGGGTGACACCTGCCACCCCGAGGGTGGAGGAACGCTGTGTAGAGATGAGGAGCCTCCATTTCTCTGCTTCTGAAGAGGAAGATCGAGGGTCCCTCTCCCGGTTGACGTTCGTGACAGGCCGGCAGGATCGAGGGCCGTGTCTGGGGCTCCCAGGGATTGCAGGTCTTTTCCGGGGCGGAGCAGCCCTGAGGTTCTGGGAGGTCCGGCCGGGTCGGAGCTGTTTTCTGTTCCCAAGCTAACGGAGCTCCTTCCCTTCCCTCCCCCTTCCCGTCGTTCTGGGTCTCCCCGCGGTGGTTTTGTCTTTGTTTCTCCGCTTCACCGGGGGTGGCGGAGGGGTGTCCGGGTCGCTCCCGGGCCACCTGGGTTTCCGGGGGGATCCTCGTGCTCAGTGGCTGCCACCTGCGCTGCACGTGCAGGCCCAGCCCCAGCAGAGGGACTCCCCGGGGCGTGTCCGTGTGGCGGCGCCCTGTCCAGGCCTGGTGCTCAGTCCTGTGTCCTCACAGAGGCCTGGACCCGGGGTCCGTGGGGCCCTCGGGGGGAGCGGCATCGGACCGGTTCCCTGTGGAGGGTTCCGCAGCGCCTGCTCGGTCCTGGGGCGCCGCTCGCCGCCTCCACGGGCTGAGGTGTGTTCAGCCCCTCCTCGCAGCGCGAGTCCCTGGGGCTGCAGCGTGCTCCTCGTACGTAAACTGGGCGGACGTGTCCCTCGCCCCGTGTCTCGCCATCTGTCCCCCGTGCCTGCTGCAGAGGAGCTCTCAGTCACGGGAACATCTGCCACCGTGTGAAGTCATTTGGAAAAGCAGAAACGTGACCGCATCTGCTCCTGGAGTCGGTGTTCTTTGCGGCTGTGTGGCGGTGGCCCGTGGGTCCCAGGAGGCTGGCTGCTCCCGGCTGCCTGTCCCGTTTTTCTAGACTGGTCCCCTGTCCCCTGTGGCCCCTCCCCGACCCTGTCTCAGCCTGGCCCTTGGTCCCCCTCGTCTGTCAGGAGGGCTGTCTGGCTAGTGCTCGGCGGGTGCCACCATTCGAGGGCCGTGGCCACCCCTGTAACGTCTGTTGCTAGAGGCCAGTCTCCTGTTGGAAAGGATGCTTGGGGGAGGGGGTCACCCCCAAACCCCGAGCAGCTGGGTGCTCCCCGAGGGCTGTGGTCAGGCGGTGAGAGGGCAGGTCCTACTCCCTGAACCCCTGTTCCTGCCCAGCTGCTGTCTTGGCTGTGTCTCCTTTGGTGGCCGCAGGCGGCCCTCGGTTCCTGGTCCCTGCTGGGTGACCAGCCCCCTCGCCCCACCCCTTCCTGCACTCACCGTGGTTCCCCTGGGCCCTGGGGGCGGGGCTGCCCCACCGTCCTTGCCAGGGGTCTCTCATTGCTGTGACGGGTGGGCTGCCCTGGGCTGGTGACGGTGGCCTCATGGATCGGCTGGTCCCCTCTGTCCTTGAGGTCTCACCTGTGAGCTTGGGGTTCTTTGGGGTGGGCTCAGGGTTCCTGGGGCCGGACCAGAAGCTGCAAGGCAGCCTGAGGCCTGAGCTCAGAATTTGCACGTCCCCCCTCACGTCCTGTTGGCCAGAGCGGGGCTGGGGCTGGGTGGGGGAGGGCGGGGCCTGTAGTCTGGTGGACACCCTTCTCCTCCCCGCTCCCCACCTCCCCGACCAGCCCTTTCTCTCCAGTCTGGGTAACCTCCCCTCAGCAGCAGGCATGATGGGGCACAGGCCTGGGTGCTTGGCGACAGGAGCCCGAAAGCCCCAGGGGCTCTCCCACGTTCTGCGGCTCAGATGTGTGGACGGTGACTCCTCAGCTTGGAGTGCGTATTTCCCATTCGTGCAGCCTTTCGACAAAGGGAAGGCTCCTTTTTGGTGACCTTGACCTTCTGCCCCACGTGGCGTGTGCGCTTGTGTCTTCAGCCCTTGTGTCCCCGGCAGCAAGTGCTGGCGTCTGCCGCTTCCTCTGAGAGATGCGCGTTGGGGCTTCCCCTCCCTGGCACTGGCTTGGCGGGCGCTGTGGGCTGGGGTCCAGTTTCATGTCCCTGCTGTTGATCAGATGGCCTGTGTTCCCGGCCTAGGTCCCGGCCTGCAAGCACGGCCTGCAAGCACGGAGGGAGGCCCTTTCCGGCCGGGCCCGAGCGGCTCTGGTCCCCACCCCGTCTGCCGCTTCTCTCCGCAGCTTCACAGCCAGCAGGAGGGCGCCCGGGCTTGCTGGTTTGTCCAGCTGGCCAGGGGTTTGGGCCTTCTGCTCTTGCGTGAATTTAGTTCTGGTAACAGTGCTGCTGTCTTCCTGTCTCTCTCCTGCACGGTGACAGCGCCCTAGGTCGGGAAATCCTGTGTCCACCTGGTTGTTGGGGGGCCAGTGTCCGCCAGGCGGCTGGAGCAGCCACTCCAGTGTGGCCCGTGGTCTTTTGGTCTGTCAGGGCCATTGGGGAGCGCGTGGGAAAGGCGGGCGTCGGTCCGACCCCACCCCTGCCTGGTCTGAATCTGTGTGTGTGGACCCCCCGGGGTCAGACACTCTTCAGCCCTGGGAAGCCCCGCAGGGCAGAGCGATGCTGTCTCCTCCTCCTGTGCGGGCGCAGCAGGGTCACCCGCAGGTGGTGCTCCCCTGCATCTCCGCTCTGCCAGGCTGGGCAGATGCAGACCCGGAGCTGCCTTGGGCGTTCGCGGGCCTGGCCCACCTTCACATGTGGCACGTTCAGGGTTGGGGCTTCCACGTGGGGATTTCTGGGGCTAGTTAACTGTTGTTGTGTGCACTGTGTGATAATGATACGCTGCTTTATAAAATAACAAGATTAGTAGTAACAGTCAACATAAGGAAAAGTGACGTGGAGCCAAGATGCAGAGGCTCGAGCTCAGAGGGAGTGACGACGGGAGGGCAGTGGGTGTGCCCCCGGGGCGGGCTGGGGACACGGCCACTGCCCCGTGAGGGCCTCACCTTCGCCCCTTCTCTCCCGCAGGGCCATGCAGCAGGCGGAGCAGCAGCGCTGAGAAGGCCCCCGAGGAGGCGGACGGGCCGGACGCCGAGTCCTCCGACGACACGGACCGCAGCAGCAAGGTGAGCGGTTTTGTTCCCACCTCCGCGTCTTGGGCCCTGGACTCGGCACCTTTGCCGCACCTGCGGGTCGAGCCCCCCACGGCCCCAGTGGTCTCACTAGTAACGTGCCGCCCAGCCAGGTGGGAAATCCGCGTGGCAGCCTCGCCCACAGAAGCACAGGTGGGAGGGGGTCCTGTCCCCGAGTGGGAGCCTGGGTCCCTCCGCTTGAGGGTGGTGCACGGCCTCTCGGCCACTTGGCGGGCCTCCTGTCTCTGTGAGGGTCCCGAGCGTGCGGGCCCAGCTCCTGGGGACAGTGCGCGTCTCCGTGGAGGGAGAGTGTCTCTGTGGCTCGGGGCCGTGAGAACGGCCCTCCCACCCTTCGGGCAGCGGCTTTGTCTCCAGTTCCTCCCGCTTTTACCCCTCCTCCCCCCCAGGCGGGTTTGGGGCGGCAGCCTCTTCTCATCCCGTCTCCACGCCCGGGCCCCCGTGTCCCCAGCCAGAGCGGCCGTGTGCCTCGAGTCTCCTCTGTGACAGTTCGGGCAGGACCACTCTGCCTCCCGCCCTTCTGTCCGGTGCCTGCCAGTCGCCCCTTGGGCACCTGGGTGGTTCCCGCCCGCGCCCGTCAGGGGAGGGTGGCGGGTCCGGGCGTGAGCCGAGATTCAGAGCCTGCGCATCCCGCGCGCTCGGGGTCCTTGGGTCTCTCCCTGGTCCCACAGGACTCTCCCCAGCACGGGCTCCTCCTCCCCAGGGTCCTTCCTGCCCGAGCACAGGCGCAGCGCGTCGGGAAGCAGGTGGAAGCTGCGGGGTGCGGCTGGAGCGGGGTGGGCCTCGGGGAGGCCCCGTCCTCAGGAGGACCGAGCGAACCAACAAAAACTTGGTCAAGTGTTTGACCTGTGGCCCCGACTTCACTCTTGGCTGCGGTTTTGTGGGGGAGGGTCAGCGGCCCTCAACAGAAACAGTTAATTTCTAGACTGAAGATATATTGAATATATTGAAGGGTGTTTATTTGGTTCTTTTGTTAGTGAAACTAAAAACGTTAAGTCTGAGTTTCCAGTTTGGTTTAGGAACAGTTGTCTGTCCTCCTTCTGACCCTCTACTTACTGAATGCTCTTCACTCAGGGCGTTGCCACCTGGCTGTGGGCTGAGGTCGGTTCCCGGGAAGGGCAGGAGGCCCCGGGCCTTGTCCCCTGACGCCAGGGTGATGTCTGTCTGCCTGGGGTTGGTGCTCGAGGCCCTAAGCTTGCCTGCAGCAGACAGGGCAGGGGAGAGCGTTTCACTGCTTGCTGCGGGTCACTGTGGGGACTCGCCTGGGGCGGTCGCCGTGTCTGAGGGTCAGATGGGGCTGCAGGAAGCAGCCACTTCAGGTCCTTTCCTGGGGCTGGGGCGCCGTGGGAGGCTGCACCTGGAAGTGCTCCCTCATTTCGTCTGATTCATCTTCTGTATTTGAATAGTGTCACGTGACCCAGGTTCCCGACTTCAAACAGCCTTCTGGGAATTGGGTTTCTTGCCTAGGACATTTGGAAGGAAAAACCGCGGACTGAGCGAGTCTCAGAGCGAGGGCCCTGCTGTGGGTTAGTCATGAGTGTCTCGCTGGGCGCGTTGTTACCGGATTGGCCGCTGGTCCTCGTCAGCCCAACCTGCCCTCCCAACTGCCCCCCTTCCAGAGAGACCAGACCAGAGGTGGCCACTGTTGCTTACGCCACAGGAACAGAGAGGCTAAGCAGCTTACTGAAGGCCACCCAGCTCTGTGGTGGGGACACCAGGCCTAGTGTTGTGAGTGGCTCTGCCGCGCTCGAGGGTCGTGGCCTGGTGTTTAGCACCAGTTTCCCAGGGAAGGAAGGGACAGACCGGTGGTGCCGTGAGCCAGTTTGGGGGTGTGCTCACGGCTGCCCTTCCTCAGGCCTGAGCTTTCTGGGCCTTCCATGGGGTTTAAAGTCGGAGTGAGTGTGTATCTTAGGTTTCTTGATTCAGGTTAAGCATTTTGTTGATGCATCTCTTACATCAGGGTGTATATTTTCTCAAAATGAAGTGAAACTTTTGTGTCAGAAGGTGCCTATGTGAGAAGGAAGGTTTTGATGCAGCCGGCTGAGTGTTGAGATGCATAGGTAAATGAATAAACAAACATGTAAATGAAGTAAAACAAATACTCGTTTTTTGCTTTGGCAAAATACGTGACAGCTGTTGACGGGACAGTGTTGCTGTCTTTCCCCAGTGAACTGTTTAGGAAACAATGGGGCAGGATAAAGAGAGTGCGTGCTGGAGGTTCACGTTCTCCATTTGTGTGTGGCGGTGCCTGCCTCTGGGGGCGTGGGGGGTGGGGCCGGGAGGGCCACATCCTGGGGGCGGGGCCGGCACACCGCAGGGGGCCTGAGGGCCTTTCCCTCTGTGGGTGGCCTCCGTCCCCGCCCCCCTCCCCGCAGCTGCAGGGAGAACCTCAAAGGGCCCTGCTTTTCATCCCGGCGGCCTGGCTCTGGATGGGGCGCCGGCCAGCCCAGGCAGGTGGTGCCGCGGTGTTGCTTCCACGGAGGAAACGTGTCAGAGTAATTTTCAGAACGTTTTCGGTCTGGAAACTGCCTTTCCCTTTAATCCCAATTGTAACTGTGTCGGAAACTCCTGCTCTGGGAGCGACAGCGTTAGCGGGAAGTGTGAGAACAGAAGCTGCTGAGGCAGAAGCCCGGAGCTGCTCCCGGCGGGGGCGTCGGAGCTGAGCGGTGCGGGAAGGTGGGGAAGGTGCGCACAGGCGCTGGCCGGTCAGCTGATCCCGCCCGCCCTGCAGACTTGCCCGCGAGCGTGTCTGCGCTGCCTTTACGTTCTGCCCCTCGGTCCTTCCTCTCTGGAACTCTGGCCGCTGGCCAGGTGCCGTCCGGTCTCGGCTCCTGCCCGAGGTTTGGCCTTGGACACCTCAGCAAGGGTGTTGGCCGCCCTGCAGCTGCTGGGGCTGCCTGGTCCCCGTGTGTCCTGTCCTCGAGGGGATGCGGCTGAGCGCCCTGCCTGGGCAGGGCCGGCCCCGTGGGAACGGAGGAGGTGTCGGCGGTGCCAGCAGAGCCTTTCAGGGCCCTCCTTTGGCTTCCTCGCTGAGCACGGCCGGTGGGACCACGGAGGGATGTGCCTGAGATGGCCGCTCTGTGGAAGATAAAGCGCAAGCCCAGGGCTGACCCCGGGGCCGGGGCTCCTGGCGGCAGGTCCCTTCACCTGGTGAGCACGCTCGAACACGGCTGTCCGGCTGCGTCCGGTCCCCGATCCAGGGAGGGGATCTGGGGTGTCCTGTTTCCCCTTGTCCTGTCTTCATGCGTCTGGAGCCGGGTGGGGGGGAGGAGGTTCGGCGTGGGGGTGGGGTGCAGTTGGCACACAGGGACATTGGTATTTTCTTCCTTAACAGCAGAAAGGTGTGTTTTTTTTAACTGCCGTTTGCACGTCCCCGTCTTTCTGTTGTGGAGATGAGTGTGTTGCCGGCAGGGCGGCGGCGTCCCCTGTCTCCGCCTCCCCTGGGGGTTCCGAGGGGCTGCAGGCATTTCTGGAGGGAGGCTGTGCCCACGCCCCCCGCCCCCCCGCCCCGTGTTCTGGGTGGCTCTGACTCCGGGACCGGGAGCCGGAGCAGCAGGTGCGTTGGGAGGGGTCGCTCAGGGGCCGCGTTCACGGTCCCTGCGGATGACCAGCCCTGTCCACAGTGCTCCCCGCAGTGCGACTGGACCCCCGTGAAAAACCTTAGTGGGCGGGTGGTACGGAGCAGTTCACCAGGGTCCAGTCAGGCCTTTTAATAGTCCCACGTCCCCATCAAAGCCTGTCAGCTGTCAGACTCCCTGTCACTTCGGGCGACGGGGATTGTGACAGTTAGTGTGGCTCATTTATCTGAGTGCCTTTGTCCCTGGACACTTCACTGCAAAGTCCTTCTCAAAGGACGCCTGGCCAGCGCTGCGTCCTGTGGGCTCCGAGGGGCCTCGCGTCCCTGCGGGTGTCTCCAAAAGGCCTAAGGGAAGGCTGTCGGATTTTAGGTCACGCTGGTCCCTTGAAGTACTCGGGGGTGTTGGATCGTCGGGCCTCAAAGGGACAGTTCTGAGACTCTGAGCCCCCTGCAGGCAGGTCTGCCATGGGGGGCGCTGTGCCTGTCAGGCCGGCCAGAGCTTCCTTTTCATCTCAGGGAGAAGGTGGCCTTGTGAACCGCGCCCCCTGCCCCCCACTGCTCCCTTCTCTGCGTGTCCCTGGGTTATTCTTAGTCTTGACCTGGGGCAGCTCTGAGGGCTGGGCTTCTCTGTTTCCAGGGTGATGACCCCATTCTTCCACAGGGTCCTCCCCCACCTGGGCTCTGCCCCTCCAGTCCTGGCTTTCGGGGTCCCTTGAGAACCTCCCCGGGCAGCACCTTGTCTGGGTGCGTCTGGCTCCCATGCTGGGTGTGGGGTGATGGGGACACCAGGGAGCCCGCAGGGTGGAGTCGTGCTCCTCACATTGTCGGGTGGTAGGTCGCTCTGGCCCCTCCGACAGCCCCAAGACCCTGGAGCCACGCTGGGAGGGGCCAGGTGAGGGGGGGGGGGACAGGTGACTCAGGAGCTGCCGGAATATGTGAGTCCCTAGATGCGTTCTAAAGCAGACCTGCTGATTTTGCTTCCTGCTAAGGAGTTTTGGGGGTGATATGTTAGTAAAACAGAATTCTTGATGACATCTTTTCAAGTTGTTTACAAGCAAAAGTTTACTAAGAGCCTTGAAAATAAACACCCTTCAACACAACATTCGTTATGACTGTAACTGTGTTTTTTAGTTTTCCACCTAAATAGCTTGTAACCGACAGTAAGAAGGTTGCATCTGTTTGGACTCTGTTCCTTGTGATCAGCCTTCGAGTCTCCAGAGAAGGTCTTGCCAGCGGGACGCTGCTCCCCCCCCCACCCCCTCAGCTTGGGGCCCTGTCCTGGGAGGAGGGGGCGCCTGAGGCACTGACCCCAGGTGTCAGGAACTTGTAGGTGTCCCCTGAGGCACTGAAGGTACTGCCTGGCCTCTTTCAGGAACTGGGGGGAGGGGAGGTGTAGAATACAAAGGCCCGGCTCACCTGCCCCTCACTGGAGCTTCCCGGGCCTGTTTCAGACCGAGGTGGGCAGACACCTGCGCGGCCCCTGAAATGGAGACCTGAAGGCATTCATGGTGGAACAGAGGCAGTGAAAACCCAGAAACGCACACACCCCAACTGTCTGCGAGTCTCCCCGGCAGGGTGGGAGTGGGAAGGCCAGAGGGGGTGGGGTCTTTGGAAAGTCCTGCCTGTGGTTTGGTCTGAACGGGAAGGTTGTAGCTGTGCCTTTTCTTGGGGGGTGTGGGGTGGCGGGAGGCAGGACTTCACCCAGCAGCTTGGCGGACGCTGGCACTGTGAAGGCGCACCGTGGCCCGGTGGGCCCTGCGGCAGGGGCGGCGGGTGCTGCCGGACCCTGAGCCGGGTCTGCGAGCGGGTCGTCGGCTGGGCCAGGGCAGCTGGGGCCAGTGCCGCTGTCTCGCAGGCGCCCAGCAGCCTGAGCTCGGGGTCTTCCCCTCTGTGAGGCCCTTGCCCCCTCGTGTCTGCGCTGTAGGGCGGTGGTCGTGAGAGTTGCCATTGGATACCCACGCACCCGTGGGCGTTTCTGCGTAGACGGGTCTGCGGGCTCTTTCTGCTTTTCACGGTGAAGCCGTGTTTAGCTGTGTATTTGAGGATGCGGTTGCGTCAGCAAACCCCCACGTAACCGCATAGAACTGTTTGCAGCCATGTGGACACCCGTGCACGTTCAGTGTGGCTCGAGGGGGTGCTCCTTGGTTCGTCACTGAAGGGGGACTTTGTGGGGCCCTTGGTGTTGGAAAGAGGTTCCTTAGGACACATGGGCAAGTGCCACGGGCAGGTGACCAGACCCCCTCGGCAGGGCAGCCAGTGCCAGTGGCGGGTGGTGGAGTCGGAGAAGGGTCCGGGTCTGGTGGCCACTCCTCCCGGTCGCGGGCGGGCATCCTCGTCCCAGGCATCCCTCCTCCGGGGCCAGACCCGTGAAGAGAAGTCACGTCAGGGTCGGGTCTCGTCTCCGCCCTGCAAACCGCCACCCGGGACTCCCGCCTCTGGGTGTAGCGGCAGCTCCAGTGCAGGAGGGTGAGGGGTGCGGCCCTGTGCCTGCCCCAGGACGACGGAGGCGGGAGGACCCGGCGGGCAGCGGCCTCCAGGGCGACTCCTCACACACCGGGTGGTGCGTGTGGGCACTGCCGCGACGGGAGCTGGGGCTGCGGAGTAGCCTCTGCGTGACCTGCAGAGCCCCTCAGACAGAGCCCGGAGGGTCTGGCCTGCAGGGGGCGCTGGGTGTCTGTGGCCTGTGTGCTCGGGCCTCAGTGTCCCAGAGCAGACGGTCGTCAGGAGGGGACAGGACCCCCCTGAGCCTGCGAGGGCGTGGTGTTTGTCTGCCCTTGAAGCAGTTCAGGCGGCTGGGGGGGCGGGTCGCACGTCTGTGTTTGTGGAGTCGCCTTGGTGCAGCTGTGACAGCCAGGGAGGCCCTCGGCTGGTAGGGTCGTCCCATCATGACGGCGTGGGCACGGCACAGCCCCGCCTGGGAGTTGGTGACCGACACGCCCAGTCTTCTGGGCGAAATGTGCCCACGTCCCCGAATCTCTTCCGTCTCCGTCTGGGCCGGCGTCTCCTGGCGGAGAACCCAGCCCCACACGGGTGGGTGGGCGGGCCGGCCGCACCAGGGCGCTGTCTCGGCTGTGCCGCCCCGGAGGCCCTGCAGGCCCTTTCTGGGCCTCCTAGTGTCCGCCGCTGCACAGGGAGGCCGGCGTGCCCGTGTGCGGGGAGCGGGCATGTGTCAGCACTGGACGCGGGCGCTCGTCCGCGGGGGGGGGCCCCTTGGAAGCGGCAGAGATGACGCTCAGCCGAGGCCATTGGGGACCGTGGGCGCACCCTGTGAGGAGGCGGCAGGCCAGACCGGCGTCCCCAAGTGCCAGCCTCACCCGCCCCGCCCTTCCCCTGTGCTCCGTCCACAGAGTGCGGGACCGGGGGCTGCGAGCCGCCACAGCCCACACGAGATGAACCCCCGTGACCCGAGCCCATCCCCCCAGGACACCAGTGGGCCACAGCCGGCCGCCACGAGGCAGCTGACGGACGCTGACAAGCTGCGCAAGGTGATCTGTGAGCTCCTGGAGACGGAGCGCACCTACGTGAAGGTGAGCGAGCCACCGCCCTCTGCCGGGCGCTGCGTGTTCCTCCAGGTGGCGGCCGCCAGGCCCCCGGGGCGGCCGGGCTGGTGTCTCCGGGCTGCGAGGCTGTTACTCGGAACGAGCGTTCCCCGTCGGGTGCCAGGGAGGCACACCAGTGCTTACAGCGACTCCCTGTGACGTGCAGGGCAGGGCAGAAATAAGTTCCCAGTTGTTCGGGTGGAAAATGGTACAACGAGTAATAAATAACGACATTAGAATAAGCAGTTTTCTATATTCACCACTGTGAAAATTGACTTTAGCTCGGGAAGGTTATTACTTTCAAAATGTGATCGGAGTCCAGGCAGGAGGGCATCAGGCCTGGGCCCTCGTGTTAGTCCTCGGGTCTGACCGTCGGTCACCCTGCTGTGTCGGTCACTTCCATGTGATTCACGGTGCGTTTTTACGTGACACAGGACTGGGAAGTTCACAGCAGTCCCAGTGCCTGTGACGCCTGCAGGTTCCACTGTGGAACTCGTGTGTCCTGGCGGCGCGGGGCCCGTTTCAGACGGTCCCTGTTGGTCTGTGACTCCGCACGGCCGGGCCCGGCCCTCTGCCCCCTCTCACCGATGCGGTGTTGGTGGCACGTGGCCTCGTCCTCCGTTTCCGCAGCCGAGGGGCAGCGCCGTGGGCAGAGGGGCCTTCCACTCCCAGGCTGGATGGGGCGGGGGGACCCCCACGGGGCGGCGCCTGTCTGTGCCTCCAGGTTCCTCGGAGGTCCTCGCGCGCGTGCTCACGGGCGCTCACTCTCCCCCCGCAGGACTTGAACTGCCTGGTGGAGAGATACCTCAGGCCCCTTCGGAAGGAGACGTTCCTCACTCCAGATGAGGTACCGTGGGGGCTGCCCTCACGTGGAGGGAGCAGGGCAGCGGGGCCCCTGTGAGCAGTTGGGGTTCACTTAACCGTGACGGACAGGTGACATCGTTGCTCCCGGAGGGGAGGGGAAGGGCCCCCCACCCCCTGGTGGGGGGTTGTGATCGCGGTTGAAAGGCATTGATAAAGGAACTTTGAAATCGAAGCAGGTCCAGTCTCCGAACTAATGAAATGTGAGAGGGATGGAATCCTCCTTCCTTTTGCAGCTGGACGTGCTCTTCGGGAACCTGCCGGAGATGGTGGCGTTTCAAGTAGAATTCCTCAGAACGCTGGAGGACGGGGTGCGCCTGGTCCCTGACTTGGAGAAGCTCGAGAGAGTCGATCAGTTCAAGGTGGGTCGGCCATCCCAGCGCAGAGCCGTCCTGGCGGCTCATCCCGAAGGTCGAGTTCGGTCCCGGGAGGGGGTGTGCTCTCGGGCCAGTTCCCCGGCCCCATGGCCCTACGTCCTCATCGGCCTGCCGCTGTGGAGACGCTTGTCACCGTCCCCTCCGGAGGCTGCGGGTGGCCCGTCTGCACCGCGAGCTCGCTTCCCTTCCTTGGAGGCGTCCCTGCGCTCGCTCCAGGCCGCGCGTCGACCACCGTACGTGGAGGCCAGCTGCCTTAGTCGGAGCCAGACCGACCGGCCAGGTGCGGCTCGAAGGGCGAGGGCACCTGCAGAGCCCGACTGTCCCTGCCCACGCCGCTCAGTTGGGGCCTGGCCGCGGCGGGAGGTGGCCTGTGGGGAGGCCTCTGCTCTCGGTGTGTGTGGGTCGGGACCATTGGTGGCTGTGCGGACGTGGTCCGTCAGTGTCCTGTCAGCGTCCGAGGCGTGGGCCACACCGCACGCTGGGGAACCCGGTGATCACTCACTTCCAACACCTTGTTTTCTCACGTGGAACCGTCCAATTCTAAGCCCAAACAGGCAGCATCTCTGTGGCTAAGCGAGACCGAGTTGAGGAGAAACCTGCAGAAGGTTCTCTTCTGAGGCCTGTCTCCCTGGTTCATACGAAATGCGGGGTAGAAGCGTCCCACCTCGGGGCAGGCAACTCCTTGTGGGAGGGCCTCCCTTCAATGCCACTTATTGTGGGGTGGGGAGCAGGAGGGAGACCCGGCTCCCCAGGCTGAGGCTGGCATTACTACCAGGGAAACACATTCTCAAATTTGGGGGTGTTTGCCCTCGGTGCCCCCAGGAACTGACGAGAGAATGCAGGTTCCGGCCCCGAGCACCGGCCTCGTTTCTCGTGAACACACCCGCGCTCTGTGGGCCCTTTTGGCCGGCGGTGCCGTCTGCGCTGTCGCTGCCGAGGAGGCCAGAGCCGGTGCCCGTCACCACGTCTGTGGGCCCGTGTGCGCTCTGGTGGCAGCCTCAGGCCTTCGGTGTGCAGGGACCGCTGGGACCAGGCGGCTGCCGCCGGCCATGCCCTGCAGGCGTTCTGGCGAGAGCTGAGCTGCTTTCTCTCATTCCATCTAGAAGGTGCTGTTTTCCCTGGGGGGCTCCTTCCTGTACTACGCCGACCGCTTCAAGCTGTACAGCGCCTTCTGCGCCAGCCACACGGAGGTCCCCAAGGTCCTGGTGAAAGGTACGGCCTGGGAGCACGGCTGCTGGCTTTCGGCTTTGGGACCAGCTGCCGTCAGGGGTGTCTGGACCAGACTCGAGGAGCCATCGGGTGGCAGGTGCACGCTCCACCGGCCACCACCCAGGGCCGAGAGACCCAGTTGTCTCAGAGCAAGAGCCTTGTCCCCGGGTTCGAGGTTCTGGGCTCCGCTCCTGTTCTTCACTGACTGCATTGTGACCTGCCGCTCACCCTTGTGTGGCATTCACGCTTCCCGCCCCGGGGTGTGTGGCAGCACCCTGTCCCCACCTTCATGTTGCTCTGCCTACTCACGAGCACCGCCCAGGATGCCGGGATCTTTCTCACTGCACAGCACAGGCTTTGGAGGTTGGCAGCCCCTCTCCCAGAGTGTTCTGGAAGGTCCCGAGCATCCTCAGAGTGTCCAGAGAGGGCTTTTGCTTCCACAGGCCAGCGTGGGGTTGTCTGACATGTAAAAGGGTCAGAGAAACAGGCAGTTGGAAAACAGCGCAGCCCACAGGAAGCTTGATCCCAGGGGCCTCTGGACACAGCCTGCCGTTCCTGCCACGTCGGGGGCCGCGCAGGCCCGCAGTCCGAGAGCGCTGGGCTCACTGCCGGAGGGGCTGGGCTGGCTCGACGGACTCTGTCTCTGGACATGCGGGCGCCACACAGGTCTCCGCAGGGCAGGGCCTGCCCACAGGCCAGCCTGGAGCTGAGAGGGGACCTGAGGTCCCCGTGCAGCTGGCCCTCCCCACATGTCGGTCATGCGGGGGCGTGTGTGTGTCTTCACTGTTCACCCGAACGCTGGTTGCTGTGGGGGCCAACGCAGTGATTTCAGAGCTCGTTGCGCCGCAGAGAAGTGACATGTCTGTCACCATCCTCAGGGCCGTTTTGCTATTTTTAAACAACTAGATTATGTTCCGCCCCTGTAGGTTTTTCGTGATATTTGTTTGCACCTGGAAAATATTTATTGCATCTTTCAAATTGTGCTTTAAAACATTAGGTCCGACCTACATTTTTTAATGGCCAAACATGCCGGGAAGGGGAGGCGGGGCCGAGAACCAGGAGCAGCCAGGATTCTTCCCCAGCTCGAGGGGGTGCCGGGGCGACCGCCCAGCAGGCTGCAGGGCCCGGGCCCCCCCCTCCCGTTTTCACGCCCTGACGTGACGTGGCCGCGGCGGGCTAGCTGTCCGTGCCTGTGCTTGTGGACTTGAGGACTCGGGGTGTTCCCCAGGGGGCAGGGCTTCCTCCTGTGCCCTGGCCCCGGGCTTCGGGCCTGGCCACGCCTCCCTGGCGCATGTGAGTCCCCTGGTCACTCCCAAGCCCGTTCCCTTATTTTTCGGAAGGAGGAGAGGTGGCTGCGCCCTCGAAGCCTCGTTGCTCTCGGGGCTTACAGGATGCAGAGACGGGGTCTCTCCGAGGCTTGGCTCCGTCCTGCTGCGTCCTTGACTACATAGCGTTGGCGGGACACTCACCCACAGCGCCCCCTTAGGCTGCACGTACCTTCGGACTTTAGTGTGCGCTGTGGGCCTGGCCGAGGGAGGTGCGTGGTTCTTCCCCGTCTGTGGCTTTCGAGGAACCGTGTGCCCCTGTGAAGTCACTCTGGGGCCTCCTGTCCTGTGCTCACACCGCCTTCCCCCTCCTCGGGCCTGGACGTGGATGGGGGGGCCAGTGGGCAGGGCTGGTGCTGCCCGAGACGAGGGGTCCGTGTGCAGGTGCAGACCTGCCCTGAGCCGGGCTGTAGCTCCGCATTAATGCGGCACCGAGGGTGGACAGCGCTGGCTGCGGGAGCCCCGGCCACGCCCCCTTCCCAGGGCTGCGGGGCTGCTGCCGCCCCGGGAGGCTTGAGAGCCAGGGAAGGGGTGTTACTAACGTGCACCCTCCCGAGCTGCGGCGAGGAGGACGGGTGGGAGGTGATGGCCGTTGAAGAGACAGTTTGTTAGAGTTTCCGAGAGGAGGGTCATACCAGGCCAGGCAGGGCCACACGGTGGGGCACAGGGTGGGGCACAGGGTGGCTCTGCAGAGAGGGGGACCGGGGAGACGCTGGGCTGGAGCCTTTCAGGCGAGTGAGGCCAGGCAAGTGGAAGGAGCCCAGGGCCCTGCGTGCGGGGACCGTGCTGCCTGCTGCCAGCCCTGGGAGGGGGGTGGGGATGGGGCGGGGACAGTGGGTGCTGGTAGGAGGGCTGGGGGTCCCCGGTGGGCTGTTTGCATGAGGGAGGTGCTCCCCGTGAGTCCCAGGGCGGCCAGACCGGGCAGGGGCGGGATCCTGGGGTTGGTGTGGCCCCAGCTGTCAAGTCGTCAGGGTGTGAGGACGTTCTGAAGCCCGGCAGGAGGGGGAGTGGCCCGGGGCTCACGAACCCTGAGATTCCCTTACACGACTCTGGCTCGGGTGCCCCCAAATACACACAGATGGGACTGGCCCTCTGGCCCTGTCTGAGGACTTCTCCCCCACCGGACCCTGTCCCCTTGCAGCCAGGACGGACGCGGCGTTCAAGGCCTTCCTGGACGCGCAGAACCCGAAGCAGCAGCACTCGGCCACGCTGGAGTCCTACCTCATCAAGCCCATCCAGCGGGTCCTCAAGTACCCGCTGCTGCTCCGCGAGCTCTTCTCGCTGACCGACGCAGACAGCGAGGAGCACTACCACCTGGACGGTGAGCCTGCCCCGCCCCAGCCCTGGCCCCGCCCCCTCGCCCTGCCCTTCTGCCCTGTGCGAGCACGCAGGCTGCAGCCCATTCACGCCCCGCCCGCCCGCTCCAGTGGCCATCAAGACCATGAACAAGGTGGCCAGCCACATCAACGAGATGCAGAAGATCCACGAGGAGTTCGGGGCTGTGTTCGACCAGCTGATCGCTGAGCAGACCGGCGAGAAGAAGGAGGTGAGGACGCGCCGACCCTCCTCCCCGAGTGTCAGGGAGACCGCTCTCCCGCTGCCGTTTGCCAGGGCAGTGGCGCTGCGCCCCTCGTCCACGGCTGCGCTGCGGCGGGGCTGCTTCCTGCGCCGAGTTACCGTGACCATGGGACGTATGTCTGAGCCCCTGGCCCGGGCTGGCTCTGAAGGCCCCTGAAACGGCGAAGTCACACCCCCCCGAGGCCGGAGCAGCGGCTGGCTTGTTGAGGGAATGACGCTGAGGTGGTTTTCAGAGTCTGCCTGGCAACAGCACCTGGCACTGGGACACCCGTAGAGAAGGCGGGCGCACCGGGCTGTGCCGGAGTCCCCGGGAGAGCCGATGGGACCCAGTGTGCTGCTGGCCCTGAGGTGGGCCGGGTGGTGGCCTCTGTGTCCCGACCCACCCTGGCTTCAGTTTCTGCCTGAGCCAGGCTGGGGGCTGGGGATGAAGGGGCGTCCCTGCTGTGATTGGAAAGGGGTTGCATGGGGGCAGGCAGAGCATGGTGTTCAGTGTGTAGGGAGGAAACAGCGCGGCCCAGGTCCATTCTTGTCCCTGGTGAAACGAGTTTCGGGAGCTGGAAGGATAGTTTTCAGAAGAACCACGACGTTCCACGTGAGCGTAAATGCGAGCACGAAGGAGAAATTTCTCTTTCTCTGTGGCGGGAGGGGAGCAGGCGGGGTGCATGCTTCTCAGGAAAAGGCAGGGTCGCACCTGAACGCCGGGACACACACGGCGGGTCAGTCCCAGGCGGGGCCGGACGCACAGCCACCTTCAGCTGCGGCTTCCGAAGGGCTGCGGGGGTGGGGCACACGCGGGGCCTGCAGGGCGTCTTCTGCCCCTTGGCCGGGGTGTGGGAGCGCCCGCGGCAGCTGAGAGGGGACACGTCAGCACTCGGTTGTCCTCGTTCCCTGTACAACTTGTGTAAAGAAAACGCAAACGCTTGTTGAAGGAAAGGATATAGAGGAAAAGGCAGGAAGAGCAGTTTGCGGTCTCAGTGTGGGGTGTTCATTTTCATCACAAATTACATGCTCGTGTGTGTGTGTGTGTGTGTGTGTGTGTGAATAACGACATTTGTACATGGGTGTTTTCGTATCCAACGAAGAACGTTCATGTGATTTTAAGCAATTCAAAAGAATTTAAGTGACCGTGTGACGTTTCATTGTGTGGCTGAGCAGTTACTTAATTCCCATCGTGGGGTGATTTCCCGGCTTCACTAAGTACCACGAGTGACACTGGAAACACCGTTGACCTTCAGCCTTTGCCTCCTCTGTGTTGTAGATTACTTCATTTTGACAGAAGTGAGCTGGTTTTACTGGGTCCTGGCAGCAAAGATCGCCACGAGACCTTGTTAGGTTTTGTATCACGTGCTGGATTACTTTCCGGACTGGGACCGTCTTCAGAGCCACTGGCTGACACTGAAGGCTGGGAGGTGATGCGGGGACTGCGGGGCCCGGGGTTTAGGAAGGAGGACGGCGCGGTTCAGACGTCTGGCCCGCGAGCAAAAATGGCCGGTCCCCCGAAGTGGAGACCCGATGCTGCAGGAAGAAGTCTGTGCGGCGGGGAGCAGGGGGCGGCCCTTGAGGGTTCTGGGGACAGAGACGTGTGAGAGATGAGGGGCTGCGGCTGGTGCCTGGGGCTGGCCAGCCCTCCATCTGTCGGCACTGAGAGAAGAGCCAGGAGATCCCGCCACAGACAACGGATGACTCGGGAGCAAAGCAGAGTCCCTCCAGGTCCTCCTCCATCGGGGAGGACGGACAGATGGAAGGAATGGGCCTGAGGGCTCAGATACGCCGCCTGGGCAGGTGGGCGGGCGGGCGGGCGGGCGGGCGGCTCTGGGCCCAGAGGACCCAGAGGACTGGCAGGTCCTGGCGCCGCTACAGAGGAGCCGGGAAACCGAGGCAGCCGCTGGAGGTCCCCGCAGTGGAGATGTGATGTGGGCTCTGGCCAGCAGTGTCTGCAGCGTCATGGATGAGACATGAGACAAATTCAGATGGACTGCCGAGTCCTGTGGAGGAAAAGGGACGGCACGGCCACTCTCTCAAGAGAGAGCATGTTAGCCCTCGCCTTGGCAGGCTTTCATTGGCTTTCTAACAGCATGCGTCAAAGGGGGTTCTCATTCATTGTGCTCAGTTTGCTTTAGGTAATTACTTTTTACAGGTAGCAAAGGAAGGGGGTGTTATTGACTACTTCCTACAGGTTAACAAGGGAAAATGTTGCAGATGCAAGGGTGCATAGGAGGATCGGTCTGGTTGCGCTCAGTCCTTGGAGAGTCAGCACAGACTTCAGGAAGTGACTTTAAAGACACGCAGTGAGAGTTTACTGCCTCGACTGTCACCTGGCTAGCAAGAGTGAGTCACAGAGCAGCCCAGGTGCAACGCAGGCCTGATTCCCACGGGAGAGCCCATCTGCGGGTTTGTCCCCTGCGCGCCACCTCGCGCTTCCCCACAGGGCTGGGCTGCATTGGCCATCGCACGCGGATCGGTTCCCTGTAGGGGCGCCTGGTGGCTGCAGCTCCCTTCCACGGCCGAGCGCGGCTGCCAGCTGCTGGGACCCGAACGCTGACCCGTGTCCGCTGGGAGCGGCAGGTCTGCCTGCAAGGGTGCAGGTCCGTGCAGCTGTGACGAAGCTGGCCCTGCGGCCTCCGGGCCCTGTCGGACTCTCCGGGTGCTGGGTGGGATGAGAGCCCCGTGCCCTCGGTCGGAGGAGGGGAGGCCAGAGGGCACTGCCCGGAAGGTGGGTCCAGCCCCGGCTCAGTGGGACCGGCCGGGCTGGAGGACACGGCCTCAGCAGAACTCCATCCTGGGGTTGGGCGGCCGATTCCGAAGGGACAGTGGGCAGGCTGGGTGCCGGAGGGAGTGGCTCTGGCCCTGGCCACGTTCCCCTGTGGGGTCTGGTCGCCCACTGTGCCCGTGGGATTGACAGCTCAGAGTGTTTGCTGCGTCTGGCACTCACCTCGCCGTGGTGTGCGGGTCGGCTGTACTTCGGCCTCTCTCGGCTCGGGTCTCAGGGCTCCACGGGGTCCAGGCCAAGCAGGGTTGGCCACCATGGGAATGTCCTTACGTGGCTGGAGAGCGGGAGCTCTGGGTGGTGGCCGTGGTGGTGGCGGTGGAGACTTGTTCCTCTAAGTCCACAGCCCAGGGCCCCTGGCCAAGCCCCAAGTCACCGGGAGGTGTGGGAAAGGTGGGGAACGGCCAACGGGGCCACTGGGAGGCAGAGACGCTGGGTCGTCGTCATTCTGGGCAGCTGTCCCGTGGGAAGAGGGACCCGCCTGGCGTTTGACCTTGGGGCGCTCACGCCCAGACCTCACGGTTCTGTGGACCGAGAGCTCGCGCTGCTGGCCCGCAGAGAGCACCTGCAGCCCCCGCCTCCCCTTCCGCCTCCAGCGCGAAGTGAGTCTTCCCTGAAACGAGCTGGCGGAAGAGGAGGGGTTGGGCCCTCCGCTCCCCAGAAGCCTGGCGCTCCAGGACCTCTGGGAGTCGAGTCAGGGGGGTCGCCGTGGGGCGTGGGAGCCCCGCCCCACAGCCAGTGCTCAGGGCACCAGTGCCTGCGACCATGCGATCGGCGTGGGCAGACTCGCTGCGCGTGAGGGTCGGAACCCTGGTTTGTCCCCGTTTCTCCATTTCATTGTGGAAATTCCGGCGGCACCTGGGGAGGAGGAGGGGGACGGCGATCGGCCGTTTTTAGATGGCGTTGTCACGCAGTGGAGCTGCCTCCACCTGCCTCCACCTGCCTCGGGTCAGCGCGTCCCGCCCCTGAGGCCCCACCCCGTTCTGCAGGTGGCGGACCTGAACATGGGCGACCTGCTGATGCACACGACTGTCACCTGGCTGGACCCGCCCGCTGCGCTGGGCAAGTGGAAGAAGGAGCCGGACCTGGCCGCCTTCGGTGCGTGTCCGCCGAGGGCTGTGGGCAGGCGGGTGGGGCGTGGTCTGGCTCAGTTTTCAGAATAAGACGCTTCCTTTCCCGAGACACGGGGTGTTGAGATGCAGCTTGTTACAGCTGTGTGACTCACCACCACGTCACAGGTGGCAGACTCCCCCCTTCCAGAAGCTGGGCGTGTGCTGTGGGGCCACCCTGCCACATGGAGGGGGGGCGGGAATGGCTGGGCCTCCGCCTACCCAGGGGGAGAAGAAAGCGAAACTCAAGCAGACCTCGTTTCCGAGACCCCTGATCTGAAGCCTTCTCCCCCCGACTCCCCGGCGTGTGTTGCTGGGGTTTGGCGCCTCGGTCACGGCCCCCCCCAGGGGGCTGTGTCGTTCCCCCGACTGCTGAGCGAATGAGGATATTCTGGCTAAATGTGCTGATGGCTGAAGTTTCACACTTGAGGTGCCGGCGCCCCAGAAGTTTCTGCCGACACAGGGCGGGCGACGCCCCTTTGTTTGGGTCTGCTGTGCTCCCTCCAAACCTGGGGGTTCTGTCTCCGCAGACTCTGGGCCCGCCGCCGTGATGGGCACGGGGGCCTTGCCGCCCTCTCCACCGCTGTGGCGTCCGCCCCCCGCGTGGCCGAAGTTGAGGGAGCCGGCGTTGCGTGCCGTAACCACCTTTCTTTCCATCCCCAGTCTTCAAGACCGCCGTGGTCCTGGTGTACAAGCACGGCCCCAAGCAGAAGAAGAAACTGGTGAGCAGCTGGTCCCCTCCGCATGGCTACAGCCTCCCGCCACCTGCCTCCCAGTCCCAGCCGTGGGCTCGAGACTCTGCCCCTTGGTCCGCGTGAGCCTTCTAGGCCTTCTCTGCTGTCCCTCTCCCCTCCCTCTTCCCCCTTGTACTAATGCCCCTGAGGCCCAGGGAACTGCCCATCTGCCCCTGCTCGGGCCCAAGCTGGCGGTGGCTGGGCTTCCCCAACCCCAGGCCTCCCTTCCCTGCCTCTCTCTGTCTTCCTGTCTCCTCTGCGTGGATGCAAGCGTGCCCCTCACGTACCACGGGGTGTCTTGCTCTCTGCCCGCGGCTGCACTGTCCCGGGTCTGGAGGACGGGGCGGGGCCAGGCTAGAGAGACTTTCTCAGGCCCCCGGCTCTGGCTCTCCCGCAGGTTGGACCTCACCGGCTCTCCATCTATGAGGAGTGGGACCCTTTCCGCTTCCGGCACATGATCCCCACTGAAGCTCTGCAGGTCCGCGCTGTGGCCAGTGCTGGTAAGATTCTGCACAGGCTCGGGCTGCTTCCCGAGTGTCTGCATGCACCCCACCGCCTCCGCTCCTCCCCCACCTACCCCGCCCTGCACTGACCAGGAGTGAGTGGGCGAGCGAGCCCAGTGGGGGGTGCAAGGCTCCGAGTGTCGTTCCTAGAGGGCCGGTCGTTCTGGACCGTGGGTCCGCACTGCAGCGTCTCTGTGCTGGGGCAGAGGCTGCGAGGCCCCGTTCCTTGTCTGCGGTCCCAGCAGCCAGCGAGTGACCCGGACTCTGATGCTGCTGCTGGCACGTGAGACATGAGCAGCGCAGGTGCTGGCTGTGAGCCGGGGCCCCGCCAGGGCTGCATTTGAGGCCTGGCCCTCAGGGCACACCTGGAAGAAGCACCTTTGGGGGCCAGGTGGAAGCACTTGGGTGTCCGGGAGCAGAGAGAGGCCCTGGAGCAGCCTCTGCAGGGGGCGGGGGTCCGACACGCCCCAGCACCCCCCACCCTCTCCCTTGCGTTTGGCATGGCCCCGTGCAGGGGGCGGCTCCGGTCCTCCCAGAGCTGCCCCCAGGTGCGGCGTGCGGCCAGCCTCCAGTGATGCCCCCAGATTACACTAGACGCAGCCTCCTTTGCGGCTCCTGTGTCCTGTGCGGCGGAAAAGCTCAAGTGTGGACACCGCCTCGGACCCGTGGGTTTCAGATGAGGATTTGCCCACAGGTTTCTCGGGAGTCTCCCAGCATGGGTTGACCCCAGTCCTTCTCAGTTAGTGTGTGACTTGTGAAGCGGACCTATCTGTGCACAGTAGGTCTGCAGATGGTGGCAACGGCATTGTGAGGTTGAGCACCAAAGACGAGTGCCAGGTCGCCTTGCAGCCCTCCGTCCATCGGCCGCCTCCTGCCGGGCATCCAGGCCTTAGGGCCAGGAGTCCACTTGGAGCTGTGTACTCGAGGGCTTGGCGTGGGACAGGTGAGGCCGCCCTCGATAAGGGCACCTGTCTCACCTGGCGCTCCACGCTGTCGAGTGTGAAACCGTCAGGGCGGACGGAGCCTTTCGTGACGGAGGCGGCAGACCTGCCACCCAGGCCGTGCCGTGAAGTGCCTTCCAATGGAGTTGAGCATCAGCTGTGAGACTCTGAGACTTAGGTAGTTTGGGAGAACTTCGTGCTGACACACCCTGGTTGGGGGCAGAGTGGCACAGGAAGCTCTGTGACAGGTTCTGAACCTCAGGACCTGTCTTGACACTCGCCCTGAGCTGCTCCCCCAAATACTGTCCGTGACTTGAGATGACACCACGCCACAGGCTTGTGCCATAATAAGTAAAATAGCACAGCGTTGCCCGGCTCAGGTTCGCCCTGAGCTGTAACTGCCCCTCACCGCAGCGTACCGTGGTTGCTCCTCAGAGTGGGCAGCGTGGGGGGCCGAGAACAAGGAACCTGTGGGCTTCCAGCACCTGCTGCGGCCCAGGGGCCTCCGGTGTGAAGGCCTGTGGGAGGCGAGGGCTTGGCCTGGTCACCTGGTGCCGAAGCAGCCCCCACTGAACTGGGGTCCTTCAGCTAGGCCTGCTCTGCTGCCGGCGGGAGGGTGGGTCGGTTCCTTGGCCAGGGAGCCGGGCCGGGTGCCCGCCACCCAGGAGGGGACTTCTGTGGCTGCACGTGTCCTGAGTGTCCTTCTTCTCAGCACTCACAGGGCTCTGAGCGCTTTGTCTCTTAAGGTCTCGGGGTCGCGGGGTCAAGGTGAGGGTCTTCCGTCTTACGCTGTTCTGCTCTGACCCGTCGCATGCCAGAGCCGGAACAGGCTCTTGTGAAATGCGGGCCATTCCCGCAACAGGCCCCTAAGCCGTGCTCTCTGCTCCCCCCAGACGCAGACACCAGCACGGCCTGTGAGATCGTGCACGTGAAGTCGGAGTCGGAAGGGAGGCCGGAGAGGGTGTTCCACCTGTGCTGCAGGTGAGCTGGGGCCGCAGGTGTGGCCGTGCACCTGGGGGGTGGGGTGGCCCTCGGCCCCTCTGGGCTCCCCAGACCTGCCCACACCCCTCAGGGCTCTCCCAGCCCCCCGATGCAGTGTAGACGTCACTGAACACGTCGACCCACAGGGCCTGGGATGGGGACAGGACCTGGGACGGGGACAGGAGCATGATGACCAGCAGGGACTAGGAAAGGACACGGGGGTTTTCTCATGTTCAGTGTCGCATGTGGGGATCAGGGACGCACTGCCCTGCTGAGCTCTGCGGTGCGTGTTGGCCCAGGAGCGTCCGTGAGACGTGGCCCACATGGGCGAGCGTGTGCAGGCCCCCGGTGGGCGGTGGGGGCGGAGCCTGGGGCCCTGGGGGTCGGGGCGGCTCCCGGCAGCGTCCGCCGTCCTGTGTGTAGGCCCCATGTCCCTGACGTGTGCACCTCCTCCCTGCAGCTCCCCCAAGGCCCGCAAGGATTTCCTGAGGGCCGTGCACTCCGTCCTGCGGGACAAACACCGCCGGCAGCTGCTCAAAACCGAGAGCCTGCCCTCGGCCCAGCAGTACGTCCCCTTCGGAGGGAAGCGGCTGTGTGCACTGAAGGGGGCCCGGCCGGCCATGAGCAGGGCAGGTACTGTGGGGGTCCAGACGTTCACGGTCCCCGTGCCCCCCGCTGCACTGTAGCCCCCGTGCCGTGAGCTGGACGTCCCGGCTGAGTGAGATGGAGCGCAGTGCCCCCTGGCATGAGGCCCCGCCCCCCGGCGCCCCAGGGAGCCGCCTGAGCGCTTCCCTCTCGCCCCCTCGGCTGCCCCCCTGCCCTCCCTGCTCCCTCTGCTCCTCCCGGCTGGTGAGCACCCCCCCCACCCGCAGCCCCCGGCCACTGATGGGAGTCTCGGCTTTGCACGATGGCCAGCTTTTTCCAGCCGGAAGTGTGTCCTCCCTCAGCAGGGTCATGGCCACCCTCCTGAGGACGTGGTGGCTTTTCGACCAGAAGTGCAACCTGTTCTCAGTCCGGAGCCCGTGTGGGGTCAGCTGGTGACGGGGGCGGTCTCACCAGCCGTGCCGTCCACTGCGCTGTGGGTACAGCCTTTCGTTCAGCTGCTGGTGAAGGAGAGGACCTGGGTTACAGGCCCCCAGAGTGGACGCTGCTGCAGGGCGGGAGTGACCCCTGGGAGCGGGAGCCGGGGTCACTGCTGCCCCCGTGAGTGGCAGGTAGGGACGGCAGAGAGGTTCCCTGGGGGGCTGTCCCCCTCCCCTCTCACTTGTCAGGAACACCAAGTAGGATCGGTAATGTGTGTCAGGAAACCCTACCTGGCAGTGGCCGACTTTTAGTGGCCAGTCAGTGACCCTTAAGTTTACCGGGAAAGCGAGCACTTTGAGTCTGTGTCCCTTTTGAGGCCCCTCTGGGAGGAAAGTGCCACCAACCGCAGCTGGTCTCTGTTTGGTGGCTCGTTCGGGCCGGAGGAGCTGTTACTGGGCTGCATTTGCGGTGCCCACTGTGGTCCTGACCCCCATATGAGGCAGCTCGGGAGCGCGGCTCGGGGGTCAGCGCCACCCGGGCTGGCCAGTTTCACCGCAGGAGTCACTCCCCCCACAGCGTGCCCTGGGCCCGAGAGGCCCGAGGGGGGTCCCGCATCTCCCTGTCCCTGGGTCGTCACGGAAACCAGGTGGTGTGTTTCTCCCTGTTCCGCCTGGATCGGCGGGAAGCCAGACTCCCAGCTCAGTCACTGCGGCTCTGAGGACCCGCTCCGCACAGCTGCCAGCGCCCCAGCGAGACTCCGTGTGCCGTGGGCGTCATCCGGCACACAGCATCCTGGGATGTAGCCTGCTGTGTTTCCGTGGTTCCCCCTCTGTCACCCACCAGCTCAGTTTTGACACGTTTCAGGAAAGCAGACATTGGCACACGTGACCCCTACCTTTGTTAGCATGCAGGTCGCTGACCGGCGTGTCCAGGAGCCCCATTAGGGCTGAGGGACTCCCCTGTCTGTGCCGGTGAAACCCTCCTGATGGGGTAGCAGTGGGTTTCTCCCCGTCCATTTTCCCTGGCCGCAGTGACCCCCCCCCCCCCCCTTGTCTGTCCCGTGTCGGCACCTGCTGCGGACACAGCGCACCCGTCTTTCCGGCCCAGCAGCCCTTCTTGCAGGTGGGGGCAGCAGCGCCCTCTGCCGGCCGTCCTGTGGGGTTGCATGCGGTGGGGCCTTCATTTGCCTGGTCAATTGGTGGTGTCCTCTGCCCCCCCGGCTCCGAGAGGGGGGTGGGGCGAGAGGAGGGACCCCAGCGTCCATATTTCTAAACTGTCACCTCAGGCAGCACCGTGTCCATCAGGTGCCGTCACTCACTCGTGTCTTCGTTGTTTTGTGGGTGGGAGCCGCTGACCTGCGGCCTGTGGTTGGGGGCGGAGGGCACCTTTGCTCCGCCTCCCGGCTCACTTGGGGGTTTGTCGGGGGGGGATAGGGCGAGACGAGACTTGGTGCTGGGAGCCACCGTGCCTGTGGGCTCCGGTAGAGGGGTGCGGGCGCTCCAGAAACGGCGTGCTGAGTTCCCCAGGGAGCAGGGCAAATGGGACCTGCCCTGGGAGGGGGTCGGGGTGGGGCCCCGACTGACCCTCTGCAGTGGGTCTGCGTCACCTGCCTGCAAGGTGCACGGGGTGGAGAGGTGCCCGCGATGCCCCGTTATCTGCGGCCCCGGGTCCCTCTGTGTCCCCTCGCCCTCCAGTCAGCTGCTCTGACGTCCGTGCAAGCTAAAGACTGTGGGGACGGACTGGTGACATCTGGGCTTTAGGTCCCGGGGACACCGCAGCGCCCATCGGCTGTCCGCTGCCCGCCCCCCAGATGCCCATCTCACGTGACGCGTGGGGGCCTGTCTCCGTGTCTGTGTCTGTGTACGCAGTGTCCGCCCCGAGCAAGTCTCTCGGCAGAAGGAGGCGGCGGCTGGCTCGGAACAGGTTCACCATCGATTCCGACGCCGTGTCCGCCGGCAGCCCGGAGCGAGAGGCCCAGCAGCCCCCCGGCGCCGGGGACACTGACCGGTGGGTGGAGGAGCAGTTTGATCTTGCACAGTACGAGGAGCAGGACGGCGTCAAGGAGACAGACATCCTCAGTGACGACGACGAGTTCTGTGAGTCCGAGAAGGGCGCCAGCGTGGACAGGGGCCTGCCCGAGCGGCTGCAGGCTGCCTGCATCGGTCAGGGGACCCGGGGCCACCCGCGCCCAGACAGCCACGCCTCCCGTATGACACAGCTCAGGAAGCAGGCGGCCCTGCCCGGCGGCGGAGGGGCCCTGGGGCCGGCGGGCGAGGAGGTCGTCTGGGTCCGGCGTGAAGACCTTGCCCCGTCCCAGAAACTGAACACGGAGATCTGACCGTCCGCCTGGAGAGTGGGTGCAGATGCTGGTCCCACCCCGCGCCTCCCTGCTCCCTGCGCCCTCCAGGGCGAGGATGTCCCCTTCAGCCGCACTCTCGCGCACACAGTCCTGGCAGCCGACTCTGCTCCGAAGCCACAGCATCAGAACGAGTTGTTCAGAATCTCAAGCAGGCTCGCGCCCCACCTTCTGTGTGTGGCTAGGGGCTCTCTGTCCCCATAAACCGAGCTGGGAGAGTGAAGAGAGGTCCCACGGCACCAGAGTCACATTCCCCTGGGGGGGGGGGTGGCGCTGTGCCACAGGTCACTGGAAGGGACAGCGCAGGAGGAGCAGGAGCAAGGTCACCCTGTCTGAGCCCAGTTGCAGCGTCTCCTGGCTGAGGCCGCTCGCAGTGACGGAGCCAGGGCGTGGCCACAGGGTCCCTCCAGCCCTGTCCTCCTCAGTGTCAGGACCGCCACCCATCCTCAGGGTGTGCGAGGGGGTGTGCACGGGGGCGTGTGAGAGGACGGGGCCTTTTCGTCTTGATGGGCCTCTCCCCCTCTTCCGTCCTGGTCTGTGGCTGGTGTCAGGTGACATCAGCGCTCGGAAGTTGTAATTTTGCAGAGAATTATAAAGATGCCAAACTCTTTGAAAAGAGACCCAAATTTATCACTTGGGGAAAAAAAACGCAATTTTTTTTTTGTATTTTCCCTGAGAGGCAGGGTACAGACAGATGAGAGTTTCACTGTTGGAGTGACTGAGTCTGAAGGGAGGATTTCACCCTTGCCAGTGTGTGTGAGGCGTGTGGCTTTATATTTACACACATGGACAGCCGGCAGGGTGCTCATGCGTCGGAGACACGTTTTCCCAGAAGACTGTGTGCGTGTTTGTTTGTCTGTCTGAACCTCCTGTGAGACGGGCGCCTGGCAGGAGCAGACAGGACCCCCAGAGGGCCGGGTGCTTGCCTGGGGCCCCCGCCGGCGGGGGGGCGGGGTCGCGCCTCCTGGGGTTGCCATGGTGACGCGGCTTGTCCGTCATAGTTGCATCTCTGTCCATTGCCTGCCCTTCCCTGACGCTCCCTCACCAACCTCCCAACAAGACCACCTCTTCCCAGACATGTCCTGTGTTGAACACTCTCTTCATGCCAACGAAACAGGGTACACACGCTAATAAACTCTCACACGCTAAGCAGGTTTCCACGTAGGGAGAACAAAACCAACTTAAAGCACTTTCGATTTTTCTTTTTTAATAAAAAAGGTTTGTAGCTTTTTTCCCCCGTTTCACAAGTCCACTTCCTAAGAAGGGTTTAAATAATATGAAAACTTTCTTTTTTGGGAAAATACCTATTTGGTGTTTGGCACATCTGTAGGTACTTTAACGACCTGAATTTTATAGCAGCTCTCGGGACTCTATTTTGTACAAACCAGTCGTGACTTTGTATTTCCAGACGTGGAGCCCCGCCCCTCGCCGGCGCCCCGCCCCTCCCGCCGGTGCCGCTTGCTGCCTGCTGTCCCGCCCCTCTCTCGGGTTCCCAGGGCTTTGAGCTTGGTCCTCGGGAGGTTTTATTCTATGAACTTTTGCTACATCTTCTGACTTTCTGAAAAAGCTTTAGAGTGGTTTCTACGCCCTTTGTGTCCCTGCACTGTGCACACCGCCCTGGTCCGCTGTGTCCTTCGAGGGGGCGGGAGCCCGGGTCTGTCGCCTGCGCGTCACAGGGTCGGTTGCTCACGGAGGGCGCCGAGCTGCTTGCGCGGTCGCCCTGCCGTGTCTGTGTTCAGAGTTCTTATATATTTCTTTTATAAGCTGAGAGAAGGTCTATTTTTGTGTTTCTCGGTCTATGAGCAGAACGTTGTAAATGCCTGTCGGACAATAAAAGCGTTGGAAAGTGTCTGGCTCTGGGCCTTTGTGGGTCGATGACAGCGGCTGGCAGAGCGCGTGGGGTGGGGACTGCGGGGCCAGGCTCCTTGTCCCCAGTGGCCCTGCTCCTCCGGGGACGCCTGGGTTGCTTAGTGTCAGTGTTTCAGATTTACTTATTACGAAGGCGTCACAGATTCACGAGGCCAGTTGTCCCGCACGGTGATTCGATGTCCCCACGCACTGTCTGCAGTGTCGCTGCATAGCTACCGAGCTCCTGCGATGAGGACACTTGAGATCCGGTCTCCGTGTCCACTTACAGATCGGCGCTCTTGGTGACTGCGGTCGCATCCCCGCTTCCTGCCGCCTGCGGCCCCTGACCGCCCCCACTCTGTTCTCCAGGAGCTCAGCGCTGTTGGTTGGGCTCAGACGCCACACAGCACGTCCCGTGGTTCCCATCGTCCTTTCCTGTCGGCAGAGCAGGGAGTTGGAGCCACGAAGAGAAAGTGTCAAAGGTGCTCGGTCTCCTGAGTGGGAGGAGAGAGGACGGGCAGCTGTGGGTCTGTGCCCGGGCCGAGCACTCACCCGTCCCCCTCAGGAGACGCCAGGGGAAGGGGCCCGAGTGCAGAGCCCAGCCTGGCCCGGGCAGTGGGCGGGCTCGGCAGAGCCCACACAGGAAAGGTGAAGGGGGTCCTGGGCTGCCCCGCCCTTCCCAGCCCCTCATGCCCACCCTCTGCCCCTGTGGGCCTCACACTCCAGGTGGATGGGCCTCCCCACAGAAGCCTGCTGTTCAGCTGCTTGCTCCTTGGCAAGGGTCACGGGCCGATGGCGTCTGCCTCAGACCCTGGGCCTTGTTAGAAATGCCGACCCCTCTCCCCCGCGCCCCCCCCCCCCCCGCGCCCCCCCCCCCCCCACACACACAGAACCAGGACCTGCTGCTCTGGCCGCCTTCGATCGTTTGGACGGTGAAGAACGATCTGGAGCCCTGACCTTATTATTTTCAAGTGTTGGGCCCCACGAGGTGCCCGTTTGGGGGCGTGATGGAAGCGTTGCCCCTGGGTATCATCCCAGTAGTCCACGCTTCGTGTGAACATGAGGTTCTGGCAGTCAGGGCCACAGCCCTGGCCCAGTGCGAGCCTGTCAGTGCGGGGGCTCAAAGTCAAGTGCACAGGAAGAGCCAGTGCCCGTCACAGCCTGACTGCCTTGACTTTCCAGGCTCTGCCCCAGCGGCCAGTGGGAGAGGTGCTGGTCCGCCCCTCTGTCCGTGGTTGCCATGGTTTGGGGGCGGGGACCGCTCTCTAGTCTTGGGTCCACTTGCCTGGAGATGACCGCTGTCCTTGTCCGAGGCTCAGGTCGGCACTGGGACTCCCAGGGTCCGTTTCCCCGCCCGGGGCACCCCTGCAGCCAGGCCCCTGGCGCCCCAACCGGGCCTTGCTGGGATGTTGTCCGGACGCCACCCGGGGCGTGGCCCCAGTGCGCTGGTTCCCCTCCTGCCTGGACCCGGGGGGCCTTTCTGTTTGGAGGGGCAGGGCGGGGGATGGTCAGTGTAGACAAGCCCTGTTATTTTCTGGACTTTTTGTTGGCCAAGTTGTGTCTGAGTTTTACAGGCCACGTCTTTCCGCTTTGCCACAAACTCACCCTGAAAGGTGGGACATGAACGTGCTGAGAGGAAATGGGAGCAGGTCCGGAGCAGGTGCAGCCGCTGGGCTGTGAAAGGGGCGGGGTCAGGCTGCGGCCTCACACTCCCCGCAGCCTTGTCTGAAAGCGCTGGAGCTGAACATTCTCAATTTAAAAATCGAAGTACGTGTGGCAGGCTGCAAACCCCAGCCGGCCCTCACTCTGAGTGGTAGAGCCGCCCAGATCTTCTTCCCTCGGCCTTCGGGTGGGCCCGCTGAGGCGGCGCCTGGGCCGTCCTCGGGGTGGGGGTGGGGACCTCAGGTGTCCTGCGTCCTCACTCTGACCCGGGCGGCGGCGGCGACAAGGTGCAGCCACACCCTGTACCCCGCTGGCTGGTCGGATGGTTGAGATGTTTGCCTGTCCCTGGTGAATATATACGAGATCAGGGCGTTTGTCTTTACACGCTGTTTGGTGTCTGAAAGGGACTCTTGAAATGCCAAGGTGTCTTCGTTAGGACAACCCAGGGGGTGTTGGTGACGGACGGGGAGCTGCATGTCCCGTCACCAACTCCAGGGCTTGAGAGGGGACCCAGTTAGTGACCCGAGAGCCTCAGTGTTTGGCTGCAGAGTTCACCACGCACAGGGCGGCCACCTGCTAACCGGGGGGGGGGGGGGGGCTTCCTGAAGCCCCCGTCACAGGAGAAATGCAGGACCGGAGGCGGTGCTCCTCAAAGCCAGAGCAACATCGAGGGACATCGCCAAGCGGGGGGGCTGGCGAGTGTCCCTTGACAGAACGCTGCGATCTCAAGCCAAAGTCTCACATCTGGGCGGAAACGCAAAAGGGTGGGCCCAGTGTTAACTGTGACGACCCCCTGCGGACTGACTGTACAGGTAACGGAATCTATTCTTAACTCGTCTGCTCACACAGAACTCCGCTCCTCACCTAAGCAGAGAGGTGTGCACACGCATTACAGAATTTGTACTAGCGACAGACAGGCGGGAGACCGGCAGGTGGGGGATTTTGACCAGGTCCATGCCGCACACTGCAGCAGATAAAAAGCTCAGGGTGGCCTTGCGGGGACACCAGCGCATCCGCAGCGTCCAGGCCAGTTTGGCACGCCACTCGCCCCGGGCACAGCAGGAAGGCACCCACCACGGGTGAGACGCGTGTCCCTGCCGGACTTGGGCTTCCCACTGGGCGGAAAATTGCTGGGTCTGACTCATGCAGGTGACTTGAAAGCCCACAGGTCTCCAGCGTTAACTGAGCACCGACTGGGGACCAGCTGGGGACGAGCCGGGGTCCTGGCCCTGGAAGCGCTCCGTCTGGCAGGGGGAGCCCGGGAGCCGCTGAGAGACGTGTGTCATCATCGGCGCGTTTTAGTGTGGCCGCCCCCTCCCCATGCACGTCCTGAGAAGGGCCACGAGGACGGGGGAGCAGCGGGCGGCCTGAGGGTGTTCAGGGGTGTGGGACTTAAGATTCGGGCACTTGTTGGAGTTATGTTCTCTTGAATTATTTTTTGTATTTATTTCTTATATTAAAAATTGATATAAGCTCAAATTGATGCAGCTTATTTGCATTAATATGAACCAGTATATTAAAATGAGGTGAGCCCTGGCTGGTGTAGCTCGGTGGATTGAGTGTGGACTGCGAATCAAAGGGCCGCCAGTTCGATTCCCAGTCAGGGCACATGCCTGGGTTGCAGGCCAGGTTCCCAGTAGGGGGCTCGGGAGAGGCAACTACACATTGATGTCTCTCTCTCTTCTTCTTCCCTTCCACTCTCTAAAAATAAAATCTTTAAAGAAAAATCAGTATTAAAAATTAATAAAGTGAGGTGAAACCCACTTGTTGTCCTACTAGCCAATTTCTTGTGTCAGAAAGGGACAGGCGGGCGGCCTCCCGCCTGGTGGGGTTTGCGGGGTGGAACCAGTGGCCCTGTCCCCCTCCCCCCCCCCTGCACACGCCCATCTGGCTGGTCCACGTGCGCGCGCACACCCAAACCGCCGCGTTGTGCCTCGGTCCACGTCCCCTGCTGTACTCCGTTCCCACGCGTCCCACCTCCTGGCGCAGTCGTCAGCCCCCCAGGCTTCTTCCCCGTACACACGTGGGCCCTGGACACCTTGCCGAGCGAGTGAGGGCCTCCCCTGGATTCCGTGATTTCGGGGGTGTGGGCGCCCGATGAAACTCGGTGACGTGACCCGCCTCTGAAGCAGCTCGCCCCCCTTCCCCAGGTCTCAAAGCACCCGGTCCCCCCGCATGCTCTGCCCCACACAAGGCGGTGCCCTGGGTGCGACCCAAGGAAGCTGGGGAAGCTGCGTGTCGCGGCGTCTCCACCAGGTGTGACCGGCCAGGGTCAGACCCACGGGGAGACAGCCCCGCTGTTCGGCAGGAAGTGCCCTGACCGACATGACTGTGGCAGGTACTCAGGGCCAGACTCGGCTGCTGCTTTGAGAGCAGCAAAGGGGACGAGCGTTCTGTCGTCCCGTCAGTGAGGTGAGGACCAGCCCGGCTCAGGGTGAAGGGACATCCTGCCACGTGAGAGGCCGCCAGTTCCAGTCCTGGTCAGGGCACAGTCGGGGCGCATACGAGAGGCAGCCTGTTGCTGCTGGACATGGACAATTCTGTCCCTCTCTTCCTCCCTCCCTGTCCCTCTCTCTGAAAACAAAATGAAATGGTTAAAAAAAAAAAAAAAGGGTGATAACAGAACAAGCTGCATTTACCACCACGATCCAAGTTTTGGCAAAAGAGCTTGTGCCCAGGAGGGCCCAGCAGCCCCCGCCGGCCCAGTGTCCTTTCCAGGGCTGACCGAGGTGGGTGTGACCTCGAGGCGCGCGGGGAGCTTGGGGGAGGGCGGAGGAGCGGGGCAGCACGCAGGACTCCGCCCCCGAGTAGGAGCGAGGAGCGACGGCCGCCCCGGTGCCTCCCACTCGCTCCGCGCTGGGTCGGGGTATTGGGAAGCCGCGGTGACCGGCTCCCGGCCCGCAGGGCCCTGCGGCCCCGCAGTCTCCGCTCTGGCGCCCCCGGTGGTGGGTCGAGGTGCTGCCTCTTATCCAGACCCGGAAAGACCTCCGGGCCAGCTTTCCCAGGCCTGGGCCATCATCTCTCACACGAGGACGGAGGCCCCGGGTCACTAGGTGTGCAAGGGGCTTTGGCGGCGGGCGGGGCTCAGGGCCGGGAGCGGCAATGCGGGATTCGGAGCCGAGCGTCGGTGGGCACGGCCACGCACCGCGTCCCGGCGAGTTTCCTGCCACGCAGTGTGCGGAACCTGGTGACTCCCGGTCTCCACCCTCGCCGGTCCCCCCTCCATCACGCCTCGTCTCGGGGATGGCGTCCCCCTCCTTTGGGGTGAAGAATCTCTCGTCACCTACCTCCAGTCCAGCGTCGGGCCCACCTTGGACACCGACCTCAGCCAGCGCCGGGCCGGCGTCGCCTAGGCCGCCTCGTCCTGGGCGGTGCGGGCCGGCACCCGGGCCGCGGGCACGTGTGCGGGGCGGGTGCGCCCCGCCCACCCGACCCCGGTGCCCGAGGGGCCGCGGGGCGGGGCCTTCAACTCCTCGCTGTGTCGGGCGGGAGCGCAGCTGCTGGAAGGGGTGGCGTCGCCAGGCCGCCCTCCGTGCCCCGGGCTTCGCCCGCCCCCGTAGGGGTCTTCAGCCCGAGAGCAGGCGCTGCTGTGCCGCCGGCGGCGGGTGGGGGAGGGGCAGGCTGTCGGCTTCGGCTCTGCGTTCCCACTTCTGTAAACCTGCTCTTCAAATGAGGGTCTGTCTGGGTCGCCGGGGAGCCCCCGCGACCTCCCCGCCCCTCTGTCCCCGAGTTGCATTCTGGGCGGTGGCCGCGC